GGCGATCATCTACGCGTTCGACCAGTCCGGCGCCGTGGACGCCGCCCTGCGCGACCGCGCGGTGACATTCCTCGCGGAGGCGAAGACCAGCCCCGAGTGCTGGCGCCACTGCGTCGCGCGCTACCCGGTCACGACCTACCCCGAGGTTCGGTTCTGGTGCCTGCAGACGCTCGCGGATGCGCTGCAACCGAGCGGCTCGCTGATCCCGGGGTCGCTGTCCGACGCGGACGCGAGCGCGTTCCGCGGTGCGATCGCGGGGTGGATCGCCGAGGCGGCGTCGAGGACAGATCCGCCGGTGCCGGCGTTCGTGAAGAACAAGCTCGCGCAGGTCGCCGCGCTCCTCGTCAAGCGCGAGTACCCGACGCGCTGGCCGTCGTTCTTCCGCGACCTCGTGTCGCTCCTCCGCGGCGCTGCAAACGCGGACGGCGCGGACGGCGCGACGGACGTCTTCTGCCGCGTCCTCGACGCGATCGACGAAGAAGTCATCAGCGCGGGGGACACCGCGCGCGAGCGGCCGTTGCTCGGCGGCGGCGAATCAGGTGCGTTCTGTTGTACACTGGTCCCCATACGACCGCGTTCGCGTGGTGAACGCCATTCCTTAAGGACTTTGCCCGTCGCATCTCTTCGCCCACCCCTCGCTTTCAATCCCCGACCGCGGCGCCTTTCAACTCCAACTGACACCTTTCAACTCCACCCTGACATTCGCTTGTATGGAACGACCCTCAGCGCGCGGCGAATCCGGCGAGAGCGCGCCCGCGTCCACGCGCGTCAAGGACGCGCTGCGCGACGACGGCGACGTCCTCGCGACGCTCGCGGAGACGTGGCGCGCGATGATCGAGTACGGCTGCGTCGCGACGAATGCAGGCGAATGCATTCGGTACGACAGCGCGGCGACGGCGACGCGCGCCGCGAACACCGCGCGACGATTCGTCGAGTGGGCGGACGCGTCGCTGTTCACCGGCGACGCGTTCGTGAAGACCGCGGGCGCGATGCTCGGCGCGCGCGACCCGGACCTCGCGCGAGCGGGCGCGGACTTCTTCGCCGCGCTCGCGTCGAAAGGGATGGACCGCGCGGCGAAGGTGGCGCTGATTCGACGGCTGGGTTTAGTCGACGCGTGCGCGTCGTTGCGCGGCGCCGCCGCGGCGAGAGCGAGAGCGAGAGACGGCGGCGGCGGCGACGACGACGGAGACTGGGACGACGCGGACCTCGCGTCCGCGCAGCTCGCGGCGGCGGTCGCGGGCGAGCTCTTCGCGTGCCTCCGCGCGGCGGCGGCGGCGGCGGCGGCGGAGGAGGCGAACGAGCCGCACGCGGTCGGCCCCTCGCCCGAGGTGGTCGTCGCCGCGTCCGATCTCGTCGACGAGATTCTCCCGACGTGCGTCGCGCACTTGGGCGGCGGCGTGGGGCCCGGCGGCGGCGAGGCGGTCGTGATGGCGTCGCTGGCGCCGTGCACGGCGTACGTGAACCGGTTGAAGGACCCGCACGCGGCGGCGACGATGCCGGCGCGCGCGAAGGAAAAGGCGGAGGCGTTTTTGAACGCCATGCTCGAGGCTGTCATAACTCGCGGCTCGTTCCCGGAGCCGGACGGCCCGGAGTCGCGATGCGGCGTGTCCTTCGCGGACGGCGGGGATAAGTTCGTGAGAGAGGCGGAGGCGGAGGTGGTGGCGCTGCGACTGGAACTCGGGGTGTTGTTCCGAGCGATAGCGCGTCTCGCGCCGCCGCTGGCGCTCGCGGCGGTCCGCGCCGCGCTCGTGCGCGCGCTGCCGCCGCCGCCGTCGCCGCCGGCACCGTGGCAGAGGGTCGAGACCGCGATCAGCGCGCTGTATCTGATCGGCGAGGGCGCGAACGACGGCGCGGTGAAGCCCGGGGTGGAGGAGTCGCCGCTCGGGGAGTTGATTGGTTTTTTGCTCGAGCGATGGAACGGCGGCGGCGGCGGCGGCGGCGGCGGCGACGGCGGCGGCGTCCCCGCGTCCGCGCACCGGCTCGTCGCGTCCGCGTTTTTGGACCTGTGCGTGAGGTACCACCTCGCGGTGGAGCGGAACGCGGCGCGGTTATTAACGCCCGCGCTCGGGGCGTTTCTCGACGGCCGAGGGATGCGTCACCCGGACCCGGAGGTATCGCGACGCGCGTGTTACCTCTTCTGTCGCTTCGTGAAGCCGCTCCGGCAGCAGATCGCGCCGTCGCTGCCGTCCGTCCTCGCCGCGTTGGACGCCGTCATGTCCGACGCCGGCGCGCCGTCCGCGAGTCACGGCGGCGTCGGCATAGGAAGCGGCGGCGCGGGAGGCGGCGCGGGCACCGGCGGCGCCATGGCCACCGAGGGGAACGACGACCGGCTCTACGTCTTCGAGGCGTTCGGTCTTCTCCTCGGCATCGAGGACGTCCCGGAGGACTCGCAGGCGACGTGGCTCGAGGCTGCCTGCGCGCCGTTGCGAATACGCGTGGAGTCCGCGATCGCGTCCGGGGACGCGGCCGCCGCGCGGCACGCGGTGGTCGCGTTGTCCAACGTCGCGAAGGGATTCCCGTCGCGATTGGCGACGTCGACGCGGCCGAGGTGCGGCGCGATTCTTCAGACGGGGCTCGAGCCCGCGCTGCGATGCTTGGGCGCGTGGCCGCGAGACGCGCTGACGCGGCAGCGCGTCGTCGCGTTCTTTCACCGGCTCGTCCTGAGCGTCGGCGCGGCGGTGTTTCCGTACGCGTTGCCTCTCGTGGAGCACCTCCGATCCGGCGGCGGCGCGGAGGAGCTGGCGGAGGCGCTCGTGCTTCTGAATCAGCTTATGGCGACGTTTAAGGGCGAGTGCGGCGCGCTCGTCGCGCAGACGCTGCCGGCGATGACGTCGCAGATCGCGCTCGCGCTCGCGCCGTTCTCCGGGTTCGACGGCGACGGCGTCGTCGTCGGCGTCCGAGGGTTGGGCGCGGGCGCGGGCGCGGGCGCGTCGTCGACGCCTTCGTCGTCGACGCCCGCGACGGACAACACCGAGGAGGCGCGCGAGGCGATAAACCTGGAGAAGATGTTCTCCGCGCACGTCCACGGCCTGTGCGCGCACGGCTTGATCCCCGTGCTCGCGTCGTCCGAAGAAGGCCTCGCGGCGACGCGCGAGGCGATTCTGTCGACGCTGACGCGCGTCGCGAGCGCGCATCGAAGCGCCGCGTCTCGAAAAATGGCGCTGCAAACCCTCTTCAAACTCGCCGCCGCGTGGGTGGTCCCCGCGGACGCGCCGCCGCCCGCCGCCGAGCCCGTCCCCGGGTTCACGCGTTTCGCCGCGGAGACGATCGCGCCGACGTGCTGCGTCGCGCCGACGTTGCGAGGGGATTTGGACTTGCGGGACGCCACGTCCGCGGCGGCGGCGTCGGAGGGGAACGCGATCACGCGGCTGCTTCTCGAACGCCGCGGCGACGCGTTCGCCGCCGACCTCGTCAACGGCACGCTGACGCCGCTCGGTTTAGGCGGCGACGTCGCGGTGGAGTACCTCAGGGTCGTTAGGGACGGGTCGGCGAAGGACGCGAGGGCGTTCCTCGCGGAGTGTCAGAGGGTCGTGCGAGGGTCCAACCCGGGCATCGCGAAGGCGCCGGTGACGCGGTCGTAACGCGCGCGTGTTGTTTGTTGTATACTAACGGTCATTTGTAGAGCGTAACACCTAATAACACCCACCCGTCGTGCCTCATCAGTGCCTACGACGCGTCCGACGCGGCGGCGGCGGCTTCCGTCGCCTCCGCCGCCGCGGCTAACACTTCCGGCTCGCCCTCGTCGAGCAAACCCAACTCGTCCATCTCCCGCAGCGCCCTCACCGCGCCCTTCACCGCCTTCGCGTCCACCTCGCCGATCAGATCAAGCTCCATCGCGACGCTCAGGACCTCGCACGTCCCCGTGGAGACGTTCGCCTTGCTCATCGCCGCGAGCATGAACCCCAGGCATCGCGCGTTCTTCGTATCCGCGATCGTGCGCTCGCCGTACGTCCATCCAAACTTCGCGAGCGACTCCACGGGCTCTCGCTTCGCGACGCACAGCAGCGCGACCGCGCGCTCGAGGCGCGCCTCGAGCGCGGCGACGCGCGCGCGCGCCATCGCGTCCACGGCGTCTCGGACGGCGTCGAACGGCTTGTACCCTCGCGACGGGTCCCACGTCTCCGATTCGCGCGCGGTCGCCTTGGCGTCGCCTACCGCGCGCAGCGCGTCGCGGAGCGCGGTCTCTCGCGCGGCGACGCGCGCGGACGCGTCCGCGGGGTCGAGCGGCGGCGGCGGCGACGCCGCGCGCTTCGCCGCCTCCTCCGCGGCTCGAGTCGCGCGAGCAGCCGCCGCCGCCTCCGCCTCGCGCAGGTCCTCGCGTCGACCGATTTTTCTCGCCTGGCGCTTCTTCTCGCTGCGCTTCGCGACCGCGGGGTGGGGTACCGGGTCGACGCGACGACGGCATCGCGACGACCGGTTGGTCGTCGTCGCGCCCCGGGTCGCGATCGCGGCGACGCGGGGTCCGTCCCCGCGGACGCGCGCGGTCCACGAGATCGCGCTCGCCATGGGTGTGGACGGATAGATAGAGCGTGCCGTCTTTTCCGACATCCGAGACGTGCGCAAAGTTGAAAGGGTTTGCGATCAAGTGTTGAACCTGCGGGGTGGGTGAAAAACGTTCGCTCACGAGAACGCAGAACCGACAGAACCGACCAGACAGGCTAACAGGAGCCGCAGCCTCGATGACGTGTCGAACCGTCGGCGCGCGAGGCACTCCACGCCGCGCGTCGTCCCCTCGCGCCGCATCGCGTCTCTCTCCTCTTCGCCGTCGAGATGTCCTCCGCGTTGTCCGCGCGGATCGCCGCGGCGACGCCGTTCGCGATGACGCGTCGCATCGGAACCGCCGCGTCGTCGCGCCCGGCCGCGTCGTCGTCGATCGGTTCGGTTGGCACCCGCCGAACGACGCTTGGCGTGGTGACCGTCCGCGCGGCGTCCTCCTCCTCTTCCTCCTCCTCCTCCTCCGAGATGTCCTCCGCGAAGGTCTGCGTCATCACCGGCGCGAACACCGGCCTCGGCTTCATCGCCGCGAAAGAGATCGCGAAGAAGCCCGGGTACAAGGTCGTCATGGCGTGCCGCGACGCGACGCGCGCGGCGAACGCGGCGAAGACGATCGCCGAGGAGATCCCGGGCGCGGACGTCGACGCGTCGCTGACGCTCGACCTCGCGTCGTTATCCTCCGTGGAGCGATTCGCGGCGGCGTTCGACGAGAAGTACGGCCGCCTGGACGTCCTGATGAACAACGCGGGCGTCATGGCGTTGCCGAACCGCGAGACGACGGAAGACGGCCTCGAGATGCAGATGGGCGTGAACCACCACGGCCACTTCGCGCTCACGTCCCGCCTCATGCCGACCGTCTTGCGCACCCCGGGGCGGAAGCGCATCGTGAACGTGTCGTCCGTCGCGCACGAGTGGGGGCACATCGACTTCGACAACATCAACAGCGACGGGTTCTTCGGATATTTAGGCGCGTACCATCTCACACTGGTCCCCATACGACCGCGCTCGCGCGGTGCACGCCGTTCCTTATTGAGGACTTTCTCTTCCCGGCGGTCGTTTCTCTCCGCCCAGGGTCCCTCGCTGCTTTCAATCCCGACACACCTCGACGCCTTTCAACTCCTTCAACTGACCCCCTTCAACCCCACCCCGACATTCATTCGCTCGTATGGACCATCGACCCTCAGGCGCCGGGTGGCTGACGTACGGCCGCACGAAGCTGTCCAACCTGTACTTCACGTACGAGCTCCATCGGCGGCTTCGCGCGATGCCCCCGGGGAGCGGCGGCGACCTCGTGGACGTCAACGCGGTTCACCCCGGGGTCGTGGACACCGAGCTTCCGCGGTCGCTCTCGATCAACTTCTACCCGCTCTTGAAAGAGATCGGCGGGCTGATCACCCCGGAGCAGGGCGCGCGCGGGCAGGTGGAGGTCGCGACGGGCGACGCGTTCGAGGGCGTCAGGTGCGTTCTATACAAAAGTTTTTCACCCATAGCTCGGTTTCAACATTTGATCGCGTCTTCTTTCAACTGACCGATGAACATTTTTTGTATGGAACGACCCTCAGCGGGAAATACGTGGCGGAGCAGTCTGGGCCGAATAATCCGGGGGGGGAGAAGGGGACGTTCAAGGTGTGCGAGTCGTCGGCGCAGAGCTACGACCGCGAGGCCGCGATGCGGTTGTGGCGGAGGAGTAAGACGATGACGAAGGTGGGGTGGGAGGCGTTGGGGGAGTCGATGCAGACCGCGGAGTGGTGACGGGCGTCGTGAGAGGTTGGTCGTCGAACGCGTTCCGTTTGGCGTTTCAGGGTAAGGTTACGTACGCGATTCGTTCGACTACAATCTAAGATGAATAAAATACTCTCTCTGCGCTCGCGCTCACGACGCGCGACGATATATCGCGAGCGTCGGCGCGTGCGTCCCGCCGTCGATCGCGCGCCACGCGATGGACATCCCCATCGGCGCGCGCGGCGACCCCGAAGGGCCTTTGTACACGCCGAGGCCGTCCGGTCCGTCGATCCACCACTCGCCGTCGAGCGCGTTGAAGTACAAATACGCGTCGTCCGTCGTCTTTTTAAACCACGCGCCGTCCTCGCCGCCGTTCAGCTTTTTCCAGGTAACGTCCACGTCCCATCCGTTATCCACGCACACGGCGGCAAATGCGGCGGGGATCTCCTCGCGCGGCTTCGCGACGTACTCTCCCGAGACCTCCGGTCTCGCGTCCGCGAACACGACGATCTTCTCCGCGGCTGAGGGTCGTTCCATACGAGAGAATGTCGGGGTGGAGTTGAAAGGCGTCAGTTGGAGTTGAAAGGCGCCGAGGGCGGGTATTGAAAGCGAGGGGTGGGCGGAGAGATGCGCCGGCAAAAGTCCTTCAGGATCGGAGTTCACCACACCAACGCGGTCGTATAGGAACCAGTGTACGGGACGCGCCTGAGTCGACGCGACCGCCTTCCTTCGCGCGCGCGTCGAGCGCCTTCAACACGTCCCTCGCCTCGGACTGCGTCGCGACGTCGCGCGGCGGCCCGTTCGCGTCCGGGTCCGCGCCCCGCTTCAACAGCGCCTCCGCGGCGATCGCGAGGTTGTTCGACGCCGCGCGGTCCAACGGCGTGAACCCGTACGCGTCCACCGCGTCCACGTCGGCGCCGCGTGAGATCAGAAACGCGGTCGCGTGCTGATTGGCGCGCGACATCCCGCACGTGTGCAGCGGCGACGCGCCGCCGGTGGAGACGTCGTTGACCAAGTCCGGGTGCGCGTCGAGAAGCTTCGCGAGCGTGGTCTCGGGCGTTGGGACGCCCCCGGAGACCTCGCGGTTGAACGTCGCGATCGCGTCGGAGACGGGGGTGTATCCGCCGCCGGCGTACACCGGACCCGGACGCGGGTTGTGCCCTTGGTACTGCTTCCCGATGACGACGCTGCCGTCCTCCGGTCGCCGCTTCACGACGCCACCGTATATTCCCGCGCCGACGGAGTCGGCGTACGGGTCGAATCCGTCGCGATCCGTCTCGCCCGGCGCGCCGTATTTCTGAGCGAATGTCGGGGTGGAGTTCAAAGGCGTCAGATGGAGTTGAAAGGCGCCGAGGGCGGGTATTGAACGCGAGGGATGAACGGTGAGATGCGCCGGGAAAAGTCCTTAAGGATCGGCGTTCACCACGCGAACGCGGTCGTACGGGGACCAGTGTATAGAATGCACCTCCGCCATCCCGGGAGCGTGCGGGTCGTGGGTGATCCTCACGCCGTCGGCGCGGTAGTGCGCCGCCTTCGCCGAGGACGACGACATCGCGCGCGAGCAGGATTTCGAGGCGCACGACGCGGGCGAGGAGGACGCGGCGGCCGCGGCGGACGCGAAGAAGACGAACGACGGAGCGACGCGCGGCCACAGCCCGCGCGCGAGCATGGTATGATGATGATTACGTGGCGAGCTGTCGGCTGTCGGGTCGTTTCACATCTTCAGTTCAGAGGTGCGTTCTATAAAAGTTTTTCACCCATTGTCCGGTTTCAACATTTGATCGCGTCTCCTTTTAACTGACCGGTGAACCTTTTTGCTCGCTCATCTCGGAAAACTTTCCAACTGTTCGTTTTTTTGTCGTTCGCTCCGAGACCTTCTCCCCCGCCGCGGTCGCGGTGTCACTTCGACGCGCACGCCTCCGCATGTCGTCGACCCCCGCACCGCTCACGCCCGCGGCGGCGCGCGCGCGGCGGCGCGCGGCGCCGTCGAGCGCGCGATGGCGCGCGGTCGTCCCCGGCCGCGACCTCATCGAAACGCGCCGTCGTCGTGGGCACCCGTTCATCACCCTCGCCGCGTCGAAGCATTCTTCTTCTTCGTCTTCGGACGCGTTCTCCTCCGCGAGAGACGCGCGCTCGTCGACGTCCGGGGGCCCGACGCCCGCGGACGCGGAGCTCGAAGCGCTCGCGGCGAGACGCGACGCCGCGAAGGCTGCTGCGGAGGCGGCGCAGAAGGCGTACGTCCGCGCGCTCGCGGCGTCGGTCTCGCCCTCCGCGGACTCCAAGTCCATGGACGAAGCGACCGAGCGATTCAACGCCTCGCCGTTCGCCGACTGCGCGTGCGAGTACGGCTTCATACAGTCCAACGCGGGTCTGTACATCGACCTGTCGAAGAACCGCCCGCCGGGTGTGCCGAAGAACGTCCTCGCGATCGCGACGGAGAACTTCGCGCGCGAGTTCGCGGCGCTGCGCGCGGCGACGAGAGGTGCGTTCTATACACTGGTCCCCATACGACCGCGTCGGCATGGTGAACGCGATTCCTTAAGGACTTTGCCCGGCGCATCTCTCCACCCACACCTCGCGTTCAATCCCCGCCCTCGATGCCTTTCAACTCCAACTGACGCCTTTCAACTCCACCCCGACGCGACGAGAGGCGACGAGAACGCCCCCGGCAACGGCGGTCCGGTCATCCTCATCCCTTCCGAGGCGTGGCGCGGGACCGAGACGCAAGCCGAGATCGCGAGCGAGCTGCGCGATCAGCTCGCGACGTTGACGCTGAGCAACGCCGCGATATGGGAACGCGAGCGGTCGAGGACGGAGGTGCCCGCGCCGTGGATCATCAAGGCGCCGTACTTCGCGTTGTGTACCTTTTTGGATCTGGTCTTCCCCGAGGACCGGCCGATACAGCGGTTCTGGTTCTTAGAGTCCGTCGCGCGGATGCCGTACTTCTCGTATAACACCATGCTGACGTTGTACGAGCTCTTAGGGTGGTGGCGACGAAGCAGCGAACTGCGCAGGGTGCACTTCGCGGAGGAGTGGAACGAGTATCATCACCTGTTGATCATGGAGTCGCTCGGCGGGGACGCGCTCTGGCGCGACCGGTTTCTCGCGCAGCACGCCGCGTTGGCGTACTACCTCGTCCTCATCGCTTTATGGTTGATATCGCCCGCGCTCGCGTACAACTTCAGTGAGCTCATCGAAGCGCACGCGGTGGACACGTACGCGCAGTTCGCGGACGAGAACAAAGAAAAGTTGAGGACGCTCCCGGCGCCGCGCATCGCGAGGGCGTACTACGAAAACGACGACATGTATCTCTTCGACGAGTTTCAAACCGCGCGGCCGCGGTCGTCCCGCCGCCCGCGCGTTCGAACCCTCCACGACACCTTCTGCGCGATCCGCGACGACGAGAACGAGCACGTCGCGACGATGAAGGAGTGCCAGATGGAGGACAGCGCGATGGCGGACGTGAACAAGGTGAACGTCGGCACGGCGGTCGCGTTGCTGTTCATCGCGGTCAACGCGTGGGCGAGCCGCGTCGCGCAGACCGCGGGGATCGACGCGCTGGAGATGGACGGCGTGGACGCGGGGGAGATGTTCGGCGAGGAAGGTTTATTCGCGGGCATCTTGAGGCTGTTCTCGTTCTTGCCGTTTTTGTGATGGACGACAGGACGCGGCGGCGAGGGCGGCGGCGAGGGCGAGGGCGGGGGCGAGGGCGGGCGGCGAGCGAGCGCCGAAGGCGACGCGCGACGACGGAACGAATCGAATCGAATATAAGAATAGGAAACACGCTAGGTCTCGACCTCGCGCGATCGATCACGATCACGATCACGTGGATCACATGTCATGGCGTCATATCCCACGTCACCACTCGTACACGATCCCGTCCACGGGCTTCCACCGCGCGCCGCACTCGCTCAGTTTTTTGTACGCCGCCGCGAAATCCGCGAAGAACGCCTCCTGCGACTCCGCGTACTCTTCAAACACCTTCCTGAACTCGTCGTCCACGTGCAACGCCTTGTCCGTGGACATCCACAGCAAGTTCGCCGGGTCTTCGTCGTGCTCCCTCTTGAAGTACGAGTTGTCGAACTTCAGCCAGTGCTTCGTCCAAGACCGACCGCCCTCCATGCCGACGCCCTTGTCCGCGTCGCCGTCGTGCCGCGCGCTGAAAGGGCACGTCCCTCCGCCGCCGCCGTGCCCCGCGGGGCAGCCGGTGAACTTCGTGCCGTTCTTCGCGCCGTACCCGTTCTCCGTGACGCCGCTGCGCTCCTTGAACGCGCGGCCGATCGTGTGCGCGCCGGAGAGCGCGACGATCTCGCGGTCGGAGAACCCCATGCGTCCGAAGACGTTTCTGAGGGTAATTGTCCATACAAAGCGACGTCGGGGTGGAGTTCAAAGGCGTCAGAAGCGGAGTTGAAAGGCGTCGAGGTGTGTCGGGATTGAACGCGAGGGACCCTGGGCGGAGAGAAACGACGGCAAAAGTCCTTAAGGATCGGCGTTCACCACGCCGACGGGGTCGTATGGGGACCAGTGTGAGATAGAACGCGCCTGAGGTGCGTCGCCGCGTCGGGGGATCCGTCTCCGAACGGCGGCTCCGCGCCCGGGAGGTTCCCTTCCCTCGCGCACTCCTCCGGAGTCTCCACGTCGACGCGGCCGTACCGCATCTTGATCTTCGGTCCCCCCGCGTGCTCGATCGCGGTCGCGCCCGCCAGCTGTATGACGTCCGCGTAGGACAGCAGCGGGTGTTTAGCCTTGAATGGCTCGAGGTACTTGAGCGCTTTCGATAACCCCGCGTTCGCGCCGTGGCTCATCTCCTCCTCGAAGCGGATGCTTCCGTTCGCGCCGCCGCACTTTGGCCACGATCGGACGTGATAGTCGAACGTCCCCGCGTCGTGCCACGCGAGCCGCACGAAGATCGGATTCGCGTTCGTCTCGTCGATGAACTTCCACAGATCGTCGCGGCACGCGCGGAGCGCCGCGCGGTAGGGCGTCTGGTTGACCACGTCCTCCATGTACGCGGAGGTGGGCGCGCGCGTGATGTGCGCGGTCGTCGCCGCGACGCGCGCGTTCGCGCGGTCCATGATCCGTGGGGAGGCGGACGTCGGGGGGCGGCGCGCGGAAGAAGAGTGTCGAACGCGTTCGTCGTTCGACCGGTTTCTTCTCCGTCTGCGGCTCTCCTTCGTCGACGACGCGCGCTTCACGATTTCTGCGTGTTTGCTCGTACAGGCGCGTCTCGTACGTACTACGATGGTCGGCACGACGGACTGCTGGAGATCTGGCCTTCCCAGCGCAGCCAGTGCGGGATGCGCCGCGTCGCGGGTGAGGTCCTCGCGCTCGCACGCGGACAACGCTCGCGGCTCGACGCGCGACGCTCTTCTCGCGCGGCAAGGGCGGCGCCCTCCGACGCCGCCCTTCGACGACGCCGCGCGAAGCACGACCGTCCGCGCGCGCCCATCCCGCGCGAGCTCAGCGGGTGGACCGGCGAGGGCGGTCCCTCCAGACCCGACGGCGAGCGCGTGGGGAGGCACGACGAGCGCGCGCCGCCGCCGCCCATCTGTTCGGTCTGCGCGCGCCGCTTCTGCGCGTGTCGCGAGAAACCGATCGTCGCGCCCGTCCTTCCGGGGGCGGAGGACTGCTGCCAGAGCTCGCCGCAGTGCAAGTTCTGCGTCTGGACCGTGTACGAGGACGATCTCGCGAAGTACCGTCGCCATCTCTCCGCGAAGGAGGAGAAGAAGGCCGCGGAGGAGGGGACCGCGGCGTGAAGGAGGGAGGCGCGAGTTCGCGCTGAGTCAAAGTAGAAGAGCCTAGCTAGAGATGGAGGAGGAAGCGTCGGCGGCGTCGAAAAAGCGCCCGCGCGCGCGACATCAGGTGCGTTCTATACACTGGTCCCCATACGACCGCGTTCGCGTGGTGAACGCCGATCCTGAAGGACTTTGCCCGGCGCATCTCTCCGCCCACACCTCGCTTTCAATCCCCGCCATCGACGCCTTTCAACTTCAACTGACGCCTTTCAACTCCACCCCGACATTCGCTCGTATGGAACGGCCCTCAAAAGCCGCCGCCGCTCGCGGACGCGATGGATCTGTTCGCTTCGCCGCCGTCGCCGTCCGACTACGTGTCGATTCGCGGGATGCGAATCGTCAAGCCGTACGCGTTCGACTTCGTGTGCCACGTGAAGAAGCGCATGGAGGGCGTCGACGTCGTCGAGCTCTTCGCGCGGGAGTTCCCGGCGCGGCCGCGGGAGTATTACGAGAGAGCGCACGCGAGCGGGGCGTTACGCGTGGAGAACGTTCGCGCGAAGAGTAACGGCGGTAACGGTGGTAACGGTGGTAACGATAACGCACGCACGAGTGACGTTATCAGACCGCTGCGCCCCCTCAAGGCTGGCGAACGCGTGCGACACGCGTTGCACCGCCACGAACCCCCCACGCTGGACCGCCCGGTGGAGGTGATCGCCGTCGCGGACGACCTCGTCGCGATACACAAGGTGCGTTCTGTACACTGGTCCCCATACGACCGCGTTGGCGTGGTGAACGCCATTCCTTAAGGACTTTTGCCGGCGCATCTCTCCGCCCACCCCTCGCTTTCAATCCCCGACCTCGACGCCTTTCAACTCCAACTGACGCCTTTCAACTCCACCCCGACAATGCTTTGTACACAAGCCCGCGACGATGCCCGTGCACCCGACGGGGCAGTACAGGAAGAACACGGTGCTCGGATACCTCGCCGCGCATCGACGCGACCTCGGGAAGCTTTTCCCGGTGCATCGATTGGACAAAAACGTCAGCGGGTTGCTCGTGATGGCGAGGACCCCGACGACCGCGAACGCGATGCGGACGCAGGTGGAGGGGCGGGAGGTGTCGAAGGAGTACCTCGCGTTGGTGACGATGAAGATCTTCAACGCGGGGGGGAACGCGGAAACGGTCGCGGCGGCGGCGTTAACCGCGTTCGCGCGCGAGGAAGGCACCGACGTCTTCGCGGCGCGGTGCGACGCCGCCGTCGCGTACGACGAACGCGCGCGCGTCGCGTCGTGCGACGTCTCCGTCGCGGACGGCGCGAAGGACGCGTCGACGGCGTTCGAGCTCGTCGCGCGCGGGGAGTGGGGCGTCGGCGGCGGCGACGGCGGCGGCGACGGCGGCAGCGCGTGCCCGTTCGAAGACGTCGTCGTCAGAGGCGGTCTTCCGAGGCGCGCGCTTCTCGTTCGATGTCGCCCGACGACGGGCCGCACGCACCAGATCCGCGCGCACCTCTCGCGTCTCGGGTGGCCCATCGTGAACGACGTCAAGTACGGCGGCGCTCGCGCGGCGGACCTGGGCGGAGACGCGCTCGCGCTCGACGCGGGGGACGCGGACCGTCGCGACAACCGCGACGGTTCGCGTCCCGACGGTTACGGCGCGGCGTTGCGGCGGATCGTGTCGGACGGAGACGGCGACGTCCGCGAGCTCGCCGACGGCGAGACGGTTCCCGCGCCGCCCGAGGGACCGACCGCGACGGCGACGGGGACACAGCTGGCGACTGGGTACTCCTCTTTCTCCTCCTCCTCCTTCCCGTCGTGCGCGCACTGCCCGTTCGTCGCGCACGGCGTGAGCGGACAGACGTCGGACGACTTCGCGGAGGGGGACTTGGAGCGACTCGCGCTGCACTGTTCGAGATACAGCGGCGCGGGGTGGGCGTTTCGGTGCCCGGACCCGCCGTGGCTTCCGGCGATCGATCCAGCTGATCGATCGGGGGATCGCGACGAATAAATCCGATTAGCGACTTCACTACAGTACTAGCTAGCGAAACGTATTCCAGCACGCACGTAGCGGAAACGTAGGGCACACTACTTTATTCCTTCCCATCACGCCCTAAACCCCGCATCCCGGTGAGGCCACCCTCCTACGTCTCGCGCAACCCCATCCTCTGGACGACGTCCGCGGGCAGCGCGTACGTCGGGTCGATCCGTCTCAACCCTTCGAACCCGAGCAGCGACAGCCCGGCGACGCCGAAAAACGTGTGAAACACGTCCGGCTCGTCGCTCGGTCGATCCGCGATCCCCCCCTTCTCACCATCCTGCGCGTCGAGAATAAACCTCGCGAGCGCGTCCGCGTCGATCCACTCGAGCTTATTCAGTATGGACAACGCGGAGAGCACCCACCAGCCGTAGCACACGTCCGGCAACTTCTCCGGCCTGCCGTTTAAACCGCCAGCCTTGACCTGCCTCTCGCACAGCCACCACCCGAGCGCCTCGCGGTCGATCGTCCCCGGCGCGTCCCCTCCCGCGATCTCCAGCGCGGCGACGCACACGAAGATCTGCCCGGCGTGCGATTCGCCCCCCGGCTCGGCGCCGTAGCCGCCGTCCCAGTTCTTGCAGCGGTCCACGAAAGCCGCCGCGGCGTCGACGTCGATCGCGTCCATTCGTCCGCACAGCTTGCACAGGCACAGCGCGCAGTACGAGAACCGCGTGTCGATCTCCCCCCACTCGTCCCCCGCGAAGCTTCCGTCGTCGCGCTGCAGCGAGCCCGCGAACGCCGCGACCGCGTCCGCGTCGACGAGGTCCATACGATCGAACAGCGCGTAGATCTGCACCGCGCTGAGCGTGTACAACAGATGCGCGTCGTGGCCCTCGTTCCCGCCGTACCCGCCTTTCTTCGCGTCGTAGCATCGCGCCAGCCACGCCAAGACGCCGTCCCGATCCATCTCGTCCAGGCGTCCGAGCAGCGCCATCGCGGTGAGGCCCCAGTACGCGCCGGAGACGCGGAGGTGATCGGTCAGCGCGGACTCGATGGCGTCGTCGTCCGAGGACGCGCGCTGGATGAAGTCCGCGTGGAGGGAGGACAGGAGGCGCGACGGGGGGATGGACGCGACGCCGCCGCGCGACGTGGACGCGGACGCGGACGCGGACGCGGACGCGGGGGTGGGGTCCTCGTCGGGCATCGGGCGTGCGGGGACGACGCGCGAAGTGACCGCGCGCGGCCAGATTTCGTAAATCTGATGAGTGGCGGTCGTCGTCGCGGCGTTCATCATCATCAGTCCGAAAAGTTTCACGGGGCGGACACACGCCGGCAGGTCGTCCGGCGTCGTCGCGCGGCGGCGCAGACGCGCGCGCGCGGGGAACCGTCGCCGCGGACTGAAACCTCGCGGTCGCGTCGCCTCCACGGGCGCGGTCGCATCACGCCCGACGTCGCGCACGGGGCGGGACGCGCGTCGCCGCGATCGGTCGGTGATTTATTCTAGCCGTAGTGTGTCTGAGAGTCGGCGCCCCGTCCGTCGCGCGCGCTCCTCGACGTCTCGCGCGATGAAGGGCTTGAAGACGAAGAAACCGGCCGCGCCGTTCGCGCCGCTCGAGCGAGACGTCGAGCCGAACCTGCGGAAGCTCGGCTTCGTTCGCGCGCGGTGCGTCTCCCCGTCCGTCCCTCGCGTCGCGCGCGAGGTCGGCGCTCCGCCCGTCGCGCGATTCGATTCCGCGAGCGAAGCGATGATTCCGATTCCCTCCGTCGATCTCGCGGTCGCCGCCGCCGCCTCCGCCGCATCACGCCGACATCCCGCTTCGTCTCGCCCCTCCCTCGTCGCGTTCGCATCACAGACGCTCGGACCCGCCGCTGATATCGGAGAGCGCGATGAAGAAGATGATCGTCCTGAACGGCGCGCGCGGCGAGGACGCCGACGCGCGAGGAGGCTCGATTCCATCCTCTTCCTCGCGCGCGACGCCGCGCGATGACGCGACGCTCCCGAACGGCGTCGCCGTGAAGGACGCGCTGTACCCCGCGGCGAACATCAAGATGGAGTGGCCCGAGGCGCGGAAAATCGGCGCCGGGCTCGCGAACTTGGGCAACACGTGCTTCATGAACGCGGTGATGCAGTGCCTCACGCACACGCCGCCGCTCGCGCAATTCTGCCTCGCCGGGGAGCACCGCAAGTACAAACCGAAACCGAGGCGCGACGCCGACGGCGACGCCGACGGCGGCGGAGGCTCCGGTGGCTCCGGTGGCTCCTTCAGCGCGCTGTACGAGATGGGCGAGCACGTGTCCCGCGCGTTGGGGAGGGAGGGACGGAGACACACGATCGCGCCCGCGACGTTCGTGAAGAATCTGCGAGCGCTGTCGAAGACGTTTCGGAAGGGACGGCAAGAGGACGCGCACGAGTTCGCGCGGTGCCTCTTAGACGCCATGCACAAGCGCTGCGTCGACGCCGCGCGCCCGAAGCCGAAGGAGGGCAGCGCGCGCTCGGAGACGTCGTTCGTGTGGCAAGTCTTCGGCGGGCGGCTGCGGTCGCGGGTGGCGTGTAAGACGTGCGGCAAAATGAGGTGCTTTCTATACAAACGTATTTCACCCATCGCCCGGTTTCAACATTTGATCGCGTCACCTTTCAACTGACCGGTGAAAGTTTTATGGTACTACCCTCAGCGACACGTTCGACTCGTTCATGGATCTCTCTCTGGACGTCGCGAGGAGTCGATCGGTGCAGAGCGCGCTGAAGAGTTACACCGCCGTGGAGGTGCTCGACGGCGCGAACAAGTACAAGTGTGAGATGGGCCCGGGGAAGCCGCACATGACGCGAGCGACGAAGCAGTTCACGATCGACGCCGCGCCGAAGGTGCTGACGATTCAGGCGCGTTTTACTAGACGTCGTGCGCCGGTCCCCGCGCGACCGCGTCGGCGTGGTGAACGCCGATCCTTAAGGACTTTTCCCGTCGTGTCTCTCCGTCGCTCTCGTCCAATGAAACATCCACGTCATCGAATAACTAACCAATCACATCAATTCCCGCCACATCATCCACCAATCAAACGACCCTCAGTTGAAACGGTTCGAGTACGTGCCGTTCGGCCGAGGAAAGTTGAACCAATTCGTGGAGTACCCGACGCGGCTGGACGTGAGCGAGGCGATGAGCGACGCGTCGCCGCGCGCGCGAGGGCGCGAGCGGTACTCGCTGTTCGGCGTCCTCGTGCACAGCGGCGGGAGCATGCACAGCGGGCACTACTACTGCTACGTGAAGGGGAGCACGGGGCACTGGTACGAGATGGACGACGAGGGGGTGTCGCCGGTGAGCGAAAAAACCGCGCTGTCGCAACGCGCGTATCTGCTGTTTTACGCGCGCGCGCCGGCGGCGGCGGCGTCGGCGCCGGGCGCGAGCAGTCCGATCGTGGGACAGATCGCGCCGAAGCGGGAGCTGAACGAGAAGGAACGGAAGGCTGCCAAAGCGTCGGAGAGGAAGCGGAAGGAGGACGCGGCGGCGGCGGCGGCGGCGGCGGCGGCGCGGGGCGCCGCGGCGGACGACGACGACGACGACGACGACGACGACGAACCGTTCGCCGCGTCCGCGGCGGAGCGCGTGAAGAAGAAGCGTCGCGTCGTCCCGACTTCTCTCCCGGAGCCGACGCCGAAACCGTCGACGCCGCCGTGGGCGCGACCTCGCGACCGCCCGGGCGGGGGGTCGCCGTCCTCGCCGGAGGACGCGAGAGCGGCGGCGGCGGCGGCGTTGAAATCGCCCAAGCGGTACCACCGCTCGCGGAGCCCCTTTCTGAGCGCGCGCGAGTCCGTCGCGCTGTCGCTTAAACGGAACCGCCGGCTTCACCGAATGAAGCGCAACGGGAGCCTGAGCGGGTCGCCGCCGCCGCGCGTGCGGCCGGCGCGGACGCGGTCGGCGAGACGGAGAGACGCGTTGGGAAGCCCGCGGAGTCCGACGTCGCCGCGGAGCCCCGAGGTGGCGCCCGCGCCCGCGGCGGCGAGGAAGGCGACGGCGGTCGAGACGATAGAGAAGAAGCGATCCAAGACCGCCGCGGGGGTCACCTCCTCCGCGGCGGCGGCGGCGGCGGCGGACGGCGGCGCGTCCAAATCCGTGAAGCAGTGGCTGAACCGCGCCGCGCGCGCGTCGAACGTCGTCGGACGCGGCGGCGACGCCGGCGCGTGGGACGCGGAGGGAGGCGGGAGCCCGGACGAGAACGAGAGGCCGAAGCCCCCGGGGGAGCGCGGCGGAGGAGGAGGGCGCGCGCGCGGCGGCGACGACTTTGACGTCGACGTCGACTTTGATGACGCGAGAAAAACGAAACAAAAGCCGGGCCGGGGAATCTTCAAGCGCGCGCGCGCGTACGACGACCTGGACGAGGAGTACGACCGCGGGAAGACGTCGAAGCACCAGCGGAGGAAGGCGGAGGGGAGGATCGGAGGGAAGACGGGGAGGGTCGGCGGCGGAGGGTCGTCGAGGTCGGCGAACCCGTTCGCGACGGCGGCGAGGTTAAAGCGCGAGCGATGACCACTCAGCTCATGGCACTATCCTATTCTTTATTAAGCGACTAACTAAAACGCGCTACTACACGCGACTAGCCCTACGTACCCCCACGCCGTCGCCGTCACAGCGCGAGATCCTCGACGTCTATCAGCTTCCCCGCCACCTTTGGCGCCGCCCGGACGCCGTCGAACGTCCCCGCGGACGGGCACGCGTTCGCCACCGCGCACTCGCCGCACCTCGGTTTCCTCGCGTCGCACGTCTCCTGCCCGTGCGCGATGAGCGCCAACGTCGCGCGCTCCCACTCCTCCCTCGGCAGCCACTCCTCCATTCGCGCGCGCGTCGCCTCCGCGCTGCGGGACTCCGCGTCGGTGGTCCATCCGAGCCGCGACGCGACGCGGCGGACGTGCGCGTCGACGACGACGCCGCTCGCCTCGCCGAACGCGACGGACGCGACGAGATGCGCGATCTTAGGTCCCACTCCCGGGAGCGTCTTCAGCTCGACGACCGTCCTCGGCACGACGCCGCGGTGTTTCGCGCGAATCGCCGCCGCGACCTCCTTCACGTACCTCGCCTTCGTCCGCTTGTAGTTGCAGCAGCTCACGGCGTCTTCGATCGTCTCCCGCGTCGCCGCCGTCACCGCGGCGACGACGCATTGCCCTCCGAGCGCGTCGCGTAACCGCGTCATCGCTCGCAGCGCGACGCCGTCGCGGCACTGCACGGACAGCAGCGTCGCGACGAGCGCTTGAAACGACGGCTCGGGCTCCGCGGAGAGGGACAGGAGAAAGTCGTGGAACGCGTCGACGCGCGCGCGACGGCCGCGTCTCGACGCGAGGATCGCGTCGAGCGTCTCGCGCCACCGCGGCAACAGCTGTGCGCGCGCGGGGTGGCCGCGCGGGAGGAAGAACCGCTTGAGCTCGTCCCCCGCCGGGCCTCTCGAGGCGCCGCGCCCTTCGCGCTCGTGGTCCACGACGTCCGCGTACGTCTCGAGCGGCGCGACGCGCGCGTCGTCGTCGCCCGGCGGCTTCTTCGGTCGTTTGGCGACGACGGCGTCGTCGCTCGGGGTGCCGCCGACCGCGATGTTCGCCGCGTTTTTCGCGTCGTCGTCGTCGTCGTCGTCGCGCGCGCGCTTCCTCGCGTCGTCGTCGTCGTCGCCGCCGTCGTCGTCGTCGTCGCCGCGCTCGCTGCCGTTCTCGGACTCGCTGACGTGCCAGTCGTCGCCGTCGTCGCCGTCGTCGTCGTCGCGAGGGAACGACGAGATCCCGGGAACGATAATCTTCCCGTCCGCGTCCGCGTCGGCGTCCGCGGCCGCTCGCGCGCGCGCGGCGACCGCCGCGGGGAGCGGCGCCGGCGACCTCGGCGCGCCAAACCGGAACCCCTCCAGGAACGCGTCGACGTCGGTCATGACGAGAGCGTCATCGCGTCTCGCGCGGCATCGCGCGGGGGGGAACTGCCGCGAGCGTTGTCGACGACAACAACGGCCATCGTGCACCGCGCCCGACCGCGACCGCGACCGCCGTCTAAGCGCAAGGGCTTTCGAGCCGCCGCATTCAGTTCTCGTCGCGCGCCGCCTTCGGACGCGCCACCCGCGCGAAGGCACCGCACTTCGAACGCGCACGAGATGGCGATGACGCTCTCGACGACGAGGTGCGCCCGGCGTCTTCCCTCCGCGTCGTCGCCATCCCGCGCGACGACGCCGCGCCGCGGCGTCGCCCGATCGCGAAAACACCCGCTCCGGAGGCTGGCGCCCTTTCGTCGAAAGCGATCGATCCCTCTCGTCATCAGTTTCATCCGTCGTCCCCTCCCTCTCCCTCTCCCCGCCCGCAGCTTCGGCGACGTCGGCGCGTTGACGTCGCGCCGCGGCGGCAAGACGCGCCGCGCCGCCGCCGCCGCCGTCGTCGTCGCGTCGAAAGCGAAGGAGGTGCACCTCCTCGACTACGGCGCGGGCAACGTCCGGTCCGTGCGAAACGCGATAACGAAGCTCGGGTTCACCGTGATCGACATCGCCAAGCCGGAAGAGATCGCGCGCGCGGACAGGCTGATATTCCCGGGCGTCGGCGCGTACGGCAGCGCGATGGACGTCCTGAAGGCGCGCGGGCTCGTGGACCCGCTGCGCGATTACGTCGCGTCCGGCAAGCCGTTCATGGGCGTCTGCCTCGGGCTGCAGCTCCTCTTCGACGGCAGCGAAGAGAGCGGCGGCGTGGAGGGGCTCGGCGTGATCCCCGGGACCGTCGGGAGGTTCACCGGGGACGACCTCATCGTGCCGCACATCGGCTGGAACACGCTCGACGTGAGGAAGGACACCGGGCTGTTGTCCGACGTCCCGGACGGCGACCGGCTGTATTTCGTGCACTCCTACCGCGCCGTCCCGGAGAAGGCGAACGAGGATTGGGTCCTCGCGACGTGCGATTACGGCGGCGAGTTCATCGCCGCGGTGCAGAAGGGCGAGGTCACGGCGTGCCAGTTCCACCCGGAGAAGTCCGGGGAGAAGGGGATCGGCATCTTCAAAAACTTCCTCGAGGGAAACGCAAACGCGAGGGAGGCGGCGGGCGACGGCGCGAGATCGAGGTCCAAGTCGGATCGCGTCGCGACGGACAGAGGCCTCGCGAAGCGCGTCATCGCGTGCCTGGACGTGCGCTCGAACGACAACGGCGACTTGGTCGTCACGAAGGGCGACTCGTACGACGTCCGCGAGTCCAGCTCCGACGGCGGGGACGTACGGAACCTGGGCAAGCCCGTCGAGCTCGCCGGGAAATATTTCGAGCAGGGCGCGGACGAGGTCGCCTTCCTCAACATCACCGGCTACCGCGACCTCCCGCTCACGGACGCGCCGATGCTCGAAGTCCTGCGACGCAGCAGCGAGACGGTCTTCGTGCCGTTGACCGTGGGAGGCGGGATCAGGGACTTCACGGACAGCAACGGCGTGAGTTACACGTCGTTGGAGGTTGCGTCTGCGTACTTTTCGTCGGGCGCGGATAAGGCGCGTCCATGTTTACAATGGTCCCCATCTATACGACCCCGTCGGCGTGGTGAACGCCGTTCCTTGAGGACTTTATCTCCCGGCGATTCTCTCCGCCCGCCCCTCGATTTCAATCCCGACACACTTCGACGCCTTTCAACTCCGCTTCTGACGCCTTTCAACTCCACCCCGACGTTCGTCGCTTCGTGTGGACCCTCGACCCCAAGATATCCATCGGCTCAGACGCGGTGTACGTCGCGGAGGCGTACTACGCGTCCGGGGGTAAAAAAGACGGCACGACGAGCGTGGAGCAGATCAGCGAGCGGTACGGGAACCAGGCGGTGGTGATCTCGATCGACCCGCGGCGGCAGTACGTGAAGGATCCGAAGGACACGAAGAACAAGACGGTAAAGACGTCGCGGCCGGGGCCCAACGGCGAGGAACACGTCTGGTTTCAGTGCACGGTCATGGGCGGGCGGGAGGGGCGGGACATCGGCGCGTACGAGCTCGCGGTCGCGATGGAGGACCTCGGCGCCGGGGAGATTTTGCTCAACTGCATCGACGAGGACGGGCAAGGGAACGGGTTCGATCACGAGCTCGTCGGGTTGGTGTCCGACGCGGTGAAGATTCCCGTCATCGCGTCGTCGGGCGCGGGGTGCCCGCGACACTTCGTGGACGTCTTCAGCAGCACCAACTGCAGCGCCGCGCTCGCGGCGGGGATTTTTCACCGCGGCGAGGTGGACATCTCGGAGGTGAAGGCGGACATGCGAGAGAACGCGATTCCGACGCGGACGTGACGCGTCGCACGTCGAAGAGAAGGAAGGGCTGGCGGGAGGGCGGCGTCTTTCGAACGACGCGCCTCGCGCTCGCGCTCGCGCCGCGTCGTAGTCTGATACGCTGTGATTGTGAAGGCGTCATCGTAAAATTACAAGTCGACTACGCGCGTGTGTAAGTACAGACAAAGTGCGTCGCGATCCTCCGTCGTCTCCCGATCGTTCGATCGATCGATCGATCGTTCGTTCGATCGATCGAAGCCGTGATGGATGGATCATTCCCGCGATCGACCGATCGATTCTTCTCGCTCACGCGTTGACGACTGACGCCTTCTCCGCGTCCGTGCACGCGGCGAGCACCTTCTCCCTGAGCACGTCCGGCTTCGCCCCGGACCACTCCTCGACCTTCTCGCCGTTCCGGAACGTCATGAACAGCGGGACGACGCGGACGCCCCACTCCTTCATGAGCGCTCGCGTGTCCGCGTCGTGGTCGCCCATGATCTTACAGAACGTCACGTCCGCGAGCTCCTCGCTGAGTTTCGCGAAGTGCGGGTAGACAACCTTGCACGGGCCGCACGTCTTCGTGGAGATCTGCACCGCGACCTGTCGGTTTGGTCGATTCGATCGACGACGGGGCGGCGGGCGGGGGGGTGAGCGAAATAAATAAATCGATCGATCCAATCCAGGTGGCAAAGATTTTCCGCGTGAAGAAGAAGAGAAGAAGAGAAGATGGGCGGTTCGATCGATCCTCCGAGCGCGCGCGCACCAGGTTGTCGCCCGCCGCGTTGCACGCCGCCTCGAACGCGTCCTTGGAGTTGCACATCTTCACGCGGCCGTCGCCCGCGATCCCCTTCTCGGCGGCGCGCACGAGCACCGTGGCGGACCTGTCGGGAGGATCGACGAGCGGGGATGATATTTCGCGCGGGGAGCGGATAGGTCAGCGGGCGTCGTTGCTTCTCGGGAAGCGCGGAAAAACGAATAAGATCGCGCGCGTCGCGCGTCGCGTCGCGCGACGCGGCGCTCGCGACGCGTCCTCCTCCTCGAGAGCGCGTCTCAGAGACGTTTGGCGCGGGCGATCGGAAATTTCGACGCGAGGCGCGCACCGGCCGGAGACGCGCGAGACGCGCGCGGGCGCTCGCGGAGTCATCACGCGAGAGGGTTGAATTCGCGCGCGAGTCGCCATCGTGCTTCTGGGTGCGTGCGAGTAGTTCGTGTCTTTCGTGAGGTCACGCGCGGCGTGAGCGTGCGGGAGTCGTGAGACGGTCTTTCTCGTGAGATGTCGCGTGGACGACGTGAGGTGCGTGTGGAAGCGCGCGCGTGTGTGCCGCGCGGGCGCGAGGGGCGAACGCGCGAGGCCAATTTCCCGAACCACGTTTTCGGGTGTCGTGGTCGTGACAGTGACAGGCGAAAAAACGCAGACTAATTGCTCGTACGAACGGCGCGGGAGGGAAGATGCGTCACGGCACGTTTTACTTCACGAGGCTTCTCGGCCGCGCGGTGCCAGATCATCGATCGAATCTTGGTCCGGTCGCGCGTCCTCGGTCGGTCACGCGAGATCTGACCCGCGGCAGCTGAGATAGACCGCCCCGGTGCCGCCTCCGCCGCGCGACCGCCGCTCCGCGCGCCTCACTCCCCCGCGCGCCGCCGTCGTCGTCGACCCCGCGTCGTCCCTGCCGACCTCCCCCGTCGCCGACCTCTAGCGCGCGCACCGCGCACCGCGCACCGCGCCGCCGACCTCGCACGCCGCGCGGAGATCGACCGACCGATCGATCGCGCGCCGTCCGTCCGTCACCACGAACGTCCTCGCCATGGCTGCGATGTGCCTCACCTCCGCGGTCGCGGCCGCGCGCTTGACCGCCGCGTCCTCCGCGACCGCGCCGCGCCGCACCGCGCGCATCGCGTCGAACTCGAACGCGCGCCGCGGCTCGACGACGCGTCTCAACGCGGTCTTCACGCCGCCGGACCCCACGAAGGTCAAGCCGCTGCCCATGCGGATCGGGCACGGCTTCGATCTGCATCGGATGGAGCTGCTCACGGAGATGCCCGGCCTCGAGCTGTGGCTGGGTGGGATCAAGCTCGAGCACGACCGCGGGTGCGTCGCGCACAGCGACGGCGACGTTCTGCTGCACTGCATCGTGGACGCCATCACCGGCGCGCTCGGGATGCCGGACATCGGGCAGCTGTTCCCGGATAACGACCCGAAGTGGAAGGGGTGCACGTCGGACGTGTTCGTGACCGAGGCGTGCCGGCTGATGCGCGAGGCCGGGTACGAGATCGGAAACATGGACTGCACGATCATCGCGCAGAGGCCGAAGATCTCGCCGCATAAGGAGGCGATCCGGGCGAACCTCGCGAAGATGCTCGGCGCGGACGAGAGCGTCATCAACGTCAAGGCGAAGACGCACGAGAAGGTTGACTCGTTGGGAGAGAACCGGTCCATCGCGTGCCACACCGTCGTGTTGTTGAACAAGGTGTGAGTGATGGATGGATAACGGTTCGGAGATGAGCGTTTAATACATACGCGCGCGTTGGAGAGGGTGATAGTACGTAATACGTAGCTGTTGTTACAACACGCACGTTTCGTTCGTTGGTACAGGCGGCGTTCGTATTCGTACATGTACACGCGTCGCGTTGTCGGCGGAGCGTCGACGCGCGCGGGCGGTCCCCGCGGTCGACCTCCGTCGTTCACGTTCACGTTCAAAGATGCGATGCGATGCGATGCGATGCGATGCGATGCGATGCGATGCGATGCGATGCGATTCGTGTCGGTGTCGTGACGTACCGTAACGCTCATCAAGAAACCGTTTCGTTTCGTTTCGATTCGTTCAGTCGTACATCCCCGCGATGTAATCTTTGCAGATTTGCACCTCTTCGCGTTCTTCGCTGAGGAGCGCCTTGACGACGTCCCCGATCGTGACCATGCCCTCCATGCGCGCGTCGTGCTCGCCGTCCGTGGACAGGCACGGGATGTGCCTGGAGACAGGATCGCGTAGGGGTTCGAAAAAGAAACGCACGCGTCAGAACGGTTACTACGTACGTCGGGGCCAGAAAAAAAACAAAAAAAAAACAAAAAAAAAACCAAAACCCGTCGACGCCGACGACGCACCGTATGCGCTGCTCGGTCATGATCTCCATCGCCGCGAGCACGGACGTGTCCGGGGTCACGCTCACGAGCGCGTTCGGCTCCTCGTCGAAGTCAGTCATCACCTCCCGGACGGTCGTGTCCTCCTTCACGCGCCCTCTGGCCACCGCTCGAAGGTAGTCGCGCTCGGTCACGATGCCCTTGAGCGCGCCAACGCGCGGCGCCGCGCGCAGTTCGCTCTCGGTGATGACCTCGTTCCCGTCCGCATCGAGCGCGCTGTTGTCCATCACGAGCAGCGCGCCGACGTCCGCGTCCGTCATCTGTCGCACGGCCTTTAGAATCCCGTCGTTCACGTCGCAGAAGTGCGTCGCGCCCCAGAAGGAGAGCTTGTTGTGCTTGGCTTCGAGGATGTCTCGCATCACCGTGTGCGTGAAGACGCAGAAATCGTCGGCGATGTTCGGGTTGTCGATGTCGTCCGCGGTCGCCTGTTTGTCTTTGGCGCGAGCGTTCGGGTCGAAGGGCGAGTGAAGCACGGCGTGGTCAGAGACCACGCCGCGCTTCCCCGCCTTCTCTGCCGCCTTGAGCGCGCTGACGCGCAGCGCCGCCGCGGCCGCGACCTCGTGGCACATGCACTTGATCTTGTCCGGGGACGCCGCGCGCTTCGCCTCCGCGCCGTGGAACTCGAAGTGGTACCTCGGCGCGTCCGCGTTGTCCGCGTTCGCGGGCGGCGGCGGCGGCGGCCTCTTCGCGGCGTCCTCCGCGCCGAGCGCGACGGCGGAGGAGGACGACTTCGAGCTGAACGCGTCGTGCGCGCCGTCGAGCGCGGACCACGGCGCGCTCGGGAGCTCGACGAGCCTCGGCGGCCACACGGCGCGGTCGAACGCGGTCGACGCCCACCAGCTCGTCGCCGCGCGCGACGGCGACGCGGCGAACGCGCGCGATGGCGACGGAGCGCGGGGAAAACCCCAACCCCGGGCGGGGAAAACCCCGCACTGGGGGGGTTTCCCCGCGAGGAGAGAAACGACGCGAGCGACGCGAGCTTCGGAGACGACGCGGGCGAGCATGCGCGGCGACGGCGCGGCGGCGGCGGGGGCGGAGGCGCGAGAGGTCGGGGCTTCGCGCGGGCGGTTAGAGGACTCTGGAGCGCGTGCGCGTGGTCTGCGCGCGCGCGGGCGGGCCGGGGTCGTAACGGCACATGAAGACGCTGAGTCAGCATGACGCGTGTGCCACGACGGCCACGCGGCGTCGTCGCGTCCGAGGAACGTCGCGGGAACGCCGCGCGAACCGGTCGTCCCTTTCTTATTAATATTAAAAAATCGCTCCTCCTCTCGTCCTCCGCCCCGCCGCCGTGGTCACAAGCTCTGCACGTCGCGCCGCAGCTCGTCCAGCGCCTCCGACAGCCGATCCCTGGTCGCCTGCGACGCTTTCACGGCGTCCTCCGCGGCGACCGCGGCGTTCGCCCACGGCGTCGTCATCGCGCGCACGCGTCGCGTCGCGGCGCCGATCTCCCTCTGAGGTGCGTTCCATACAAAGCGATGTCGGGGTGGAGTTGAAAGGCGTCAGTTGGAGTTGAAAGGCGTCGAGGTCGGGGAATGAAAGCGAGGGGTGGGCGGAGAGATGCGCCGGGAAAAGTCCTTAAGGATCGGCGTTCACCACGCCAACGCGGTCGTATGGGAACCAGTGCACAGAACGCGCCTGAAACTCAGCCTCCATCGCGGCTTCCACGTCGGCCAGGAGCGCGTCGGCGGCGTCTCTCACCTTCGCCTTCGCCTCCGCGCGCTTCAGCGGGAGAGATAACACGCTGACGTACCCCACCGCGGCGGTGAGCGCGAACGCGAGGACGTCCTCCGCGAGGTTGTCTAGGAACCCGGAGAGGAAGACGGCGACGACGAACGCGCCGCCGGCGGCGCCGACGGTTGAGTAGACGGCGTCTTTGACTTCGTTTTCGAGCGCGGCGGCGGCGGCGTCGTGGTCGAACCCCGCCGCGATCGCGAGCGTCGGCGTCCCGGGCTCGGCGGGGGTGAAGATCTTGCCGGAGGTGGCTCTCTTCTTCGTCGGGTCCTCGCCGGCTAACGCGTCGGCGACGACCGTTTTGGTGGTCTCCGCGGTCGCGTCCTTCGCGTCGTCGTCGTCGTCGTCGTCGTCGTCCTTATTCTCCGCCACACCTTTCACCACGTCACCCACCACGTCACCAATCCCATCGTCCGCCACGTCGTCCACGAACTCCGGGACGTCGAACCCGCGCGCGCGCACGGCCTCGTCGTACGCGCTCACCTGCCGCTCGTTGTTCCTTCGAAGCCACCCCGTGTGCTCTCTCAGCGCCGCCCGCAGATCCTCCTCCGCCCCCGCCAGCACCTGCGACTCGTACCGCTCGCGGATCTTCCCTCCGCCGCCGTCGCCCAAGACGTACGTCGCGAACAAATCCGACGCGTTCGTCAAGCGAAGCGTCTGGTCCAGGAGCTCGTCGCACCGCGCGGTCGCCTTCGAGACGCTGTCTCGCACCGCCTGCTTTTGCGACGAAAAGTCGCTCGCCATCGCCTCGACGTAAGCCGCCATGGCGTCGGCGACGCCCGTCGCGGCGGCCACCTCCGCGGCCGCGTCCGCTCTCTCCTCCGCGAGGACGTCCTCCGCGGCGGTGAACAGCATCGTTCCGACCTGGATCGGCGTCCCGAGCTTCAGGCGGAGGCCCTCGCCGGACGCGGTGGCGGCGTTCCCGTTCCCGCCGCCACCGCCGCCGCCGCCGCCGAGGAAGGACAGGACGTACTCTTCGAGCGCGTCGAACCCGCTCGGGGTCAAGCTCGCGCTCTCTTGCTTCGCCTTGAGCGCTCTCCTCGCGCTGACGGGCAACACCGTCGGATCGGTCACGCCGAGAAGGCGCTTCGCGTTGTCCTCCACGAAGCCTTTCACCTCGGTCACGTCGTTCTCGCTGATCGTGTCGCACTTGTTCACGACGAAGACCACCTTTTTGTCCCACTTGCGAATGTACTTTAAAAATGTCACCTCCGACTCCGTCATCGGCCGGTCCGCGGAGAGCACGAAGAGCACAAGGTCCGCGCGCGGCACGAACTCCTCCGTGAGTCTCTGCTGCCGCTCCAAGATGACGTTCGTCCCGGGCGTGTCCACGATGTTCACCTCCTTGAGAAGCTCCGCGGGGACGAGCTGCGTGTAGAACCCATCCTTGCTCTGCTCCGTGGCCGCCTTGTCGCCGTACCGCAACACCGTGATCTCGTTCGTCGTCGGGAGGATCCCCTCGCGCAGGTGCTTCTTTCCCAGTACGGCGTTGATAACGCTCGACTTACCGGCGTTAAATTCGCCGACGATGACGAGCAGGAACAGCTCCTCGAGCCCTCGGCGCGCTTCCACGAGCAGATTAATTTCCTCCAGAGCGCTCACCGACTCGGTCAGAAAGACGACGGCGTCGTCGAGGAGGCGCCGCTCGCGCTCGAGCAGCGCCTGCGCCTTCGCGTCGATCAACTTCCCGGCTAACCCGCCGCTCGAGGCCCTCGAGGTCGAACCCACGCCGGCTTCGTCGTCCCCGGTTTTTGCCGCGTTCGCCGCCGCCTTCGCGGCGAGCACCGCGGCGGTGGCGTCGGCGACTTGGTTCCCCGCCGCGTCCCCCGCCGCGGCGAGCGCCTTCTTCAACCCTTCCAGCGCGGTCGGGACCCCTTCCGCGGCGTCCGCGCTCGGCGGCGGCGTCTCCATCGCGACCCCCAGCGCGCCCGCCTCCGCGAGCGGCTTCACCCCCGCCCAGCCGACGACGCCGCTCCACCCGTCGCGCGGCGGCGCGAACGTCGGGACTGAGATCTTCCCCGCGACGGCGGCGACGACGTCTTCGCTCGGCGCGACGATCAGGTCCGCGCCCTCTTTCGCGGCGACCAACGCCCCGCTCGCGTCGGTCACCTTACACGCGACGATCGCGGACGACGCCGCGAGGGACTTGCGCGCGACGACGACCGGGACGCCGTCGTCGCTGAGGAGGACGCCGTCCGCCTCCGCTGAGGGTCGTTCCATACAAGCGATTGTCGGGGTGGAGTTCAAAGGCGTCAGGTGGAGTTGAAAGGCGTCGAGGACGGGGATTGAAAGCGAGGGGTGGGCGGAGAGAGACGCCGGGCAAAGTCCTTAAGGATCGGCGTTCACCACGCCGACGCGGTCGTATGGGGACCAGTGTATAGAACGCACCTGACGCGGCGATGTCCGTGCGATCGGCGACGAGCATCGCCGCGCGTCCGCGCAGCGCCTCCTTGAGCGCGAGCGCGGCGTTGAAGAGGTCGCGCGTGGAGCTCACGCCGTTGGCGTCGGAGAGGACGACCGCGGTCGCGCCCGCGGCGACCGCGGCCTCGATCGCGGGCATCGTCTTCGAGACCTCGCCGTCCGCGTCGACGACGTCGGACGGCGCGACGGTGAAGGCGAACCCGGGGATGCGAACCTCGACGCGCTTCTTCGCGGCGAAGACGCCGCCGGCGTCGTCCTTCCTGTCCTTGTCCTTGTCCTTCCCGCCGCCGCCGCCGCCGAAGAGCTTGCCGATCGCGCTCGGGGGCGTCGTCGTCGACGCGCGGCGGCGACCGCGCGGAGGGATGGGGACGACGCGCGCGGCGAGGACCGAAGCGCGCGATCCGTGATGACGGCCCGCGATCGCGACGCGAGCGGAGACGACGGCCGCCGACGCGGCCGCGGCCGACGTCGGCGTCGCGCGCCGCGCGCGCGAGGCGCGGACGCGCGACGCGGACGGCGCGAGGGCGACGCCGCCCGCGCGCGTGGCGCTCGTGCCGTGCATCGCTCGTGGACGCGGACCGGCGGACGCCGCGCGCGCTGTGGATATCTGACATGATGCCGCCGACCCTGCTGTGGCTGGACAAGTGGCGTGCCTAATTTTTTCATTCGCCCTGGTTGGCTTTCACCGGTTCAGGGCGATTCAATATCGGTCAGTTGAAAGGCGACGCGATCAAATATTGAAACCGAGCGGTGGGAGATTTCGGCGGGAATCGAGCTCGGGATTTCCTGGACGAGACCTGAAGTTTTTGACGTCGCCGCCGCCGCGTCCAAACTGCTCCGTTCGACCCGAAACTTCGTGGAGAGCTGCGTCACGTCGTGTAGACCATCGTGGGGGCAAAAGAAGATTGATCCCGGCCTGACTCGAACAGACAACCTTCAGATCTGGAGTCTGACGCACTACCAATTGTGCTACGGAACCGTAGGATCCCTCGAGCGTACGAGGGAGACTACCAGTGAGATTGGATCAGTGTCCGTTTACCGGAATTTTAGAAATATATACCCTCGTTTCGATACCCATGCTTGAAATCTCCGCGTTAAAACGACGGTCTATTAACTCGACAACCCCAGGGACTGGCCGAGAACGCCTTGCCACGCAAGCGAGATTGCGTCCCATTGGCTGAGCGCTTTCGCTTTTTTTGGATTTTCCCAGAGGAGGGCACCGTCGTATGGACAAACAGTCAGAGGCGTACATCGTATCCGCTACTCCCGAAACCGCACCACCGCCGCGCATATAGCGGCGGTCCGCGGCGCGTCGCATCTAACTTCCGCACACACCCCAGTTCACCCCCCCAAGCCGCGCGCAGTTCTTCGGAACTCACGCACCCGGTACGTCCGCGCGCGCGCCAGATCTTCGCCGCGCGCGTCTCGCGCCGTCGCCGTCGCGCGCTCTGCGGGGTTCGCGCCGAGCGGGCCCGATTCGTTTTTCAGCGCTTCTTCTCCCGCTTCCCCAAGAGACGCGCGCCGGAAGACGCGTCGACGCGCGGGGTCGATCCTCGACGCGCCGCGCGCAGAGCGGTGGGAACGTCGACGACGTCCGCGACGCGTCGTTCCCTCCGTCGCGGCGCGGCGGCGCGGCCGCGTCGCCGCTCGCGCGCGCGTCTCCGGCCGCGAACCCAACTCGGGGAAATGCGCCGCGCGTCGCTCGCGTCCAGCAGCGAGCGCGCCGCGCGAAGAAAAATCTCGCTCCGGAGAAACCAACACTGACCCCTCCTCCTCCACCTCCCTCCCTCCCTCTCGTCGCAGCACACTAAACCGACTCAAGAAACAGCACGATGCCTTCCACGCAGCAAGTCTACACCGCTCTCTCCATCATCTCCCTCGGGTCCCTCATCGGCATGGGCGTCGCCGTCGGCAGCGGCGTCTCGATGATGTCCTTCGCGATGCTCGAGGAGGAGCAGAAGAACAAAGTCGCCGCCGCGTCCGTGGCGGAGAAGTCTTTCCGGCCCGTCGCGTCCGCGCGCGGGTTCGCCGCGTCGTCGTCCAACTAAATCGAAATCATCACGTCGTGAACACACGGCGCGGCGCGTGCCCTGGTCGCTCCTGCACGCCGACCCGCGCGGGTCGTCATCTTCATGGATCACGCGCGCGGGAGGGGTGCGAGACGAACGGCCGGCGGTCGCGACGCGTCGTCGGTTCACGACGTTTGATTTTTTGGGTTTCGGCGACTGGCGACGAATGACGACTATCTATAACTGTACAAAGACTTTAACGACGACAACGGCTGGCTGCGACGTGGAAGACGAGAAGAGCACACGATTTGGGGTGGGAAATACCACTTAACCGCGCGCGCGCTGTACGCGATATGCGCGCCGGCCCCTCATTCGCTTCTCGCGCACGGCTTCCTCATCGCTGAGAAAAAACAAAACCGCGAAGATCTCACTTGAATTGAACACTCATCAGGGATTATACGGGCTCGACGATTGATTCATCGTCGGCGGCCGTTTCCTCGTGTAATTTATCACACAACCTGTATCGAGGAACGGCGGCGCCTTGGGGTTATTACGTACCCGGCGCGCGAGCCCATCCTTCATCGATCCTCAGAGTGCTGTACGCATACACTTCCGCGACGAGTTTGGTTTCTCAATAAAAATTCATTCTTTGATGACTGTTCGACGTACAACCTACACGACCACGCGCACGTCTTCCTCGTCTCCCTCTCGCGTCTTCTCCTCCTCGTCGCCGCCGTCGTCGCATCTTACCCCCACCCGCACCCCATCATCACCGATCGCGTCCTCCCTCCGTCAGATCAGATCAGATGCGCACGATGTCCACGCGCGCGCGCCTCTCGATCGCGTGCGCCTGCTCGCCTCTCGCGCCCGGCTCGGGCGCGCCCTCCGTCACGTACACGTGCGCGATCGTCCCTCCGATGTTCCCCTTCGCCAGCCTCCCCGGGTTCAGCGCGACGAACGCGGGCGCGTCCTCGTCGTCCTTCGCGCGCGGCGGCAGCGGCGGCGCGCCCTCCGCGGCTTCGGCGACGACGCCCCCAGCCGGCTGCGCGACGATCTTCGCGAACGGGTTCAGGTCCGACGGCACGAGCAGCACGTCGGGGGTGACGTCCATCTCCAGGTGCGCCGCGAGCGACGCGTCCAGGCACGCGCCGGCCGGCGCCGGGAACAGCGGGTACGCGCTGCTCTGCCCGGGGAGGTGCGCGGCGAGTCGAGACATGCGGTCCGGGGCGGCGCCGCCCGCGCCGCCGCCCGCGCCGCCGCTCGCCGGCTCCCTCGCCGCCTCCGCCGCGCTGAGATGCCGCAACACGTCCTGCGTGCACGCCGCGAACGTCACGCCGTTGATGGAGAACACCCCGGGGTTCGGCGCGCACGCGATGGCGCACGACCGCGGGAGCTCGAGCTCGCGCTCGGACAGCAGCGGCGGCTGCGGAAACACCGCGTCGTGCGTCACGTCTCGCGTCGACGGCATCACGACGACGGACGGCGCGTAGCCGGCGTCGTCCGCGTCCGCCGCGAACCTCTCGAGCGCGTCGCGGACGCGCAGCGCGAAGACGTCCTCGAACGACACGTCCAGCGGCGCGTCGTCGCCTCTCACGGACTTGTGCTCCGCGTCCACGAACGGGCCCATGAGCACGACGGCGTCCTGCGTGGGTGAATCGATCGGTCAGTCGAACGTCTTACCGGTCAAACGTTGAAAGGGAAGCGCGGGTGAAGAGTGACGACGGGAAAAGTCCTTAAGGAACGGCGTGCACCACGCGAACGGGGTCGTATGGGAAGCAGTCTCACCGGACGCGTCTCCGCGCAGTACGCCAAAAATTCATTCAGCGGCTCGTACGACAGGTCGCCCGCGCACGTGTACGGGCCGGACGCGATCGCGACGGACAGCGACCCGAACGCGGGGGACGACGCGGTGGACTTGACCCCGCTCGGCGCGACGGACGCGATGAGGCGGCGCGCGACGAGGCAATGCCCGCTCGGGTTCGACCCCTGCACGCAGACGATCTGCCCGGGGAACAGCGAGAACCGCGGCAGCTCTCTGAGGGTCGAAGGTCCATACGAAGCGACGTCGGGGTGGAGTTGAAAGGCGTCAGAAGCGGAGTTGAAAGGCGTCGAGGTGTGTCGGGATTGAAAGCGAGGGGTGGGCGAAGAGAAACGCCGGGAAAGAAAGTCCTTAAGGATCGGCGTTCACCGCGCCGACGCGGTCGTACGGGGACCAGTGTATAGAACGCGCCTGAGCTCCAATCGAACCCTCGCGCCGTTGCTCGTCTCGACGCTTCCCTCGAGCATCACCGACGCCTCGTTGAGCTTCCCCTCGGAGTCGCACACGACGCGGCCGACGACGGTGACGTCGTCCTGCGACGCCGCGTACGTCGCGCCGCCGCAGTCGAGTCCCGGGTACCGCCTCTCGACGGCGCGTTTGAACGCGCGAAGACGCGACTCGATCATTTCCACCTTGTCGCCGACGCGGTCGCGCATGTATCGCACGTCGCGGCGCAACGGCGCGCCCCTGACCGCGACGGTCGCCGCCTGAGCTTGGTTCTTCTTCTTCGCGATCGGCAGCTCCGCGTTGAGCTCGGACTTGGCCGCGCGTCTCGCCGGTCGCTTTGAAAACGCGGACGTCCCCGGCTTTGGCGCGCTCGCGTCTAAGATCGCGCGCGCGTTCGGATGCCGCGTCGGCGTCGTCGCGTCGTTCGCGTTAAAGGCGCCGCGCGTCGCGAGGACGTGCGCCGCCTTCGCGTTCGACGTCTTCGCCGCGGGGGTGTACGCGCGGCCGGGCGTCGTCGCCGCGAGCGACGCGTCCGCGTCGTCGGCGTCCATCGCGTCGATCGTCTCGAGGATGTCCCCGCCGCCGTACGTGTAGTACGCCGTCGGCGTCTTCTTCGCGGACGCCTTCTTCACGCTGAGGTGTGTGCGCTCGTAGTGCGACCGGAACGCGTCCATGACCGCGGACGACGGCGTCGCGGGGACTTTCCCGGGCGGCGCGGACGAGAAGAAGGTGTCGTACGCGATCGCGAGGTCGTCCGCGGTCGCGCCGTGCGCTCGGCACATCGCGAGGCACTCGGCCGCGACGTCCTTACCGTCCGCGTCGTCGCCGAGGGCGAACCCGTAGGTCTCGAACGCGCGCGATACGTCGATGACATCCGCCATGATGCTACCTGCCGCGTGCGCGGGTGCGTGTGCGCGCGCGCGCCGTCGGATGTCTGGACCGACGCGCGCGCGCGTCGTGGTTCAAACATTTCAAACGCGGTTGCCAACAAAATGGAAAACTGGCGCCGACACCAGCGTACGGCGCGCACCTTCAAGTACGCAACTTTCCGCCCATCGGGTAGAAAAATACCCTGACTTCCGATCCACTAGACCGCTGAAAGGCGGTGCTATGTAAAGTGAAACGGGATTTGAGACTATTTTCGTATGAGCAAATAGTCTCAAATCCCCCGTAGTGTAGATGGTTATCACACTAGGCTTTCACCCTAGTGACCCGGGTTCGAGTCCCGGCGGGGGAATACTTTTGCCGGTCAAATCGACCGGAACGACCGACGACGACGGTTGCTGACGGATGATTTTTTTTGGCTTCGACGCGCATCGCTCGGCGCGCGCGCGGGCGGCGTCAGCGTGGCGCGCGTCGACCGACATGAACGGGAACGCCGCGAGCGGGTTCGCGCGGAAGATGCTGCCGCTGTCCATCGAGACGCGGACGCGGCCGTACGAGCGCATCGGCGCGGGTGCGTCCGTCGATCGATCGATCGATCGATCGATACACTATCGATCGATCGGTCGATCGCGCCTCGCGCCTCGTCCGTCGCCCTCCTCCTCCTCTTCTTCTCGTCGTCGTCCGTCCGTCCGTCGTCCGCCTCACCATCCCTCCCTCCCGCCCGCCGCGCAGTGTCCCCGCGGAAGAAACACCAGCCGCAGTGGTGGGCGTCGCTCGCGTCCGATCCACGCGCGTTGAAGATCGCCGTCGCGCTCGCGCTCGTCGTCGCGTTCGCGTTCGCGCTCGCGGCGGCGGTGGACGCGAGCTCGGACGCGAACCACTCGCGCGTCGTCGTCTTCGACGCGGGCAGCACGGGCAACCGCGTGCACGTCTTCAAGTTCTCGTCCGACGTGGACGGCGTGACGCTCGTCTCGGAGACGTTCGCGGCGAAGTCGCCGGGGTTTCGAGACCTCGCGTCGAAGGGCGCGAAAGTCGCCGCGGACTCGCTCGACGCGCTCATAGACGTCGCGCGCGACGAGGTGCCAGCGAAGATGCGGTCGCGGACCAAGCTGACGCTCCGCGCGACCGCGGGGATCCGTCTTCTCCCGGAGGGCGCGGAGGCGGCGGAAGCGATCATGCGCGCGGCGAGGAAGAAACTCATGGGGACCGGTTTCGACGTCGAGGATCGACGCGTGAGCGTGATGAGCGGCGAGGACGAGGGGAAGTACGCGTGGACGAGCGTGAACTACCTCCTCGGCCGCGTCGGCGTCGGGAAGAGCTTCGAGAACGGCGGCGGCGGCGCGGAAGATGGAACGTCGACCGTCGCGGTGCTCGACCTGGGCGGCGGCAGCGCGCAGATCGCGTTCGCGGTGTCCGACGCGGCGAAGGCGTCGGCGCCGCCGGGGAAGGGGTACGTCCAGAGCGTCGGCGACGGAGGACGGCGCGACGACGTCTACGTCAAGTCTTTCGCCGGGTACGGCCTGATGGCGGCGCGCGCGAAGGTGCTCGCGACGGGCGGAGACGACGAGGATAGCGGCGGTAACGGCACGCATCCGTGCGTTCCCGCCGGGTACGTCGGCGGGTGCGAGGAAAACTGTTACGGGCTCGCGCCGGGGGAGAGGCGCGTTCTATACACTGGTTCCCATACGACCGCGTTCGCGTGGTGAACGCCGTTTCTTAAGGACTTTTGCCGGCGTGTCTGTTCGCCCACCCCTCGGTTTCAATCCCCGACCTCGACGCCTTTCAACTTCAACTGACGCCTTTCAACTCCACCCCGACGTCGCTTCGTACGGAACGACCAGCTACGTCGCGAGGGCGCGCGCCGCCGGCGCGGATTTCAGAGCGTGCCTCGCGGCCGCGATCAAATCGCTGGCGCTGGACGCGACGTGCGAGGACGCGCCGTGCGGCATCGCCGGCGCGTGGACGACGCCGCGGACGACGAAGCTGCACGCGATGAGCTACGTGTACGAGCGCGCGGTGCAGGTGCGGCGCGAGGACTTTTCTTCCCGGCCAAGCGTCGCGTCTCGTTTCGTCTCTCTCCGCCCGCCGCCCCTCGCTCGTCGCACTCCGCGACGCCTCGCGACGCCTCCGACTGACGCGCCCGCCCCCGCGCTCCGCCCACCCCTCAGTCGCGCGCGGCGAAGACGTACGACGCGGCGACCACGACGAAGACGGACGCGCTGACGGTGACGCCAAAAGATTTCGAAGACGCGGGGGAGGCGGTGTGCGCGACCGCGGCGGCGGACGTCGCGACGAGGTACCCGGACGCGGACCCGGAGCACGCCGCGTACCTGTGCCTGGACGTCGCGTTCATTCGCGCGCTGCTGGTGGACGGCCTCGGGGTGGGCGTGAACGAGGCCGTCACGATAGTGGATCAGATCGAGTACGACGGGAAAGGGGTCGAGGCGGCGTGGGCGCTCGGGGATGCGGTCGCGACGCTCGGGGAGGGCGCCGACCCGGACGCGATATTCGGCTCGAAAGGGCGGCGGCGGCGATGAGACGACGCGATGAGATGGACGGTCGCGGTCGCGACTGGAGGGACGAGCGACCGCCCGCCCCGCGGTAGTTTATTACGAACCAAAATAGCTAACGTTGATCGATTGGCGCGTCGTCGCGGCGCGCCCTCGTCGACCCGCGTCACTCTCGCGGCGGCGGCGGCTCGCCCTCGCGAGCCACTCGCTCCCTCATCTCGTGTACGGCCTCGTACATCTCCCTCCCGATGCCGCCGCTCTCGTCGCACATCGCCCCCCACGCGTGCTTCGCGAACTGCGTCATGAGAGAATCTTCCATCTCCTCTCTCAGCGCGTCAACGAGCTCCTTCTCGCTCATGTGCGCCGAGTGCCTGGAGCCGAGCGTCTTCGAGTTCGTCACCGCCTCCGCGACGTACGCCTTCAGCTCGTCCTGCGCGTTTGGGAGGGTAGGGATGCGCGTCAGGGATGGACGGACGGACGGACGGACGGGCGATGGACGTGACGGTTGCGGTTTTTTAGGGATCGAACGAAGCAGGCGCGCGTCGACGACGCGCCTTCGCGCAGACCTCCTCCATGACGCGCTTGCGGAACTTCTCGAACGTCCCGTCCTTGCGCAGCGCGTCGACGACTTTCTTCTCGTCCTCGCGATCCTCGCGCGCGCGCTCGACGACGGTCGCGTCGTCCTCCGGGCCCGACATCGTGCGCGGCGCGCTCGAGACTGACGATCTGACGACGATCGCCGTTCGTTCGGCGTCGCCTCGCCTCACCGCCTCGCCGCACTCGTCGCGCGCGCGCTGACGTCGCCGACGGCACGATGTCGTCCGCCTCGCGCCTCGCGCGCGCGTCGACCGCGTCGACGTCGTCGCCGTCGCCGTCGCCGTCGCCGCGTCGGCGACCCGCGACGCGCGCGCCCCGACGCGCACGATCGGTCCGTCGCGGCGTCGTCGCCGAGGACAGAGAAGGGCGCGAGAAGCGCGTCTCCGCCCCCGCGCCCGCGCCCGCGTTCGCGGCGCCGCCGCGGCTCGCGCGCGCCGCGCGCCCGGAACCCCCGAAGGAGTACCTCCGCCTCGTCGAGCTCGCGGACGGGGGGTGGGAGCTCCAGAGCGCGACGGCGACGTTCCGCGCGCCGCGCGGCGACGACGACGACGACGACGACGACGCGGTCGAGATCTCGCTCACGTCCACCGTCCACGTCGGCGAGCCGTCGTACTACGCCGCGCTGCAGGAGGAGTGCGACGCGCGGTACGACGCCGTGCTATTCGAGCTCATCACGAGCGAGGAGAACCTGAGACCGGGGCGCGCGCCGCCGCCGCGCGACGCGGACGGGACCCGTCGCCGTCGCGATAAAAACTCCGACTCCGACGACGACGACTTTCTCCCCGCGCTCGCCGCGCGACTCTCGCCGACGCCGGACGCGCGCGCGCTCGCGGAAGCGCACGGCCTCCGCGCGCAGCTCGACGCGCTCGACCTCCAGCGCGACCGATGGTTCGTCGCGGACCTCCCGCGGAGCGTCCTGATGCGCGCGCAGGTGGAAGCGGGCGAGCGCGGCGCACAGCTGTCACGCGACGACGCGTCCGCGGCCGCGTCCGCGGCGGCGCTGCCGCCCGCGCTCGAGGCGCTCGTCGTCACCGCGACCGGCCGCGCCGGCGGCGGCCCCGCGCGGCAGCTCACGCGCTCCATGTGCTGGCTCGTCCCGTGCCCCGAGGCGCACCTCTTGCTCCTGGACTGGGTCTGGGGGGGCGGTCGGCCCGCGCCGGCGCTCGGCGCGACGCTCGACGCGATCGCGTCCGGCGACGTCATGGCCGCGCGCAGGCTCGCGTTCGCGCAGATGATCGTCAGCGCGCAGGCGAAGGGCGCGGTCGGCGGCGGCGCGGACGTCCCCGTGCTCGTGCTCAGGCGCAACGACGCGGCGATCGAGTGCGTGCGGAAGGCGGCTGCGACGCGCGGGGTGAACAGGATAGCGTTGCTCTACGGCGGGCTTCACATGCCCGGCTTGACGTCCAAGGTGATGAACGAGCTCGGGTACGAGATCACGGGCGCGCCGTCGTGGAGGGCGGTGTGGAAGATCGACGGTCCGAGTTCGAGGAGCGCGGTCGCGCGGTCGAGGAGCGCGGTGTGGCGGTGGGCGGCGTTGCCGCTGTTGCTGCTCGTGGACGGCGCGGATTGGGCGTTTACGCTGTCGGACGTCGCGGCGTCGCCGGCGACGGCGGCGATAGAGATCGGGCTGTACGTGGTGAGGCACGGGGCGGTGTATTACGGACTTGGGAAGTGGGTGCTGGAGTGGAACAGGCAGCTGTTCGACGACCGCGGCGGCGGCGGCGAGCGCGGGTTTAGTTAGTCTAGTTGAGCGACTGAGCGACTTCTTAAAGCGCGACGCGACGCTACGCTCGCTACGCTCGTCTCAGTTGAACCCTCGCCGGCCGCCCAACCCCGTGATGCTCACGTTCCCGACGCCGCTGAAGTGGTTCTTCAGCGCGTTGCCGTTCGCCCACGCGCTGTTCGTGTAGTCGTCGTCGTCGTTGCTCTCCAACGCTTTCATCTCCTCCTGAGGGTCGAGGGTCCATACACGTACGAGCGAACGTCGGGGCGGAGTTGAAAGGCGTCAGAAGCGGAGTTGAAAGGCGTCGCGGTGTGTCGGGATTGAAAGCGAGGGACCCTGGGCGGAGAGATGCGCCGGGAAACGAAAGTCCTTGAGGATCGGCGTGCACCACGCCAACGCGGTCGTATGGGGACCAGTGTGAGATAGAACGCGCCTGACGCTTGTGATAGTACGCCATCATCGCCTTGTGCTCCTCCGGGGATATCGGCGCCTCCCGCTGCGGCGCGCCGCCGCCCTTCTTCTGCAGCTTCGCCACGATCTTCGTCTTCTCGTTCCGCCCGACGTGATCGCTCAGCTTATTCTCCGGGATCATCTGCTTCCCCGCCCACCACAGCTGCGCGGTCTGTGCGTCCAGGATGTCCGCCCCCACCGGCGTGTCCGACGGCTTCTCGTCCTCCTCCAGGTCCATCCGCACCGGGTCCCACTCCGGAAGCCCCATCGGGTACGCGATCATCACCGCGCCGCGCACGAGGTCTAAGTGCTCCATGAGCTCTCTCTTCGTCAGCGCTTTCTTCATCTCCACCTGCCGCTTGGACGCCGCGGTCGCGGCGTCGTCGAGCGCCTTTCGAAGCGTCGTCGCCGCGGACTCCACCGGCGCGCACCCGTCGCGCTTCCCCGTGGGGTCCTTGCGGTACGTCGGCCCTCGCGGCGGGAGCGTCACGCCGTCCGCCTCGGCCTGGATGTCCTCGTCTAGGCCTTGCTTGTCCGGGGGTTTGCACGGCCCGTGCGCCGCGAGGTCGTCGCCGTCCATCTTCAGTCGTTGCAGGCGCAGCCGAAGGTTGTGAATCTCCACGAGCTCGCGGACGAGGTCGCCGACGCCGATCGCGACCGTGGTCTCGTACAGGAACTGCTGGTCCTCCGCTTTGCCTTTGACGTGAAGAAGGACCATGGTATGGCGGCGGCGAGGGAGAGCGAGCGGGCGAGCGGGAGGGAGAGAGAACGACGCTTCCTTCGACGTGAAGAGGCGGGATGGACGCGCGCGCGCGGCGATCTCTTCTGCCGATTCGTTGACCTTCTATTTTTTCGAGCAGCGCTGAGACCCAAATGTGTTCGCTTTCAAACCACTCCCCGATGGAGCCAGCCGGTCAAACTGACCGACGGCCGAAGCGCAGATCGGACCGTCCGTTTCCGAACAGAACACGTGCTTGATATTTTTATCTCCTCGAGCGAGAAGGCCGTTCGACGCGCGAAGTTCGACGCGCGCGCACGACGCATCGCGCCCGCGTCCGCGCCCACGACGACCTCGCGACCGCGCCTCGCGATGTCCATCGCGATGGGCGCGCCCGCGCGCGCCGCGCGCGCGTCCGTCCGCGCGCCCGCGCCCAGATCCGCGCGCGTCGCCGTGGCCGTTGTTGAAAAGCGCCGCCTGGCATACCTCCCCTCCCTCGCGGGGCGGCGGCCGTCGTCCTCGTCGTCGTCGTCGTCGTCCGCTCATCAGACGCGCGCGGCGCTGAACGGCGACAGCGCGTCCGTCGCGAAGGACGACACGCCGTCGCTGCGCGACGAGGACGAGTACGCGGGCGTGGTGCTCCACGACGACGCCCCCGTGCCGAGGCTGGAGCGGTTCGTGAACTCGCTCGTCATCAACGCCGCGGTGCTGATAATCGACAAGCTGTACGAGGGGAGGGATTACAGCCGGTTCTACGCGCTCGAGACGGTCGCGCGCGTGCCGTACTTCTCCTTCCTCTCCGTGCTTCACCTGTACGAGACGCTGGGGTTCTGGCGCAGGGCGGACTACCTCAAGGTGCACTTCGCGCAGACGATGAACGAGTTTCATCACCTGCTCATCATGGAGTCCCTCGGCGGCGACGACAAGTTTCGAGACCGCTTCTTCGCGCAGCACATGGCCGTGGGGTACTACGGCATCGCGTGTCTGATGTATCTCGTGTCTCCCAGGATGGCGTACAACCTGAGCGAGCAGGTGGAGGAGCACGCGTACCACACCTACGACGTGTTTTTGAGAGAGAACGAGGAGAGGTTGAAGCGCCAATCGCCGCCGCCCATCGCCGTGCATTACTACCAGGAGGGCGATCTGTTCCTCTTCGACGAGTTCCAGACCGGCGCGGTGACCGGCGTCGCGAGAGGCGCGGACAAGCGCCGCCCGAGAATAGATTCGCTGTACGACGTCTTCGTGAACGTTCGCAACGACGAGGCGGAGCACATGAAGACGATGCAATTTTGTCAGCTCCCGGGGACCATATTGCGCGCGCCGTCGGAAGCCGCGGCGTGCTCGGTGGTGTTCAACAAGGCCACGAGCGATTCGGAGCCGGACAGGTACACGACCGAGTGCGTGGAGGAGTACGCGACGATGGAGAAGACGTGCGAGGGGTTGCTGGACTGTCTGATATCGAACGACTCGTACCAGCGCGAGAGAGGCGGCGACGCGGCGGCGGCGGGTGGCGGCGATGCGCGCGACGCGGAGGAGAGCGGCGAGAACAACGTCGTCGCGAAGATGGAGTCGGGCGAAGGCGAGGGCGAGGGCGAGGTTGGGGAGAAGCAGGAAGAGATGCCTTCGCCCCGGTGAGTGAGTGAATTTCGCGCGAGCGAAGGAGGAGGAAGAGGCGGCGCGAGCGGAGAGAGAACGACGGGACGGGAGCAGAAAAAAGTGAAAATCACTCACGACCAACCTACGACGCCTCCCTCCGCCGCTCGACGAACACGTCCAAGCTCATCAAGTCGTTCGAGCGCACGCTCTTCACGGGATACACCTCCCGGACGTCGCCGTCCCTCGGGAACTCCAGCGCGGGGTCCATCTCGCCGACGACAGCGTCTCTCTCTCCTCCTCCTCCTCCTCCTCCGTCCCCGCCGCCCCCGCCCCCGCCGCCCGCGCCGTCGTCCACGCGTTCCTCGCTCCACTCCCCCGACCCGAGCTCCTCCGCGATCCCGGACCTCCCCGCGTACGCGACGATCTCGAACGCGCACGCGCTCGCGCCTCTCGGCAGCAGCGGCAGCGTGACGTCCGAGAACGCGATCTTCGAGAGCGTCGCGCAGAGGCCTTTTTGCAACGCGTCCACGTCCCGCCGCGTCGGCGGCCGGTCCGAACGCCGCACGTTCAGCGCGAAGTCGAACGTGTGGCGCTCCACGGGGAGACCCCTACCCCCGGAGCCGCCGCCGCCGCCGCCGCCGCCGCCGACGTCTCCCCCTCCGCGCGTCTCGCCGTCCTTCACGACGACGACGACGCGCTTGACGTCCCCGCGCGCGATCGGACGACGCAGCGCGCCGATCGCGTTTTCGACGTAGGACACCACCTCCGGGTGGCGGCATCGCATGACTCGGCTGCCGTACAGCGCGCGCGTCTCGAAGAGCTCTCTCGGGTACACGCCTCGGTGATACAGCACGTGGTGCGTCGCCGCGGTGAGGAACTCGATGATCACGTCCAGCCTGGGGCGAGGAGAGGAGGGAGGAAGAGGGTTTAGATCGACGCGGGCGTCGATGAGAAGCGCGCGCGCGGACCCGGAGGAGGGTGCCCAGATCTGGCGACGACGAGAACAGAACCGCGAGGTCGCGTCCGCCCGCCGTCGCGCGACGGACGGGGAGGCGCGGCCGCGAGGAGGGACGCGGACGGACGACGCGCACCGCAGGTCGTGCTGGCTCTTCGGCGCGGGCTCGAGCGCGGGCGGCATGACGGGACGTCTCGCCGACCGGCGTCGCCCGCGCGACGCGACGAGATGTGATGATGAGAGGGATCCCCGAGCTGGCGCGCGAGAGTTCGAGAGTTCGCGCGGTCGGTTGTTTTGAGGTGTTTTGGTCGAGTCGAGCTAAACGCGCATCATCGAGCGAACCGAGAGGCCCGCGCGACGGCCGCGACGGGGCATTGCCGCTGGTGTCGGGAGGAGCCCGCACCGTGGACGGCCGGCGCGCGCGCGAGAACGCGATCGCGCCGCGTCGCGATCTGGAGCGATGGGGATGCCTAAAGGTGCGCGCCCGCGGCGACCGATCCGACGACGTCGTTCGCTCAGCATCATCCACCCATCATCGTTCATCGTCGGCTTAATTTGGACGACCGAACGAATTCTTCCCTCCCGTCGCCGTCGCCTTCGGCGCCGCGCCCGCCCACCCCCCTCTCCGTCCTCGCGACCCGTCCTCACGACCCGACCCTCCCCGCGCTCTCCCCCGACAGCGCGATTCGCGCGCAAGACGGCGACCGCGGCGGCGCCTCCCGAGGTCGCGGTGATGGACGCGAACCCGCCCGCGGCGACGGCGACGGCGGACGCGACGACGGCGTCGTCGTCGTCGGACGCGGCGGCGCCGGTCGACGCGCCGGTCGACGCGCCGGCGACGCCCGCGCCGGATGCGCCGTCGGAACCGCCGCCTATTCCGCCGCCCGCCGCGAAGGAGAAGGAGAAGGAGAAGGAGAAGGAGAAGGCGGAGTACCCGCGGAAGATCTCGACGAACGATCTCGACGGCGACGACGTTCCTCTCGCGTTGGAACCTCGCGTCATGGCGCCGTTCACCACGCGACGCGGCGAGGTCCCGAGACGCGTGCAGATCGAACGCAAGAAGCGCGCGTACGGCGTCATGGACCTGGACGCGCTCTTCCGCGAGCTCCCGAACGCCGCGGAGGCGACGGCGGAGAAGCACTCGCTGCCGCTGGAGGTTTTCGACGACGGTGAATTCGAGGAACGCGCGATCGAGGAGTGGCTGCAACCGGAGGCGCTCGCGCGCGGGAACGGCGTGCGCGCGAAGCTCGCGGTGCACGCGAGGGTGAACAAGACCGGGTTCCCGCTGTGGGCGTCGTGCTCGGTCGTCGGCGGCGACCCGGCGACGAACACCTACGAGGTGGTTCTAGACAAGAACAAGAAGCTCATGCGAGGGATCCCGCGCGTCGACTTGTGCTTCAACTCGGAAGATCCGAGGGCGTACGCGAAGCGACGCATGGCGGCGTACGAAGCGCGGCGCGCCGCCGTCCGGAGGCTCGAGTACGAGCTGTTTTTGGACGTGATGCCGACGGACGACGTCCCCGCGTTAAACGCCGCGTCGACGGCGAGGATCACCGAACTTTCGCTGAACACGCCGGGCGCGCGAAGCCACGCGGCGACCGCGGATACGCTCGTGAGAGAAGCGAGCGACGAGTACGCGCGCGCGATGTGCAAGCTCGCGTTCGACGACGCGCTCGTGCACGGGGCGAACGGGGTCGGGACGAGGGACAAGCGCGCGAAGCGCGCGCGGATCACGATGGACCTGGAGCGCCTCGCCGATCCGGACGGAGGCGTCGGGGGTAGTTCTCTCGTCGACGCGAACGCGGACGCGATCGACGGCGACGCGGACCGTCTTCTGCTGCCTCCCGTGCACCGGCACGCGCCCAAGCCGCGCGCGGCCGCGCCGTTGTGCGGCGTGCGCGCGATCGAGGACGCGGCGGGGTACTCGTACGCCGCGCAGGCGTCTGAGTTTACGTTTCGAACGGCGCTGACGAAACCGGAGGTGATCGAGTGCACGCGGCGGATCGTGAACGAGTGCGTCAAGTGCGCGAAAGTTCCGCTCTTCGCGACGACGTTTAGCAAGCCGCAGCGCGTGGACGAGTTCGAGACGGCGCAGAAGCTGACGCTGAACAACGCGTCGGTGGCGATCAAAGAGCAGTGGACGGGCTCGGTGAAGGATGCGTTTTTCGATTGCTTCGGAAAGGTGGGCAAGGGGTGGTACAACATCAAAGAGACCGACCGCGCGGCGTACGACTTCGGGAAGATGAAGAAGTACCAGAACATGATCCGCATGCGGATGGAGGACACGCTGCGGTTCCTCGTCGACGACGCGGTGGCGTCGTTCACGGCTTTTATCCACGCGACGTGTTCCGCGGAGCTCTCCGTGAACGCCACGAACGACGTCGAGCCCGGCCCGGCGCCGCCTCTGTTCGCGCTCGAACTCCAGAACATCGTCAGCGAGGACGCGGCGAACCCGAAGCTCGGGTTCGAGTACAGCACGCCGCTCGATGACATTAAGAAAACCGTCATCGAGACGTTTGAGAACGCGGTCACGAGCGTGTACGGGATTCCTTTCATCGAGCCGGACGTCATAACGGAAATCACGTGGACGTTTATTCCGTCGATGACGACCGTGAACTTAGCCGAGCCGCACGTCAAACGCGCGCAGGAGTCCGTCGCCGCGGACGTCACCGTCGCGATCGACGCTCTGAAGCGCTACTTGAAGCTGTACGATCAGTTCAAGCCGCTGCAGAAGATTAAGGTCGAGTCCTACGTCGAGGAGCTCAACGTTCGCAAGGAGAAACTGGACGAGGACGACTCCATGCTCGCGGAGTACCAAAAAGAGATCAAAATACACGAGGACCACCTGCTTCACATCGAGACGACGCTGCCGGACGCGATCGACGTCGGCCCGTTCAGGGTGAACGCGTCGAGGGTGAAGACGGCGCTCGCGGATAAACGCCGCGCGCTGATCGAAGAAGTCAAGACGCTCATCGCGGCGTACCCGCGCGAGATTTGCGTCGACGTCATCGCGCGGTACGCGGAGATCAACTCCAGACTAGAGGTTGGCACCGAGGACCCGGAGGGCGTCGGCGCGCTGCGGGATCTCATCGACTCCATACCCAAGCTCGTGTACGACTTGACGACGACGCTCTCGGAGGCGTACGCGTATTGGGGCGCGTTGGACGACGCGCGCGTGCCGCTGTCCGACGACGACGTACGGAAAAAGGCGGAGGCGCAGTTCTGGCCGACGAAGCTGACGTACACGATCGCGAGCACGAAGGAGGAGCTCGCGAGGGACGAGAAGACGTACCGCCAGACGCAAGAGGTGGAGCAAGACGATTTTAAAGTGAAGCTCAAATCTATGGAGGAGGAGACCATCGCGCGGCTGCCGGATTACGTGGACATGAACAACACGGAGGCGTACGCGGAGCGCATGGCGGAGATCGACGGCGAGCTGAAGAAGGCGCAGGAGCAGGCGAACTTGTTCAACTCGAGAGAGGCGCTGTTCGGGTTGCCCGCGACGGATTACGGCAAAGTCCGACGGATGGCGGACGCGTTCGATCCGTTTTGTCAGTTTTGGAAGTACGCGAACAACTGGCGCTCGTGGCAGAAGGAATGGAAATCCGAGCCGTTCGCGACGTTGAACGCGGAAGAAGTCGAGAAGGACGTCGGGACCGCGTACAAGGTGATGTTCAAGATGGGCAAGGCGTTCAATATGCGAAACATGCCCGCGTGCGCGGCGAACTGCGAGACGGTGCGAAACGAGCTCGAGGATTTCCAAAAGTACCTCCCGCTCCTCGTCGCGCTTCGATCGCCCGGGATGCGCGACCGGCACTGGGAGAAGATCACCGAGGACGTCGGGGTCACGATCCCTCACGACGACCCGGAGTTCAACCTCACGAAGATTCTCGAGATGGACCTCCACGCGTCCGAGGAGGCGCTCGTCAAGGTGTGCGACGTCGCGGGGAAAGAGTTTGGGATCGAAACCGCGCTCGAAAAAATGTACGGCGAATGGGAGGGCGCGGAGCTCGAGGTCGTGGAGTACCGCGAGACGCAGACGCACGTCATACGCATCGAGGAGACGATCACGCAGATGCTCGACGATCACATCGTCATGGCGCAGGCGATGGGGTTTTCGCCCTTCAAAAAACCGTTCGAAGAGCAGATCTCGACGTGGGAGCGGACGCTGTCGATGGTGAGCGAGGTTTTGGACGAGTGGATCACGCTGCAGCGGTCGTGGATGTACCTGGAGCCCATCTTCGGGAGCGAGGACATCATGGAGCAGCTGCCGTTAGAGGGGAAACGGTTCGCCGCGGTGGACCGTCTGTGGAGGAAAGTGCTGACGAAAGCGTTGGGCGTTCCCGGGGTGTTGAAGATGTGCAACGATCGAATCTTGCTCGAGAAGTTCAGAGACGCGAACAATCAGTTGGACATCGTGCAGAAGGGTCTCGCGGATTACCTCGAGACGAAACGCTTAGCCTTCAGCCGTTTCTTCTTCTTGTCCAACGACGAGCTTCTGCAGATTTTATCCCAGACGAAGAACCCGCTCGCGGTGCAGCCGCACCTGCGGAAGTGCTTCGAGGCGATCAACACGCTGACGTTCGAGGGGGATTTAAAAATCACCGCGATGAACAGCGTGGAGAACGAGAGAGTGCCCTTCAGCGAGCACATGTACCCGGAAGGGAACGTCGAGAACTGGCTCGGAGAGGTGGAGCGCATCATGAAAGATTCGTGCCGTCACTCCGTCGTGGAGTCGCTCGCGGATTACCAAGCGACGCCGCGGCCGGAGTGGGTCAAGTCGTGGCCCGCGATGACCGTCCTCGGCGTCGGGTGCTGCTATTGGACCTCTCTCTCCGAGGAGGCGATCAAAGACGCCGAGCTTCCCAAGTGGTTCGACAAGAACGTCGAACAACTGAACGACCTCACGGACATGGTGCGAGGGAAGCTCTCGTCGCAAGAGCGCGGCACCCTCGGCGCGCTCATCGTCATCGACGTCCACGCGCGCGACGTCATCACCACGCTGATTGAAAACGACGTCACCGCGATGACGGATTTCGACTGGGTCCGGCAGCTCAGATACTACTGGGAGAACGATGACCTGTACGTCAAGATGGTTCAAGCGTCGCTGCCGTTCGGGTACGAGTACCTCGGGAATCAGCCGCGTCTGGTCGTCACGCCGCTGACGGATCGATGTTACATGACGCTGATGGGCGCGATTCATCTCAACTTGGGCGGCGCCCCCGCCGGTCCCGCGGGGACGGGCAAGACGGAGACGACGAAGGATCTCGCCAAGGCGCTCGCGATGCAGTGCGTCGTGTTCAACTGCTCGGACGGTCTGGACTACCTCGCGATGGCGAAGTTTTTCAAAGGCCTCGCGTCGAGCGGCGCGTGGGCGTGCTTCGACGAGTTCAACCGGATCGACCTCGAGGTTTTATCCGTCGTCGCCGCGCAGATTTTAACGATTCAAAACGCGATCCAGCAGGGCCTGAAGCGGTTCGAGTTCGAAGGCTCCGAGATTGGTCTGGACGCGCGGTGCTGCGTCTTCATCACGATGAACCCCGGATACGCCGGGCGTTCCGAACTTCCGGATAACCTCAAAGCCCTGTTCCGACCGTGCGCGATGATGGTGCCGGATTACGCGCTCATCGGCGAGATCTCGTTGATGTCTTTCGGGTTCAAACGCGGCCGCCCGCTCGCGAGGAAGATGGTCGCCACGTTCAAGCTCTGCTCCGAGCAGCTCTCCGCGCAGGATCACTACGACTACGGCATGCGCGCGGTTAAGTCCGTGATCACCGCCGCGGGTAACCTGAAGCGCGACTTTCCGGACGAGGACGAGGAGGTTCTTTTACTTCGCGGGCTCATGGACGTGAACGAGCCGAAATTTTTAGCGCACGACCTCCCGCTGTTCGCGGGCATCATCAGCGACTTGTTCCCCGGATTAAAGAAGCCCGAGGTGGATTACGACGACCTGAACGAAGCCCTGCGAGAGAGCTGCGAAGAGCTGAAGATCCAGCCCGTCCCCGCGTTCATCGGTAAGGTGATCCAGATGTACGAGATGACCGTCGTGCGGCACGGGCTCATGCTCGTGGGTCCCACCGGCGGCGGGAAGACGATGTGCTACCGTTCGCTGTGCTCCGCGATGACGAGGCTCAACAAGGCTGGGTCGGAGGTATTCGAGAGGGCTAAGTTCGTGTGCTTGAACCCGAAGTCGATCACGATGGGACAGCTGTACGGCGATTTCGACGACGCGACGCACGAGTGGACCGACGGCGTCCTCGCGTGTTACATGCGCGACCTCTCCGAGGAGACGGGAACGGACAAGAAGTGGTTGCTGTTCGACGGCCCGGTCGACGCGATCTGGATCGAGAACATGAACACGGTGTTGGACGACAACAAGAAGCTGTGCCTCGTGTCCGGCGAGATCATCCAGATGTCGTCCACGATGACGATGATGTTCGAGGTGGAGGATCTCGCGGTTGCGTCCCCGGCGACGGTGTCGCGGTGCGGCATGATTTACATGGAGCCGACGTCCATGGGGTTCGAGCCGCTTCTGGACTCGTACTTGGAGTCGCTCCCGGAGATCATGAAGCCGTACCTCGGGAAGTTTAGGGACATCTTCGTGAAGGTGATGCCCGGCCTGGACGGCCTCCTGCATTTCGTGCGCAAAAACTTGAAGGAGACGGTGGTCACCGTGGACACGTGCCTCGTGAGCGGCATGTTCAACGTCATGACGTCGCTCCTGAAGAAGTACGAGCGGCACGAGCACTTGCACCAGGAGCCGCTGACGAGCCAAGAGATTTCCGCGGCGCAGAAAGCCGCGCTGCCGCTGTGGATCTTCAGCATGATCTGGTCCGCGTGCGCGACCGTGACGGGGCCGGGGCGGCCGCGGCTGGAGACGTTTATGCGTCAAAAAGCGAAGGAGTGCGACTTCGTCAAGCACATGCCCCCGAGCGACAAGGGCTCCACCTCGATGTACGAGTACTGCTTCGACCAGGACGAGCTCAAGTGGGTGGAGTGGATGCGATCGATTCCGGAGTACGTCCCGAACCCGGACGCGCCCTTCTCGCAGGTCATCGTCCCCACCGCGGATACGGTTCGGTACGCGTACGTCATCGACAAGCTTCTCTTGTCGGATAAACACGTGCTCTGCGTCGGCGACACCGGCACGGGGAAGACGCTCAACGTCATGGATAAGCTGTCGAACCACATGCCGGAGACGTACGTCCCGGTGTTCATGACCTTCAGCGCGCGAACGTCCGCGAACCAGACGCAGGACTTTTTAGACAGCAAGATGGACAAGAGGCGCAAGGGCGTCTTTGGGCCGCCGTCGGGGCGGAAATACGCCGTCCTCATCGACGATCTGAACATGCCGCTGCGCGAGAAGTATTTCGCGCAGCCGCCGATCGAACTCCTTCGCCAGTGGATGGACCACGACGGATGGTACGAGCGGAAGCCCCCGTGCGCGTTCAGGACGATCCAGGACATGATCATCGTCGGGTGCATGGGCCCGCCGGGGGGCGGACGCAACCCGGTTTCGAATCGAATGCTGCGGCACTTCAACTTTTTGTCGTTTTCGGACATGTCCGACGAGAGCTGCGTTCGCATCTTCGACACGATTCTCGGCGCGACGCTCGGGAAGTCGTTCGCGCCGGAGATCGCGGAGCTCTCCAGCGCGGTCACCGCGGCGACGATATCCATCTACAACACCGTCCGAGCGGACTTGCTTCCCACCCCGGCGAAGAGCCACTACACCTTCAACTTGCGCGACCTCGCGAGGGTGTTCCAAGGGTTACTGCGCGCGGACCCGAGGCTCATCGGCGAGGACAAGAACGAGTTCCTAGGGCTCTGGATGCACGAAAACCTCAGAGTGTTCCAAGACCGCATGGTGAACAACGAAGACCGCGAGTGGTTCCGCGACCTCGTGGACAAGGTGTCGAAGGAGAAGTTCAACGGCGTCGGCTGGGACGACGTCGTCGGCGTCGACGGCGAACGCCTCGTCTTCGGCGATTACCTCGTCCCGGGCGCGGAACCGAGGCAGTACCAGCGCGTGCGCGACATGAACGAGCTGCGACGCGTCGTCGAGGAAGCCCTGGACGATTACAACTCCGTGACGAACGCGCCGATGAAGCTCGTGATGTTCTTGGACGCCATCGAGCACGTCTCGAGGGTGTGCCGCGTGATTCGACTGCCGCTCGGCAACGCGCTTCTTCTCGGCGTCGGCGGGTCCGGACGGCAGTCGCTCACGCGGCTCGCCGCCGCGCTCGAGGAGTTTGAACTCTTTCAGATCGAAGTCGCGAAAGGGTACGGCAAGAACGAGTGGCGCGACGACCTCAGGAAGGTTTTACTCATGGCGGGCGCGGAGGGCAAGGACGTCGTCTTTCTCTTCACCGACACGCAAATCGTGCAAGAGAATTTCCTCGAGGACATCAACAACATCCTCAACAGCGGCGAAGTTCCGAACCTGTGGAAGTCCGAGGACTTGGGTACGATCGAGAACGCCCTGCGACCGATCATGTCGCAGCAAGGCTTACCCCTCACGAAGAACGCGGTGAACGCGTACTTCATCACGCGCGTCCGGTCCAACCTGCACTGCGTCCTCGCCATGTCCCCGGTGTCGGATGAGTTCCGGCAGCGCCTGCGCATGTTCCCGTCGCTCGTGAACTGCTGCACGATCGACTGGTTCAGCGAGTGGCCGCTGGAGGCGCTCGACTCGGTCGCGAACACGTTCTTGCGCGATCCGCTCAAGTCCGAGAGCGAGGAGCTCGTGAGGAGCGTCGTCGACGCGTGCGTCTTCATCCACCAGAGCGTCGAGAAAAAGTCCAAGGAATTTTTCGAGACGCTACGACGGTACAACTACGTCACGCCGACGTCGTACCTCGAGCTCCTTCAGACGTTCATTCGCTTGCTTCGAGAGAAGCGCGCGGAGCTCGAGACGATGCGCTCGCGCCTGCAGATTGGTCTCGATAAGCTCAACAGCACGGCGTCGCAGGTTGGCGTCATGGAGAAGGAGCTCGTGGATTTGCAGCCGGTGTTGCAAAAGACGACGGTGGAGGTGGAAGAGATGATCGTCGTCATCACCGCGGACACGGAGAAGGCGAACGTCACCAAGGCGAAAGTCGCGCAGCAAGAAGCGGAGGCGAACGAGAAGGCGGCGGAGGCCAAGGCGATCGCGGACGACGCGCAGGCGGACCTCGACAAGGCGCTCCCGGCGTTGGACGCGGCGGTGAAGTCGCTGAAGCTACTGACGAAGAATGACATCGTCGAGGTCAAGGCTCTGAAGAATCCGCCCGCGGGCGTGCGGCTCGTGATGGAGGTGTGCTGCATCTTCTTTCTGCAGAAGCCGAAGATGGTGGAGGACAAGCGAGACGGCGCGAAGCCCGGGGCGAAGGTGGCGGACTACTGGGAGGCGTCCACGAAGATGCTTCAGGACCCGCCGAAATTTTTAGAGTCGCTCATGAAGTTCGACAAGGACGGGATCGTCCAGGAGACGATCGACAAGGCGGCGCCGTTCATGGAGCGCGAGGATTTCACCCCGGAGGCGATCAAGAAGGTGTCCAAGGCGTGCACGTCCATCTGCATGTGGGCCAGGGCGATGTTCACGTACTACAACGTGTCCGTGGCCATCGCGCCGAAGCGAGAGGCGCTCGCGCAGGCGCAAGCGTCGCTCGAGGTCACGAAAGGCGAGCTCGCGGAGGCGAAGAAGACCCTGGGAGAAGTCCAAGCCAAGCTGGACGAGCTCAACGCCAACTTATCCGCCGCGGAAGCGAAGAAGAACGGCTTAGAGGAGCAAGCGGAGACGTGCAAGGCGCAGCTCGACCGCGCCGGAAAACTCATCGGCGGCCTCGGCGGCGAAAAGACGCGATGGGAAGCGACGGTGCAGTCGCTCACGGATCAACTCGCCGCGGTCATCGGCGACGTCGTCGTCTCCTCCGGCGTCGTCGCGTACAACGGCCCGTTCACGCCGTCGTTCCGCGCGGACTTACTCGCGGAATGGTCCGCGAAGATGGTGGAGCTCGATATCCCGCACACGCCCGGCGCGGACATCGTGTCGACGCTCGCGGACCCCGTGCGCATTCGCGCGTGGAACATCGCGGGGCTCCCCGCGGACGCGGTCTCCATCGAGAACGGGATCATCGTGAGCAAAGCCAGGCGATGGCCGCTCATGATCGACCCGCAAGGGCAGGCGAACAAGTGGGTCAAGGCTATGGAGAAGGAGACGGGCATCGACGTCATCAAACTCACGGAGAAGGACTACCTTCGCACGCTCGCGAACGGGATCCGGTTCGGCCGAGCGGTGTTGCTCGAGAACATCGCGGAGACCCTGGACGCCGCGCTCGAGCCGCTGCTGCAGAAGCAGACGTTCAAGCAAGGCGGCAGCGAGGTGATCAAGATGGGCGACGACGTCATCCCGTATCACCCGGATTTCCGGTTTTACATGACGACGAAGATGCGGAACCCGCACTATCAACCCGAGGTGTCCGTCAAGGTGTCGCTGCTGAACTTCTTCGTGACGCTGGACGGTCTCGAGGACCAGCTCCTGGGCGTCGTCGTCGAGCAAGAGCGGAACGACCTCGCGGAGCTGAAGAACGAGCTCGTCGTGTCCAACGCGCGGATGAAGAAGGAGCTCAAAGAGATTGAGGATAAAATTTTATACCTCCTGTCCAACTCCACCGGAAACATCCTCGACGACGAGGTTCTCATCGACACGCTATCGCAGTCGAAGGTGACGTCGAACGAAATCACGGAGAAGGTGGCAGAGGCGGAGAGCACGGAGAAGGACATCGACGCGACGCGAGAGGAGTACCGCCCGGTGGCGACGCGCGCGTCGGTTTTGTTCTTTTGCATCTCCGACCTCGCGCTCGTGGACCCGATGTACCAGTACTCCCTCGCGTGGTTCATCTCTCTGTTTATCCGCGGCATCGAAGAAGCGGAGGAGAACGAGGACGTCCAGCAGAGGATCGAGATCCTGAACGAGTACTTCACGTATTCGCTGTACAACAACGTGTGTCTGTCGCTCTTCGAGTCGCACAAGCTCATGTTTTCGCTGCTTCTCACGATCGCGATCATGCAGCAGAAGGGTCTCATCGACGCCCTGGAGTGGCGCTTCCTGCTCGCCGGTCCCACGGACACGAACATCGCGGAGCCGAACCCCGCGCCGGACTGGGTCACGGAGAAGGTGTGGGTCGAGCTCGTCAACCTCGCGAGCCTTCCCGCCTTTGAGGGCTTCACGACGGCGTTCGCCGACGACGTGGACCACTACCGCGCGTACTTCGAGTCCGCGGACGCGCACCGACACAAGCTCGACGCCCACTTCGACGAGAAGCTCAACGCGTTCCAGAAGCTGCTCGTGATTCGATGCATCCGCCCGGATCGCTTCATGCTCGGCGTGCAAGACTTTGTCGCGCTCAAGCTCGGCGAACGGTTCATCGAGCCGCCGCCGTTTAACCTCGCGTCGTGTTACGCCGAGAGCTCGGTGTCGTCGCCTCTCATCTTCGTGCTGTCGTCCGGCGCGGACCCGATGGCGGATCTTCTGAAGTTCGCGGACGAGTCCAAGATGATTCGGAAGTTTGACCAGGTGTCCCTCGGGCAAGGCCAGGGCCCGAAAGCGGAGGCGCTCATGCGTCAGGCGATGGAGGAGGGGATGTGGGTGTGCCTGCAAAACTGCCACCTCGCGGAGAGCTGGATGCCGAAGCTGGACAACATCGTCGAGGGCATCGACCCGGAGCGCGTGCACAAAGATTTCCGCCTGTGGCTCACGTCGATGCCGTCGCCGCACTTCCCGGTCGCGATCCTTCAAAACGGCGTGAAGATGACGCTCGAGCCGCCGAAGGGTTTGAAATCCAACCTCGCGCGCTCCTACGCGAGAATCACGGACGATTACATGGAGACGTGCAAAGACCCGGCGTCGCACAAGAAGCTCCTGTTCTCCATATGTCTATTCCACGCGGTGATTCAAGACCGAAGGAAGTTTGGCCCGCTCGGGTGGAACATCCGGTACGACTTCACCGACGGCGACCTGACGATGTGCCAGAGACAGATCAAGATGATGATCGACGACTACGAGGTCATCCCGTACCAGGTCATTCGCGTGTTGTGCGGCGAGATCAACTACGGCGGGCGAGTCACGGACGATAAGGACCGTCGCCTGATCAACAATCTGCTGGATAACTACGTCAACGCGGACGTCATCGGCGATGAGTACAGCTTCTCCCCTAGCGGTACGTACAAGGTGCCGGCGGCGCAGAATAACGTCGAATTCGTCGACTACGTGAAGACCTTCCCGATGGTCCCGAACCCGGAAGTTTTCGGGCTTCACGAGAACGCGGACATCACGTGCGATCAAAACGAGACGTACGCGCTGTTCGAGACCGTGCTGTCGCTGCAGCCGCGGGTGAACAGCGGCGGAGGGTTATCGAGAGAGGACGTCATCGAGGCGAGCGCGTCGGATATCTTCGCGCGGTGCCCCGAGCCGTTCGACATCGACCAAGTCGCGCACAAGTACCCGACGGATTACAACCAGTCCATGAACACGGTGTTGACCCAAGAGTGCATTCGATACAACGCGCTGTTGATCGTCATGCGGCGGTCTCTGCAGGAAGGCTTGAAAGCGCTCAAAGGTCTCGTCGTGATGTCGCCCGAGTTGGAGGCGGTGACGAATTCGATCTTCGACAACCAGGTCCCGGAAGCCTGGGCGTCGAAAGCGTACCCGTCGCTGAAGCCGCTGTCTTCGTGGGTCCTCGACCTGCTCGAGCGCATTAAGTTCATCAACGACTGGATCGACAAAGGCCCGCCGCCGGTGTACTGGATCAGCGGTTTTTTCTTCCCGCAGGCGTTTCTCACCGGGACGCTGCAAAACTACGCGAGGAAAAACAAAATCGCCATCGACACCGTGCAGTGGAACTTCAACGTCTTGGACACGAAAACGTTCGCGAACACGACGGAACCGCCCGAGGACGGGTGTTACGTCTCCGGGTACTTCCTCGAGGGCGCGCGGTGGGATTACGACGCGCATCAGCTCGCGGAGAGCCGACCGAAGGAGCTGTACACGGACTTCCCGTTGATGTGGTTGGAGCCGGCGCGAAACCGCGAGCCGCCCAAGGAGGGGGTGTACAACTGCCCGGCGTACAAGACCTTGACGCGGGCTGGTCTGCTGTCGACGACGGGACACAGCACGAACTTCGTGATGTACATGGAGGTGCCCACGGACAAGAGCGAGTCGCACTGGATCAACCGGTCGGTCGCGCTGTTCACGGCGCTGATGTTTTGATTATTATTAAGCGGAGGCGACGGAGGAGGAGGAGGACAGGAGGAGGAGGGAGTCGATGTGCACGATGCACGTGCGTCGTCACGTCGAAAACTTATTAGAGAAGACCCAGGTGGGATAACCGGGTGTTCTAGTCACTAGATAACTCGTAGATGGCGTCCTTCTAAAGAATTAGAGGATGCGTGTTGACATCTTCCGTCGGATCGATCGTTCGCCTCCTCCGCATCACCTGACGACCGAACGAACGACGACGCGCGGGATAGAACGAACGAAGGAGACCGGCGCGGTCGCGGAGGAGCGAGCGAGGGACGCGAAGCGCATCGCCACGACACGGTCTACTACTAGAGCTACTCGAACACACGCACCCGCCGCGCCGTCGCCGACTGAGCGTGGCGGGGTGAAAAAAAACAAACGCCGCGCCGCGCCGCGCACCGTCGCCTCGCGACTACGCCCCCTCTCCTACCTCCGCAGATATCCACCGCACCACATCCTCGTGCATGTGGTTCCGCGCTCGAGCTTTGCATAGCATCGGATCCCACGGTGCGCCGATCGCTCGCGCCCACTGCAGCACCTCCAGGTGGCCGCCTTCCGCGGCATCGCGGCAAGTCTCCTCGTCCCACGGAGCGCCGTTCGCGCGCGCCCACTGCAGCACCTCCAGGTAGCCGCCACCCGCGGCATAGGCGCAAGTGAACTCGTCCCACGGACAGCCGTTCGCGCGCGCCCACTGCAGTACCTCTAGGTGGCCGCCACGCGCGGCATAGGCGCAAGTGAACTCGTTACACGGAGCGCCGTTCGCGCGCGCCCACTGGAGCACCTCCAGGTGGCCGCCAGACGCGGCATCGAAGCAAGTGTACTTGTCCCACGGAGCGCCGTTCGCGCGCGCCCACTGCAACACTTCGAGGTGGCCGCCTTCCGCGGCACTGGCGCAAGTGAACTCGTCCCACGGAGCGTCGTTTGCACGCGCCCACTGCAACACCTCCAGGTGACCGCCGAGCGCGGCTTCGGAGCAAGTCTCCCCGTCCCACGGACATCCGTTCGTGCGCGCCCACTGAAGCACCTCCAGGTGGCCGCCACCCGCGGCGGAGCTGCAAGTCCGCATGTCCCACGGGCAGTCGTTCGCGCGCGCCCACTGCAGCACCTCCAGGTGGCCGCCTCTCGCGGCACTGGCGCAAGTCAACTCGTTCGACGGACATCCGATCGCTCGCGCCCACTGCAGCACCTCCAGGTGGCCGCCTTCCGCGGCAAAGGTGCAAGTCCACGTGTCCCACGGAGCGCCGTTCGATCGAAACCACTGCAACATCTTCAGGTGGCCGCCTTCCGCGGCATCGGCGCAAGTATCCTCGTCCCACGGGCATCCTCGTTCCTTCGCCCACCTCGCGACCTCCACGTTCCCACCCCTCGCGATGCACGTGAACGTCTCCTTCGCCCACGGACATCCCCACTCCTTCGCCCACGCCAGCCTCGCCACTGATCCGACGAAGTTCGGCACCCTCGCGAGCTCTCTCCTCACCGCCGCGACGTCCCTCACGTCATGGTCGACGGGCGATTCGAAGACGACGTCGCGCATCTTCCGGTTCACCGTCGCGAGCACCGCGAGGTCGCCGCTGTCGAGCCGCGGGAGCACGTGCGTGTCGAAGACGTCGGACGCGTCCTCGAAGAATCGCTCCAGGAGTGACATCGCTCGCGCTCACTTTTCGACCTGTCGCGGCAGCGACGGCGGGGACGACGCTCTCGGGTGGGATCGACTCGTTTGGTTCCTCCACTGCCAAACGCTCCACGCGGCCAGAGGCAGCGTCAGGACCGCGCCGAAGACGACGACGCGTCCCCTCGGTCTGTCGCCTCCGCCGCCGCCCCAGTTCCAGGAAAAAGGTCCGAAGAACCAAAATCCCATGCATGCGCGGGCGCGCGGAAGTGGCGGCGAGGGCGCGCGTCGTCGCCGCGCGTCGTCGCGGATTTCGATCGACCTCTCGGAACCGACGACATCAGATCGACAGAAAATCGAGACGTTGGCATCGTGGGCGGAATCGAGCGTTGGCGGATCCGACGCGGCACACACTCGCGCGCCGCTCCAGCTCACGCACGCACACGGCCATCATGCCGACGTACTACGGAGACATCGCCAAGGCGGCGAAGGGTGCGCGCGTCGTCCGGGAATCCCGCCGCCGCCGCGCCGCGCGCGTTCGCTCGCTCGTCCGCGTCCTTCCTGCCGTCGACGAAACGCGTTATTTCTCGCGGGGTCGTTTCGTTATTTCTCTCCCTCGCGACCCGCGTTCCATCCCCCCGACTCACCCGACTCACCCCTCCCCCCGCGTCTCCGCGTCCGCAGACCTGCTCACCGGCGGGTTCAACTACGACAACAAGTACACGTTCGACGCCAAGAACGTCGCGGACGGCGTCAAGATCAACGTCAACGCGACGCAAAAAGACGGACTGGACGACCCCGTCGGCGCGGCGAAGACCACGATGGAGCTCGACAAGAACCTCGTCCTCGAAGCGGAGGTTGCGCTCCCCTCGGGGAAGATCGCCGCGTCCATCGCGCACGCCGGCGTGATCGACGGCCTCAAGACGACGATCAGCGCCAACCCGAAGGACTTCGCGGGGAGTCTGAAGATCGCGAATCAGTTCGCGCGCGGCGGCGTCGGGCTGAAGACGGACGTCGCCGACGTCGCCGCCGGCGCGCCCAAGACGGACGCGTCCGCGTGCTTCGTCTTCGGCGACGTCGCGCTCGGCGCGACCGCGGCGTTCGACGGGAAGACGATGAAGCCGACCAAGGTGGCGGTCGCCGCGCAGTTTACGCCGAGCGAGAATCTGACGCTCGCGGCGACGTTGGCGGATGCGGACGTCCTCAAGGCGTCCGTCGTCGCGTCCCTCGACGCCAAGACCACCGCGGGCGCGGAGGTGACGTTCAAGACGAAGAAGCGTGACGTCTCCGCCGCGCTCGCGGCGAGCAGGAAGTTCTCCGCCGCGTGCGTCGGCAAGGTGGCGGTGTCGTCGCCGCTGCCGGTGAACGGCGGCGCTCTGGCGCGTTCTCCTTACACTGGTTCCCATACGACCGCGTTCGCGTGGTGAACGCCGATCCTTAAGGACTTTTGCCGTCGCCTCTCTCCGCCCAGGGTCCCTCGCTTTTAATTTCCGCCCTCGGCGCCTTTCAACTTCAACTGACGCCTTTCAACTCCACCCCGATATCATCGCTCGTATGGAACGGCCCTCAGTCGCCGGTGATCTCCGCGTCCACCTCGGGCGACGTCGCGGCGAAGACGACGGGCGCGGCGAGCGTCCGGTACGACACGAAGAGCGGGAAGTACAAGTACGGGGTGCAGTTCACGACGAAGGTGTGAGCGATGTGATGATCGCGCGATGGATGGATGGATGGATTGGATGGATGGACGGAGAGAGTTGAGATGAGATTCGACGGCGCGAGAAGGCGAGTAAATATTATTACCGTCGCGTCGCGGAGACGCGAACGACGGGGCGGGGACGGGGACGCGTAGACGACGTTCTGTTCTCGAGATGTACAATGAAGGAAGAGTAAAGAAAGAGAGAAGCGCCGCGATGACGACGCGACGAACGACTTCTTAAAGAGCGGAACTCGCGCGCATCTTATTAGGCCTGCGAAGGATGTCTTGTGCTGTGTTGTGGTGCGAGAAAAAAAGCGGTCGGTCGAAATTTGCCATCATCCAGCGAGCAGACGAGCGCGGCGGGTGTTTCATCGATCGAGCCAGACCGCGAAGCGCGCGGCCGTCTCGGCACGATGTCGACCTCGCTGAGCGCGATGAGTTCTCAGATGACGTCCGCGATGTTCAGCGTCATCCCGACGAGCGTGATGCCAACCTCCATCGCGGGCGCGTTCAAGGACGACGCGCAGGTGCGACCGCGATCCGTCCGGATCCTCTCGCTCGATGTCGAATCCGGCAATTCCGCGCCCGCGCCCCTCCGATCCGATCGATCCTCCGATCCTCCGCGCCGTCGATCGAATCGAATCGAATCGAATCGATCGGTCGCGCGCGCGTCTCCGCGATCACGCGCGCGCCGCTCGCACGCACGCCGACCACCGCGCCCTTCCCTGACCCGCCCCGACCCACCGCGATCGCCGCCCGCGAATGAATCGAATCGTCCGTCCGTCCATCCCGCGCCTCCTCGCGAAATCAGATCGAGGACGACCGTCGCGAGCTCGACGCCGCGCTGAGATCGACGACGCAGTCCAAGAAGCTGGACGGCCTGAAGCGCCTCATCGCGAAGATGTCCACGGGGCAGGACGTCTCGAGCTTCTTCCCGTCGGTCGTGATGAACATCGGCGAGGCGACGTTCGAGGTGAAGGTGCTGGTGTACATTTACCTCGTGCGCACCGCGGAGCAAAAGCCGGACGAGGCGCTGCTCTCCATCAACTCGTTTCAGAAAGATCTCGCGCACGCCAACCCGCGCGTCCGCGCGCTCGCGCTGCGCGTCATGTCGAGCATCCGCGTGAACGTCATCGTCCCGGTCGTCATCCTCGCGGTGAAGAAGTGCGCGTTGGATCCATCGCCGTACGTCCGCAAATCAGCCGCGCACGCGATCCCGAAGGTGTTCAGACTGGACGCGACGCGGGTGGAGGAGCTGGTGGAGATCGTGGAGACGATGCTTCGCGACAGCACGCCGTTCGTGCTGTCGTCCGTCGTCGCGGCGTTTCAGGAGGTGTGCCCGGACCGGATCGACCTCATCCATCGGCACTTCCGGAAGATGTGCCGCATGCTCGTGGACGTGGACGAGTGGGGGCAGGCGCGTTCTGCTTTACGAACGTTTGTTTTTCACCCATCGCCCGTTCCTTTCAACACTTGATCGCGTGGGTTCCTTTCAACTGACCGATGAACACACCTGTTATCGTATGGAATGGCCCATCAGATTCTCATGGCGAAGCTGCTGCTGTCGTACGCGCGAACGCAGTTTTTGCGACCGGACGGGTACACGCGGGAGCTCACGCCTCTCGCGGTCGCGAGCGCGAACGGCGACGCGAGCGCGCAATCCATCGCGCTGAATCTCGGGATGGGCGGCGAGAGCGGCGGCGCGTTCGAGCGGTCGCACGCGGACAAGGATCTCGGGAACACGCGCGGGTTTTACTCGAGCGAGTCGGACTCGGAGGACGCGGACTCGGACGACTCGGACGACTCCGATGAAGACGAAGATGAAGACGAAGACGCCGCGAAAGAGGACGGCAGCGGCACGGACAGCGACGAGTACGCGGCGGCGAGGAAAGGGAGGAAGGTGGGCGGGTTCGCAAAGAGTAAGCCGAAGGCGAAGAAGCCGGCGAGCGCGAAGAAGGCGGCGAAAAAAGCGGAAAAACGCGCGCGGGAGAAGCCCAAGATGTCCGCGCTCGAGGCCGCGACGTCGTCCTCCGCGGCGCCGGAGTACCTGGACGACGACCACCGCCTGCTTCTCAAGTCCACGCGCCCGCTGTTGCAGTCGCAAAACGCGGGCGTCGTCATGGCCGTCGGCGCGTTGCACTTTTACCTCGCGCCCATCTCGGACATCCCGAAAGTGCTTCGAGCGCTCGTGTTCGCGATGCGATGCAAACCGGAGTCGCAGCTCATCATGCTGAAGAACATCTGCGCCATGGTCGCGACGCAGGCGAGCTTGTTCCGGACGCACTTCGCCGCGTTCTACGTCCACCCCGCGGACTCTTTGGAGATGCGCGCGTTGAAGCTCGAGATTCTCACGCACGTCGCCACCGCGGAGAACGCCCCCGCGTTACTCCGCGAGCTCCAGGCGTACCTCCGATCGTCCAACTACGAGTTCGTCGCGCTGACGATCCGCGCGGTCGGGCGGTGCGCGGCGATCATGCCGCAGATCGCCGCGGTGTGCGTGCGATCGCTGCTCGAGCTGTCGTTGCACCCGAGCGAAAAAGTCGCGGGGGAAGCCGTCGTCGTGATTCGCGCGCTCGTGCAGCACAACCCCGGGGAGCACACGCACATCGTCATGCGGTTGGTGCGCAGGTTGGAGATGCTGCTCGCGCCCGCGGCGAGGGCCGCGGTCGCGTGGCTCGCGGGCGGGGAGCTGTACGTGTTTAATAATAACGCCCCGGACGCGGACGTTACAAACTCCGCGGCGCCTGCGGCGGCGGCGGACGACTCGAAGAAGGCGATCAAGTCGGCGGCGAAGAAAGAGGCCGCGCGCGTCGCGGAGGCGGAGCACCGCGGGAAGTTCCTCGAGCTCTCCCTGGACGTTGTACGCCGCGCGATCAAAAACTTCGCGAGCGAGTCCGACCTCACGAAGCTGCAGATTCTGAACTCGACGTGCAAGCTGTACGTAAAGGACCCGACGCGCGTCGGGCCGCTCCTGAAACATCTCTTCGACCTGTGCGCCGCGGATCCCAGCGTGGACATCCGCGACCGCGTGCGCGTCTTCAAGGCGATGTTCGCCGTCGGCGGGAACGCCACGCCGCTCGCGACGCTCAAGGAGAAGGTGGTGCTGTGCGAGAAGGCGGCGCCGAGGTTGCCGTCGCCCGCGGCGCCGACGTGCGCGCACGCGCTCGGATCGCTGTCGCTCTTCGTCGAGCACGCCGCGCCGGGGTATCGACCGCTGCCGCCGCACCCGCTGACGCAGCCGAGCCGGGCGGTCAGGGAGCAGTACTACAACGCCGCGAACGCGAGCTCGAGGGACGACGGAAGGAAGGGGAGGAAAGGAGGGTTTTACAGCGAGAGCGAGAGCGACAGCGGGAGCGGAAGCGCGTCGTCCGCCGGGTCGGATTCCGATTCCGATTCCGATTCCGACTCGGACTCGGACTCCGACTCGGACTCGAGCTCGGGCTCGGGCTCGGGCTCGAGCTCGGACTCGAGCTCGGGCGGCGACTCGGACTCGGGCCCGAGCGACGCGGGGAAGAAGGGGAAGGTGAAGAAGGACGCGGACGACTCGGATTAGACGGGGGGCTTCGGATTGGTTGTACGTGTGCTATCATACGCGAAAACGTTGTTGCGCTTCTTTTCATCGCCGCCAGTTTTACCTGACAATGCATTGTCTCAACTAACAACGCCCTCGCTCGGGTCCACTCGACGCCGCACCTCGCGCGGCGGCGAGGATGCCCCCCGTCGTTCGATGGGTCTCCGTCCGCGCGCTCGCGTCCGCGTCCGCGCCCGCGTCCGCGCCGCGCCGGCCGTCGCGACCGCGGCGCGGCGCGCGCGTCGACCGTCGAGATTCGAACCCGACGTCGTCGTCGACCACGCCGCGCGTCATCGTCAGGAGCGAAGATGCGTTCGCGCCCCTCGAGCTCGACGACGGCGACGGCGACGGCGACGACGGCGGCGATGAAGGCGGCGGACGACCGCCGCGTCCCGTCGCGGAGGCTGCAGGCGCGGGCGCCGCGCCCATCGCCGCGCTCGCGGGATTCGGCTCCGACGACGACGACTCGGACGACGACTCGGACGACGACTCGGACGACGACGACGACGACGTCCTCCGAGTGCTCTTCGCCGCGGGAGGCACGGGCGGACACGTCTTCCCCGCGATCGCCATCGCCGACGAGCTCACGAGACTCGCGCGCGAGGGCGGCTTACCTCCGCCGTTCGCGCGCGTCCGGTGCGACTTCGCGGGGACGTCCACGCGGCGCGAGTCCACCGCGGTCCCGAGCGCGGGGTACTCGCTCAGCGTCGTCCCCGTCGCGGAGCTCGCGCGGCCGTGGGCGTCGTCGCCTACGAATCTGACGCTTCCGTTTCGGCTCGCCGCCGCGACGCGCGCGGCGATGTCGCTCGTGGATAAACTGAGGCCGCACGTCGTCGTCGGCACGGGGGGGTACGTCTCGCTGCCCACGTGCGTCGCCGCGGTGTTGAAGCGCGTGCCGCTGGTGATACAGGAGCAGAACGCGGTCCCGGGGGTGGCGAACGCGATCTTAGCGCGCGCGGCGACGACGCGGTGCGCGGCGTTCGCGAGCGCGGCGGACGCGTTAGGGGGGAAGTGCGTCGTTCGGGGGAATCCGACGCGGGCGTCGTTGCGGGTGATGACGAAAACGGTCGCGCGGGAGCGGTTACGTGGGATGTTCGCGGAGGGAGGGACGGAGGAGGTCGCGAGCGAGCGCGGCGGTGAAAACGGAGGCGCGTTCTTACACTGGTCCCCATACGACCGCGTTCGCGTGGTGAACGCCGATCCTTAAGGACTTTTCCCGGCGCATCTCTCCGCCCACCCCTCGCTTTCAATCCCCGACCGCGACGCCTTTCAACTCCGTCTGACGCCTTTCAACTCCACCCCGACGTTCGCTCGTGTAGAACGACCCGGCGACGAAAACGAAAAGGTACTCGTCGTCCTCGGCGGCTCGCTCGGCGCCGCCGCGGTGAACGACGCGATCGCCGCCGCCGCGCCCGCGCTCCTCGCGTCGTTCCCGAACCTCCGCATCCTGTGGCAGTGCGGCGAGAAAGCGCTCGCGGGGACGCGCGAGAAACACGCCGAAGTAACGTCCCACCCTCGGGTGTTACTGACGCCGTTCGTGCGCGACGTCGACGTCGCGTACGCGGCGGCGGATCTCGTCGTCGCGCGCGCGGGCGCGGTCACGTGCGCGGAGCTCCTCGCGACGCGGACGCCGAGCGTTTTAATTCCCTCGCCGAACGTCGCGGAGGATCATCAGACGGCGAACGCGGTGGAGATGGAAGCGAACGGCGCCGCGACGGTCGTCAGGGAGGCGGAGTTGCGAGAGGGATGGATCGAATTCGCGGCGGCGACGAAGGCGCTGCTGGTGGACGACGAGCGGCTGGGGAGGATGCGCGAGGCGGCGGGGAGGGCGGACACGCCGGACGCGGCGCGGCGGATCGCGTTCGACGTGATTCACGCCGCGAAGAAGAAGAAGAAGAAGAAGAAGAAGAAGAAGAAGAAGAAGAAGAAGAAGAATGGGAAGCGAAGGTAGCCGCAGTCGTCAACAGGTCTGGTACGACGATACATCTTCGCGGTCGATTGCTCTGAACGACAAACAGATCACTCATCACTCCTCGCCCATCATCCGCGCGAACCGCACCGGGTCCCGCTCCCTCGCCCGCATCGTCCACGCCCGCTTCTCCTCCTCGCTCAGGTCGTTGAAGATAAACACGCTCTTATCCCCGATGTCGTCCTTCACCTCTTGCGTGTACTTCCTCGCCGCGAACGCCGCGATGAGCGCGCACCACGCCACGATCGCCCCCTTCTCGAACCCCTCTGGGGGTCGTTCCATACAAAGCGAAGTCGGGGTGGAGTTGAAAGGCGTCAGTTGGCGTTGAAAGGCGTCGAGGGCGGGGATTGAAAGCGATGGACCCTGGGCGGAGAGAAACGCCGGGCAGAGTCCTTAAGGATCGGCGTTCATCACGCCGACGCGGTCGTATGGGAACCAGTGTAAGGAGAACGCGCCTGATCCAACCCCCGTGAGATGCCCTAACAGCGTCGCCGGGACGACGAAGAACAGCGCCGCGCACTCCGCCTTCCCGTAGCACATCCCCTCCTTGAACGCGACGCCGGTGAGCGCGGCGAACATCGGGCCGACGAGCCACACGGCGGCGGGGTGCGTCGCTACGAACGCCGGGACGGAGACGTCGGGGTGCGTCGCCGCGATCCCGACGCTCCCTATGAACCCGGCCAGCCACATCGCCTGCATCGCCTTCTTGATCGGGTCGACGTACATGTGGATCAGGGTCAGCGCGACCCCGAGCGAGCCCGCGCCGGTAAAGTACGCGGCGTTGAGATTTACGGGCGCGTCCGGCGCGAAGGCGGCCGCGGAGCACGCGAGGACGGAGAGCGCGACGGAGCTCAGGCTGACGCGGTAGGACCACACCTCCGCGACGTCCGTTGGGGTGACGGACCAGTCGCAGTAGAGTCCCGGGTAGGCGGGTTCGCCGGGGATGACGTATGATGAGGCGTCGGAGCCTGGCGCGTCGGAGGACGATTCCACCGCGCGCGTCGCGACGCCATCAAGGCCGCCGCGTCGATGACGCGATTTCGATTCCGACGACGACGACGCGAGAGATCGAGATCTCGCTCTCGGCGCCGCGAGGGCGGGCGCGCGTCGTCTCGTCGCGCGCGCGGCGGGGGCGCGCGCGGTCGGCGCGCGGCGGCGCGACGCCGCGGGCGGCGCCGCGATCGTCGCGAGCCGCGCGATGGAAGCGCGCGCGGTCGTCATGGCGCGTCGCGGAGTGATGTCGCTGTCGCTGACGCTGACGTGTCGTCGTCCGAGGAAAAATAAAGATATCGCGTCGCACTCTTCTGCATCGCGCGCGCGCGAGGCGCACGCGCGACGACGACACCATGTCGTCCTCCTCGCAGTCGCAGTTCCTCAACGACCCGAACGCCGCGGTGTGCGAGATGCTGACGTCGCTCGTGCGCGCGCACCCGGACGCGGCGCTCCTCGACGGGTTCCCGGACGTCAAGGTGGTCGTCCGCGCGGCGAGAGATCCCGACCCCGACAAGGTGGCGCTCATCTCCGGCGGAGGCAGCGGGCACGAGCCCTCGCACGCCGGGTTCGTCGGCGCCGGGATGATCGACGCCGCGGTGTGCGGCGACGTCTTCGCGTCGCCGTCCGTCGCCGCCGTCCTCGCGGCGATCCGGCACGTCACCGGGCCCGCGGGATGCCTCCTGATCGTGAAAAACTACACCGGCGATCGCCTCAACTTCGGCCTCGCCGCCGAGCGCGCCAAGCTCGAAGGGTACGCGGTCGAGATGTGCGTCGTCGCGGACGACTGCGCGCTGCCGCCGCCGCTCGGCATCGCGGGGCGGCGCGGCCTCGCCGGGACGCTGTTCGTGCACAAGTGCGCGGGCGCGGCGGCGGCGGCGGGAATGGACCTCTCGGCCGTCGCGCGCGAGGCGCGCGCGACGGCGGCAGTCGTCGGCACGATGGGCGTCGCGTCCGTCGCGCACGCGCTCCCGGGCGCCGCCGAGCGCGCGAGAGAGATCCAGCGCGGGCAGATCGAGCTCGGGTTGGGGATCCACGGCGAGCCCGGCGCGCGCGTCGCGCCGGCGGCGCGCGCGGATGAGGCGCGTTCTATACACTGGTTCCCATACGACCGCGTCCGCGTGGTGAACGCCGTTTCTTAAGGACTTTTGCCGGCGCGTCTCTCCGCCCACCCCCCGCTTTCAATCCCCGACCTCGACGCCTTTGAACTCCACCTGACGCCTTTCAACTCCACCCCGACATCGCTTTGTATGGAACGACCCTGAGATCGTCGCGACCGTTCTCGAGACCATCACGGACGACGCGCGCGGGTACTTCTCTCTCCCGGGCGGCTCGCCGTCCTCGCCGACCGCGCGACGCGGCAGCGTGGACGGCGTCGTCGGCGACGTCGTCGTCATGGTGAACAACCTCGGCGCGACGACGGGGATGGAGCTCGCGGTCGTCGCGAACGCGGCGACGGCGTGGCTCGAGAAGAGACGCGTGAACTGCGCGAGGGTCTACGTCGGCGCTTTCATGACCGCGCTCGACATGACCGGGTTCTCGATCTCGCTGCTGCGCGTGGACCCGCCGAACCGCGAGGATTGCCCGTGGCAGATCGACGCGGGGCTGGCGAGCGGGCGGTTGGATCTGTTGGACGCGCCGACGGGCGCGCCGGCGTGGCCGAGGGCGGCGAAGGGCGTCGCGAAGCCGTATCCGCTGCCGTCGCCGCCGGAGGGCGCGGGCGCGGCGGATCACGACATCGTGCGGGAGAACATGACTTCGAAGCGCGAAATACGTGCGAGTGATGTATCGACGGAGATGTCGCGGATCGAGCGAGCGACGCGCGCGGTGAAGGAGGCGCTCGAGGGCGCGGAGAAGGCGCTCACCGAGGCGGACACCAGAGTCGGCGACGGCGACTGCGGCGTCACGCACGTCAGAGGCGCGGCGGCGCTCTCGAGCGCCACGCCGTACATGCACGACGGAGGCGAGGCGCTCTCGAAGAGCGAGCTCGCGCGGTCGATCGGGCTCCAGATCCGGAAGAGCATGGGGGGCACGAGCGGGGCGCTGTACGACATCGCGTTCGCGGCGGCGGCGGCGGCGATGACGACGAAGGACGAGTGGTTCGTCGGGTTCGAGGCTGGGACGCGCGCGATGATGACGTACGGCGGCGCGAAAGCCGGGGACCGGACGATACTCGACGCGCTGATCCCCGCGATGGAGGCGGCGAGGGAGGCGCTGCGGGCGGACGGCGCGGACGAGATCGCGGCGTTGAGGGCGGCGGCGGCGGCGGCGGCGGCGGGGGCGGAGAAAACGAAGGAGATGACCGCCGGCGCCGGTCGGAGTTCGTACGTCCCGGCGGAGGTGTTGAGGGACGTCGCGGACCCGGGGGCGACCGCGGCGGCGGTGTGGATCGGCGCCGTGAGCGAGGCGTTCGCGAAGAGTTAGACACGCGTTGATGGAATGAAAATGTTGTCGTCGTCGTTTTCTCGGCCGCGCTTCGTTCGCTTCGTTCGCTTCGCGCGTCGCGCCCGCCTCACCCGATCTGCGTCATCCACGCCTTCTTCACCTCCTTCTTCATCTCCGCGTAGTCGTCCACGTCGATGATCCCCGCGGCGAGCCACTCGTTCAGCTCCTTGAACGCGTTCTCGATCGACCGGCCGCCGCCTCCGCTGGCGCCGCCTCCGACGGCGGCGGCGCCTCCGGCGCCGCCGCCGCTGGCCGCCGCCTCGGTTTTCACGCGTTTCTTCGCTCGCGCGAAGCTCGTGCTGTCCTCGGACTCGTCGTCGTCGCCGCTCGTAGCGGGCTCTGGCTTGACCGGCCTCGCAGTGGGCATCATCGCCGAGGGGGCTTTGCGCCTCTTCGAAGCCGGGGTCGCCGGTTTGACCACGGGATCCGCAGCCGCCGCCGCCGCCGGTTTCTTTTTCTCCGTCGCGGCGGCGGCGTCTTCGTCGTCCCTGAACCGGTCGTTCGCGCCAGCGAGCATGATGCCCACGAGCTCGTGCCACGGGAGGTCGGGCTTGTAGTTCGTGCGCGTGCCCTTTATCGTGCCGACGCCGTAGCTCTGGAGGACGCGCACGAAGATGTCGTGCGCGGCGGCGGCGCCCCATCGCGTGGGAAAGTGATACCCGAATTTGTGCTCGCCCCAGGACGCGTCGAAGACGAGTGGTTGGAAGGCTTTGCGGTTCATCGCGTCGGTGACCGTTTCGAATCCGCCGAACTGAACGTTGCCGCCAGCTTTGATCGTAGAGGCGTATTTCCTCCTCAACCTATCCAGAATCGCGCGCTTTGGGCATCTCTTGGTTTTGATGATGGCGTTCGTGAAATTGGTCGCGACCTCGACAGACGCCGCCGGCGCGCGATCCTCCGTCAGCACGAGTAGAAGCTCCTCGAAAATGAGATCTTCCTCCTCCTCCTCGTCCTCCTCCTCGTCCACGTACTTGACGTTGTACACGTTGCCGTACTCTGTGCTGTCGCTGCTGTACCCGATGACGACGCCCTCCTCGCGGTACGGTTCGCCGCAAGTTTTGCCGTTTCCATCCACGGGGACGACCATCCTCGAGACTTTGGCGCCGACGAGCTCGGCGCCGGGGCCCGGAGGGGGGGCGTTCGGGTTCGTTCCCACCTTCGATTTCGGCTCTGACTTCGGCTGTGGCTTCGGCGGAGGCGACGGCTTAGCAGTGCCAGCCAGTAACGGACACCACTTCGGCCTCGATGGGTCTCGGAGCACGAGCTCAGAGCTTCCAATGTGGTCCGCGAACGCCCGCGCGGCTTCGAGCTCGGTGGCGAATTGTCCTAAACCTTGGTTCCGATGCGAGACCCTCCACGGCTTCGGGCGATCATCGCGAGCAAGACTGACACCAAAGTACTTCGACAGCGGGAGTGGTTCGCCTGGCGTCTCCTTGACGTCCAAAGCTTCGCTCTCGCTCTCGCTCTCGCTCTCGCTCTCTGAGTCGGAGTCTTCGGACAGCTCGACCATGGGCTCGATCTTCAAGCCTCGAGCGCCGCGAGTCAACGGACCACCGTGTTGCAATCGTCGCGCGAGTGCTTCGTCCGAGACCGGCGTGGCCGCGGCGGCGTTCTTTCTTCTGGTCGCGATCCCCGCTCTGGTTGCTGCCGCGTGATCATGATCCTTTCGAAGCACGGGCTCCGTCCAGCCACGGTGCTTAGCGTACGCGTGCGCTGCTTCTTCCTCAGTGGCAAAGTAAGCAGCGCTCCCATCTCTAAAATTTGCCCGCCACGGGAGTCTGGCGAGGTTCTCATCCAACGATCTCACGCGGTTCCTGAGGATTTGGACGCCAACGTACTGCGACTCGGGAGTCTTGCGTTTGAATCGAACGACCCTATCGTCGGAGACGTTTCTCTCCGCTGCCGGTACCATTTCATGATATCGGTGCCACAACGAGTCAGCGCGCAATCGCGGTTCCGTCCAGCCGCGGATCTCAGCGTGAGCGCGCGCAGCTTCTTCCTCCGTGGCGAAAAAAACGCCGTTCAGAGCGTTGCCGTGGCGCCGATTTACAGACCACGGATGGGCAGAGATGCTCGGATCTAGAGATGTGAATCGGGTCTTTTCGAAGACGACGCCGACGTATCGCGGCTCCGGCGACGACGACGGTAAAATACCCAGGTCGGAGTTCGCGCTCTGAAAAAGAGACTCGGAACTCGCCTCCGTCAGGTCGAGCACCACGGGCTCGGACGTCGCCGCCGCGGGTCCGCCCGCGATCGCGACCGCGGGATCGAGATCGAGCGACGTCGGCACCGGCCACGGCGTCGCGGCGGCGAGGTCGGCGAGATCCACCGCGGGCGCGGCGGGTGAGGGCGGCGGCGCGGCCTCTTCCGAGACGTCCGCGGTGGCGGGCGCGGGGGCGGGCGCGGGAAGCGCGAGCACGGGGTCCGGCCACCGAAGCATCGCGGACGTCGGGATCGCGCCGCCCGCGTGATCGAGCGCGTCGTCGATCTCGATCAGGACGTAGTCCGGCGGCATCGCGCGCGGCGGCGTGTCGCGTGTCGCGTGCGCGCGGGGCGGGGCGCGGGACACTGGAGGGCGCGAACCACGACGGGCGAGAAAAAAAGGGTGAAATATTTTTGGCATTTGAAAAAAACACGTTCTCTCCGTTCGCGCCGTTCGTTCGTGCGCGCGCCTCACGCGAGCTGCGTCAGCCGCGTCTTCTTCACCGCCTTCTTCATCTCGAAGGAATCTCCGGCGTGGTGCGCATCCTCGGAAATCGCTCTGGTATTTGACGAAGTAGGCGCGCACATATCCCCGCTTGGGGAGGGAGTCGCCGAACGATGACCCTCAACCCTTTCCTCTCAGCCGCCGGCGACCGCGCTTCGTCGCCTTTCAGCAACCTCACGAGAGACGCCGCGACGTCTTCAGCCTTCTCCGCGTCGCTCGCATCACCGTGCGACTGCACGAGCCGCGCGTCTGAGTCAGTCGGAACATCTGGATCCGTCGGGGTTATCGACTCGCCGCGCGCGGCGGCGGAGGCTGCTGGTGGTTTTTTCGACCCGGGTGGTTTTTTCGACCCGCCAACGCCAGTTCCAGTGCCCGCCGTGGCGGCGGCGGCGGCGGCGGCGACGCGTTCCCACTGCCTCCTCGCCCACTCGCTCGCGTCCGCGGACTCGTCATCCTCGTCCTCGTCGTCGTCGTCGTCGTCTCCGAACCCGTCCTCGTCCTCGTAGATCGTGTCGTCTTCGGACGACTGAGCCAGCGCGGTCGCTGCGGAGGGGCCGCACGAGTCTGGGGTGTCGGGCGCGGGCGGCGGGTTCGCGGCAGCCTCGCGCGAGTGATCCGCGCGATCCGCGGACGGCGACGAGCGAGTGGTACATCGCGTGGTAGCGGCCGCGTACACTGCGTCCGTGCGCGTCATCGCGGGCGCGGGGACGGATCGTGACGGCGCGCGCGAGGGTGTAGACGCGGGTGGAAGCTACGACGGCGGTGGTTTATTTTTGGAATCGAAAAAAACAGAAAATGCAAAAGAAAAGCGCTCGTTCGTCGTTCGCGTCGTCCTCGTCGTCGTCGTCGTCGTCGTCGTCGTCCTCGTCGTCGTCGTCCTCATCCCACCTGTTCCGCGTACTTGACCCACAAATCCATCTTCCACGTCTTGTAGTCCTCCTCGTCAATGATACCGTCCGAGCGCCACTGTCTGATCTCGAGAAGGCTATCCCGGATGGACCGACCGCCGCCCGTCGCCGCCGCCGGTTGCGCCGGCGCCGGCGCGGTCGGTTGCGCCGGGAGCTGCGAATCTTCGCCGTCGTCGTCCGGTGGAGACGCGTCCAAGGCTTTCGCGCTGACCGTCGCTTTCGCAATCGTACCCGCTGCCACCGTGTCTTCGTCGTCCCAGAACCGGTCGTTCGCGCCCGCGAGCATGATGCCGATCAGCTCGTGCCACGGGAGGTCGGGCTTGAAGTTCGTCCGCGTCCCCGCTTTCACCCCTGGGCCTTCTTTCAAAAGCCGTACGAAGATGTCGTGCGCGGCGGCGGCGCCCCATCGCGTCGGAAAGTGGTAGCAGAAGTCTTGCGTATCGTTCGCCGCGTCGACGACAAACGGGCGGAACGCCTTGCGATCCATCACATCGGTCACCGTGTTGAAGCCGCCGTAAAATCTTCCACGAGACGGAGAGGCATACTTCTTGAGTCTACTGAGCACACACTCCTGCGAAAGATGACCCGTCGTATATATCGAGTCGTTCGTGAGCTTCGTCGCAAGCTCGATTGACTCGGGCGGCGCAGCATCTGTTTGGTTCAAAAACAGAAGAAGCTCCTCGAAAATGAGATCTTCGTCGGAGTCGTCGTCGTCCCATCGAACGGAGTAAACTTCACCAAAGTCGGCATCGTCGTCGCGAAAGCGGACGACGACGCCGTTCTCGCGATACGGCTTCCCGCACGTCCCGTCATCGTACGTCCGAACTTGCATCCTGGACGTCCGCGCGTTGATCAACGCGGCGCCTTGACCCGCGGGTCGCGCTCGGGGTCGCGCTCGGGGACGCGCTCGGGGCCGCGCGGGCTCCCACGGCTTCAGCGGCTTATGCGGACTGTTCGGGTCTCGCAGCACTAGCTCAGAGCTGCCAACGCGAGCTTTGTACGCACGCGCGGCTTCGATCTCCGTGGCGTAATATCCCAGGGTGTGACTTTTGATAATGGCCCTCCACGGGTGCAACGGGCTTTTCGCGTGACGACTCACGCCAAAATATTTCGAGGAGTAACCTGCCCGTGCCTCTCGGTCGTCGTCTGCGGCATCGCTCTCGCTCTCGCTCGTGTCGCCCTCGCGCGGCTTCGCGACTTTGGCCGGACGGGCGACGTTCTCTTTCGCCGTCTTCTTCATCTCGGTGTCCCTCGGCGGCGTGAATCGCTCGACGGGCTTCCTTTCGCGTCTCGTTCGCTTCGAGAGCGTCGGCGTCGTCGTCGTCGTCTTGCGTTTCTTTCTCCGCGTGAACGCCTTCGCCGCCGCGGCCTCCGCCTCGAGTTCTTCCTCGGTCGCGATCCCTTCGCGGCGCAGGTACCGTTCCACCGCCTTCCACGAGCGAAGATGCGGCTGCGACTCGCCCTCCGCGGGATATCCGTTATTGTCGCAGTCCGTGAAAGGTTCCGTGCCGCCCCAGTCGGACTTCAGAAAAAAGTACCCGTATTTTCCCCGACGCTCCGTGCGCGGTCGGACGCGCGCGTCCAGGTCCAGTACGTCGCCGCCGCCGTCCGCGTCACCCCCGGCGTTCGAGTCCGCGGTCGCGTCCTCGTCGACGTCAATCTCGCTCTCGCTCGCGTCCGTCTCGTTTTCGTAGTCGTCTTCGTCGTCGCCGCCGTCGTCGTCGTCGTCGTCGTCGTCGTCGTCGTCGTCGTCTTCGTCGGCCTCGTCGTCGTCGTCGTCGGCCTCGGCCTCGGCTTTGACCACCTCGCGGTTCGAGGCCTCGGGACCCGTGCCGCGCGCATCGCGCGCGGGCGGGGTGACGATCGCGTCGATTGCGCGGTCATCTGTGAGGTCGATCACGTCGTCGTCGCACATCGTCGCGTGCGCGAACGCCGCGGGGAGCGGCGAGTTCTGAGGCTCGTCGTGGCTTTTTGCTCTCTTTTTGGCTGGCGGAATTTTCCATTTTTATTCGCTCCGTCACACCGCGCGACGCCGAGAGAGAAGTCGCGGGGACGGGTGATGCACGACGCGACGCGACGCGAGCGACGAGTTATGCTATCGTTTTCCTACTATAAATATCTACTCTCGTTGTGCTATGATGATACGATACCTTCCGGCGTCGTCGTCGCGATGGAACCTTCCTCGTTCACTTGCCGTCGCGTCGCTGCAGCGTCTTCGGCCCTTTTCCTCCGTCGCCGCCGCCGCCGCCGCCGCCGCCGCCGCCGTCGCCGCGCTTGAACCCCTCCGATCCAAAGTACCGCTTCGACACGTCCGCGGCGGTCGCCTCCTTCGCCTTCGCCCTCGCCGCGCGCTCCTCCTGCCGCTCCGTCACGCGCGCGTTCAACCGCGGCTCCGGCTCGGGCGCTCGCCGCACGAACACGTCCGCCGCGCGCGGCCGCGTGATGGTCGGCCTAGACCCCGCCGCCGCGGACGTGAGCTCGATCCTGCCGCCGCGCACGGACCGCCGCACCGCGAGCGGGTCGTCGTCGATCGCCGCGCGCTCGCCGTCGGGGTTGCGGAGGCCGTGGTACACCTCCACGGGCGCGCGCACGGGGCGAGGCGGGCCGACGGCGTCGGATGAGGAGGCGTACATGTCTCTCGCGGAGGACGCCCCGGACGGAGGGTCTCGTCCTCCGGCGCCGGCGCCTCCGGCGCGCTTCGCTTCGTCCCTGACGCGCGCTTCGCGCCACACGTTCGCAATGCGCGCCTGCGCGTTCGTGTGCGTCGCCTCGTGCTGCCTTTGGACGCTCCGCGCGAGCATGTCCTTCACGGCTTGGATCGTCGCCGGGTCGGGCCCGCCGCCGCGCGCGAGCGTCGCCGCCGCCGAGAGTTCCTCCCGCGGCGGCGATCGCATTGCCGCCGACGCGACGGTTGACGTTCCGTATTCCCCCGGCGCGTCGCCGAACGCCGCGGCGATCTTCGCGTCCGCCTCCGCGACCGCGTCCGCGTACCGCGGGTCGCTCGGATCCCGCGCGCCCGCGTCGCGCAGCGCTTTCTTCCGCGCTTTTTCAACCTCCTTGGCGCGTTTCGCTCGATCAACCGCCTCCGCGGCGCCCTCCTGCGCGCCCGCGCGGCGCCCCTCGCCTCCGACGTGATGCGCGCGCATCGCCTCCGCGGTCGCCGCCGCGGCGAGCCGGTGCACCTCCTCGAACGCGCTGTCCGCGAGCTCCTCCGGCGTGCGCTCGTCGTGTTCCGGCGCGGTGAAGTCGCGGAGGTCGTTTCGAACCAACCCGGGCGCGGCGGCGTGCTCGCGTCTTTTCGGCGGCCGCGCCGCCGCAACCTTGGCCGCGAGCTCGCCAGCCTTGGCCTCGGCGACGGCGTCGACAAACGTCGGCAGCGGCTGATCCGGGTTCAGCGCCGCCCACACCGCGACGTGCGCGCCGACGATCCCGCCCACCTTGTACCTCCCCGCGGCGAATCGCGCGCACGCCTTGGCCTCGAGGATCGCGTCCTTGGCGGAGAGCGCGGCGTCCTTAGGGTCGTTCCATACAAGCGAACGTCGGGGTGGAGTTGAAAGGCGTCAGGTGGAGTTGAAAGGCGCCGAGGGCGGGGATTGAAAGCGGGGGGTGGGCGGAGAGATGCGCCGGGGAAAGTCCTTAAGGATCGGCGTTCACCACGCGAACGGGGTCGTATGGGAACCAGTGTATAGAACGCACCTTGGCGTGCGCGTCCGGGTCGCGCGCGATCGCCGCCGTCAACGCGTCGACGCACCACGCGCTGTCCAGCGCCTTCGCCGCGGTCGTCGCGCGGCCGGGGAGGCGGACGCCTCCGCCGCGACCGACGTCCACGACGACGTCGTCGTCGTCGCCCTTTCGCTCGTGGATGCCGTACGGATCATCCTCCGGGTACTCGTCCTCTGGCGCCAAGTCGTCGTCGCCCGGCCCGCGTCCGGTTTCAAAGTCGTCGTCGTCGACGGTCCAACGCATCCGCGGGATGCGCCCCGCGCCGCGCGCGTCGTCGTCCGCGTCGCCGACGCGCCGCGCGACGTCGCCCGCCGCGGACGTCGCCTCCGCGGCGACGAGGAGCTTCGCGAGCTCGCTCAGCGCTGCACAAGCGCCGGCGCGCACCTGCGGGGAACGGTCGCCGACGAGCGCCGCGACGCCGCGCGCCGCGACGGCGACGGATGACTTATCCGTCGCCCTCGCGGCGTCCGCGGCGGCGCGCGCGCGGAGCTTCAACCCCAGCGCGTTCTTCGCGAGACCCGTCTTGCCCTCGAGCGCGTCGACGTCGCCGCGGCGCGTCGCCTCCGCGACGAGAATCGCGAGCGACGCGGAAGCGCGGCGGTCCTTCAGCGCGAACGTCGCCGCGCGGCGCGTCGCCTCGATCGCCCGCAACGCCAGGTTCTCCGCGTCTGGGTCCTCGCGGAGCTCGTCGCTCGCGTCCCAGTCCTCCTCCAGCGACGCGCACACCTCGCCGAGGCGCCTGAGCAACGTTCCGCGGAGGCGGCGGCGATTGACGACGCCGCCGACGAGGACGCCCGCGCGCGAGACGACGCCCGGCGGGCGATCCGAGCCGCCGCTGGCGCGCAACGCCGCGGCGACGAAACGCTTCGAGCCGTGCAAAAACGCGGGCGCGCCGCCGGGGCGGTCGACGAGCTCGCCGCACGCGCGCATCGCGGCCGCGGCGCCGGGGGCGGGGAGGCTCGCGGGGCGCGACGCGAGGCGCGTCTCCTCCGCCTCTTCCTCCGCGGTCTTGCCCTTGTCCTTGGACGTCACCGCCGCGGATTTGGGTATTGGTTTCGCGAGGCCCTTCTGGCCCTTGGGCGGCGTCGGCGGCCGCGCGTGCGGGTCCACACCCTTGAGCGCCTTCGCCGCCGCTCTCGCCGCCGCGTCCTTGGCTTCCTTCTGCTTCCACGCCTCGGAACCGACGGGGAGGCACAAACGGTCGCCAGCGAAGCGTTTCACCTCGTCCCCGCGGCCGCCGAGCGCGGCGTCCAGAAGGTTCTCCATCAGCGCCTTGGCGCGCTTTCGCCGCGTCGCGTCGTGCGCCGCCCTCGCGCGCTTCAAAGCCGCGCTCGCGCCGATCGACAGCGCCACCTTCTTGACCGCGTTGAAACCCGCGTCGATCGGCGCCGGCGGCTTGAACCTCCGGAGCCGCGAGAGGAAGAGCTCCAGGTCCGTGAGCCGCCCGCTCTCCGCCTCCGCGTCCTCCGCGTCTCTCCGCGCGAGCACGTCCGGTCGGAACGTCGACAGCTCCTCCGCCGACATGGCGTCGGCGCGCGTGCGCATCGTGTACATCTCCTCCTCGTCGCTGATCTCCCCGGTCGCGGAGGACTCCAGCATCTTGGCGCGCGCGCGCTGAAGCTCCTCGCGTCGCACGCGCTCGCGGAGCTGCCCGAGGGACACGTTCGTGGGGCGGTTTTTGCCGTTCGCCGCGACGAGCGCGGTGCCCCCGACGGCTTCTCCGGTGGGATCCAAATCGACCAACGCGCGATGCAACGCGACGTCGCCCGAGCCGGTGACCGCGCCGTCGTCGCCGCCGACGTCCATCTCGAGGATCGTCCGCGCGCGGCCGCGCTGAATGACCGGCCACGGCACGATCCAGTCCCCGCGCCATGCAGCCTCGAGCTGCTCCTCGCGCGCCAAGCCGGTGTCCTCTAAATCTTGCGCTGTGAACAAGATGGGGTCCTCGAAGAGCGCGTCGACGACGCGTCGCCATTCGAACGCGCTCGGGCGTTTCAGCCCGACGTCGTGCCTGTGGAACAGCAGCGCCGCGGTCGCGGTCGCGAAGTCGCGCTCGGTCACCGCCTCCGCGGCGGACGCGCGCAGCGACGGAATCGGTGATTTGAGCGCCTTGAGGATCCACGGAATGGCGCGCCACGCCAGCGCCGGGTCGCGAATCGCCGCCGCGCCCGCCGCTCGCGTCAACGCGGTCAACGCGTGGTGCGCGAGGTCGTCCGCGCCGGCGCGTATCCACAGCTCGGGGTCCGCGAGCAAAACCTCCGCGAGCGTGAGGAGCTCCTCCGTCGCCGCGATCGCGACGGCGGGCGTCCCGGTCTTCGCCTCGGTGATTTTCGCGACGAGCTCGCGTTCGTACGTCGCGAGGCGTTGAAATTCGCACAGCCACGCGACGACGCGGTCTCGGAGATGCTTCGATCGCGCGAAGTCCACGGCGGTTCGTTTCCCGCCGCGACCGTCGCCCCCGTTTGGACGTTTCGAAGACGGCGACCGCGGCGAGGAAGGCGAACCGTCGGGACCCGGAGCGTCGTCGTCGAACGCGTCCGCGGTCTTGTTCACGCCGCCGCCGAAGCTGAAAAATCTCGACAACGCGCTTCGCCGCCGCGTCGCGATCCCGGGCTGACTCGTCGCGCCGCCAGCCTCCACGTCGTCCGCGTCGTCGTCGTCGGTGTGGTACCCCACGGACTTCTTCGTCGTCTTCGGCGTGTTCGGCTCGCTCGACGTCGCGTACTTGGACGCCTTCTTGGACATCCCCATCCCCGCGCGCGTCTGCGTCTTCTTTCGCGCGCTCTCCTCCCCGCTGACGTCAGTCTGGCTTCGCTTGATCGCCGACGGCGGCCGCGCCACCTCTTCCGCGAGGCACACGTGCCGGAACAGCGCCTTGTTCAGCGCCGCGGCGAGGTACATCACGACGGGCAGCGTCCCGGCGAGGACCGCGCGCCACGTCATCTCGTTCCCGGTCGCGGCGTCCCCCGCGCTCGCCGGCGCGCCGCCGCCGGCGATCGATGGCTCGTTCAAAAACATCAACGCGACGTCCGGGTCTTGCCCGTTCGCCTTCGCGGCGATGGACAGCACGCCCGTCCACGCCGCGCCCGCGTACGCGGCCGCGCGCCACTGGTTCCACCCCGACGCGTCGCCGCGCAGGGATTGCATGCCGACGTGGCACCCCAACAGCGCGAGGAGGAACATCGTGACGACGACGTCGTGCGTCCACGCGAACTCGACGACGCCCTCGCGCGCGGCGGCGACGGGCTCCTTGCCAATCTGCCCCTCCCAGTACACGCCCACGCCCGCGATGACCGTCTTCGCGACGACCGCGATCATCTCGAACGCGGGCTGCGGGCGCAACGTCACGACCTCGTTCGCGGTCGCGTTGGCGCGGAACACCGCGCACGCGAACGCGGCGAAGGCGACGAAAAAGCCGCTCGCGACGAGCGTCAGGTGGTCAACGCCAAAGAAAAAAATCGCCGGGTCACGCGCGAAGTAGACCCACGGCCGCGCGTGGTCGTGTGCCATGGGAATCAACGTGGCGAGGCCGACGTGCACGGACGGGAAGAATCCGATCGTCGCGAGCACCGCGATCGCGACGACGCCGGTGAAGACGAGCAGCCTCGACAGGCGCTCGTACCGACGCGCGCGGCGGCGGTGTCGCATCGCGAGCCGCGCGTAATCTTCCATCTTGACCTCGTCGTCCTCGCGCTCTTGAATGACTCTCTGTATCGCCGCGTTGTCGATGTGGTCGTCCAGGCACTTCAACGTCTGCGCGTCCGTGCCGTTCTCCCACATCTCTTTCGGGATCGCGTACCCGGCTTTGCGGATGCGCTCTTGGCGGTCTTTGATCGCCTTGCGTTCGCCGTCTTTTCTCGTCTCGCCTTTTCTGCGGGAAATCTTCGGAAGGACGCCGCCGTTCTCGACGACGTCCGCGTTCTCCCAAACCTTCTTCCACGCCCTCCGCGCGAAATACCTGGCAACGCGCGCGAGCGCGGGCCCGCCGAACGTCATGAACGCCGCGCCGGTGAGAAACGACAGCGACGTGTACGTTTCCTCCCGCGTCATGTTCGGTCCCAAAAAGATCGCGGGCGTGAGCGTGTTCACGAGCGCGCTCACGCCGCCGCCGTCGCGCGCGAACGGCGGGCACGCGTCGCGGATGAACACCGCGACGAGCGCGGGGAGCTCGAGGATCAAGTGCGCTCGCAAAATCACGCCCATCCACCCGCCGGGGACGTGGAAGAACCACATCCAAATCTTCACGAGCGTGGATCTGCACTTGAAAAACACGCGCGTCGGCGCGCGCGTCATCGTGTCCGCGAAATCCGCGAAGTAATCGCCGAGAAGCGTCTTCAGCGCGCGGTATCGATCACCCACGGACGCGTACTTCACCGCGAGCATCATCACCTTGCGCTCGCGCTCGTTCGCGGGCTCGCGGTCGCCGAGGCCGCGCGTGCGCGCGGTCACGCCCTTATTCGCCTCCCGCGGAGGCACCGCGCGAAACAAAATTTCCTTATTCGCGTCGCGTCGCGCTCGCCGTCGCTTCCGCCCCTCGATCGCGTCCGCCTCCGCCTTCGCGCGCAGACGCGGCCCGTCCACGATCGCCTCCGCGTGCGCGATGAGCCGCTCCTCCTCCGTCTTCCTCGCCGCCGCCGCAGCGCGCGCGTCGAGCGTGACCTGCCGCGGGTGCGTCCATCGCAGCGGCGGCAGCCTCGTCGCGGCGACGACGAGCAACACGAAGAGCGCGACGCCCAACGGCGCGGCGAGCGTCGTCATGTTCGTCTCCGCGTCCGTCACGCACGTCTCGTCCCAGACCACGGTCACCTCGAAGTACGCCGTCACCGCGCTCGCGCAGCCGTCGTACACCTCGATCTCGCCGCGGTACTCGCCCTCGCGGTCGGGGCGCAGCGTCGCGACGAGAAGCTCCTGATCGAAAGACGCGTGCGCGTCCTCGGGATCGGGATGCGCGTTGAGCTTGGACGCTCGCGGCGCCATCGCGAGCGACCACTTCGACGTGAACGAGTCGCCCTCCGGGTCTCGAGACGGCGACGCGTCGAACTCGATCTTCTTGAAGCACCTCGGGACGTCCGGCATCGGCGTGAGGTGCGTGAGCTCCGGCGGCGGCGGCGGCGCGCGGACCCGCGGCGGCGGCGGCGCCGCGAATCCCGGCGGCGAAAAGACGACGACGGGCGGCGGCGACGGCGGCGGCGGCGCCGCGGCGGGCGCGGGCGGGGCCGTCGGCGGGCTCGGCGGCGACGCGACGCCGGGGGTGAAGTCGTCGAGTTCGCCCCTGAGCGTCACGTCGTCGAGGACCGCGACCGTCGCGTCCGGGATCGGGGCTCGGTTGCAGAGCACGACGAGGCTCGCCGTGCTGCTGCTGTTTTGCCCGACGCACGACCCGATCGCGCTCACCGAGAGCGTGTACGTCCCCGGGCCGTCGGGCCGGAGGGAGATCTGCGTGTTCGTGCTTATCGCGCGCCCTCGGTTGTAGTCGTCTCTCCAAAACTCCGCGATCGCCTGGTCCAAGTCCGGCGGCGGCGGCGGCGGCGGCGACGGCGGCGGCGGCGCGCGGCCGGTGGCGGGCGGCGGCAGCGCGACGACGGCGTTCTCGTCGAAGCTCACCGGTATCGACGCGGCCGGCGCGGTCAACACGTGCCACTGCAGCGACACGAACGGGTTGATGCACTTCACGTTCGATATCGTCGTCGACAGCCGCTTCACCTTCTCCAACGACACGTACCCCAGCTCGAGGAAATTCTCCGTCGTCGCCACCGGCCCTTCGAACCGTTTCGACGACATCACCACGCGTTCCCACGTCGCCGTCGTCGTCTGCTGCGGCACCGGCACCTGCGGGTTATCCACGATCTGCACGGTTCGCCCGATGGAGACGTACACCGAGTCCACGCACGCGGGCGGGTGGTAATCGAACGTGTCCCAGTTGGGCGGCGGCGGGCTCGGCGGCGGCGGCGGGCTCGGCGGGCTCGGCGGCGGGCTCGGGTTCGGCGGCGGGCTCGGCGCGTTCGGCGGCGGGCTCGGCGGGGGGTACGTGTACGGGTTGTTCACCCCCGGCGGCGTGAACGGCGGCATCTCCGGCGGCGGGAACGGCGGCGGGCTCGGCGTCGGCGGCGGCGGCGGGAACGGCGGCGGCGGCGGGCTCGGAGGGCTCACGTACCCCGGCGCGAACGGCGGCAGCGGCGGCGGCGAGTAAAACGTTCGCATCTCCGCCTTGTGCGCCACCCGCAGCGGCCCGATCCGATCGGGCAGACGCACGTACGAGTACACCGACCCCGCGCTGACCTCCACGCCCTGGAAGTGCACCTCCGCCTTCACCACGAATATTTTGCCCATGACGTTCGGCTCCGCGCTCGGCGTCTCCAGCGACGCGGTCACCTTGACGTGCGCCCACCGCCCGGGCGGGTACGCGCCTATTATATCCCCGGGCGGCTTTCCCGGAAACGTCAAAATCTCCCCGCCGCAGCACTCCAGGGTGTTGTTGAAATGCAGCTCCTGCTGGTACTCCCAGTCCGGCACGAGGACGTCGTTCGCGTCGTAGCGGTCCGGGCACGTCTGCGCGACGCGTCGCGCGTCCGAGCACGTCGCGCCCGGCGCCAACACGACGTGTCCGTCGACGAAACGCAGCCGGTAAAAGTCCGTGTTGAACAGCTGCATCTTCTGGTACACGATCGTCTCGAGGTGGTGCTCGCCCCACCCGTCGCCGCCCCACCCCCTCTGCCCGTCCGCCCCTTCCAGCTGCGACGGGAACACCGCGACGAGCGTCTCCACGGTCGGGTTCTCCGTCTCCGCGAGCATGTTTTGATCCGTGTTCTGTACGACGTCGGGGTGGAGTTGAAAGGCGTCAGAAGCGGAGTTGAAAGGCGTCGAGGTGTGTCGGGATTGAAAGCGAGGGACCCTGGGCGGAGAGATGCGCCGGGAGAGAAAGTCCTTAAGGATCGGCGTTCACCACGCGAACGGGGTCGTATGGGAACCAGTGTATAGAACGCACCAAGACGTCGCGCCACTCGTATTCGCCTCCGTAGCCGCTCGAGACGCACACCGCGTGCTCGCTCGGGCACCCGCCGAGCTGCCTCGCGCGGGGTTGGTCCGGGTTCGCGTCCACGTCCGCGATCGTCGCGAGGCTCGTCGGCTCCGCGGGGACGTGCGAGTTTGAATCCTGAAAGCTCGCGACGGGAAACGCGTTTCGAGCGACGGATCCGTACGTCGCCGTCGCCGTTCCCGTCGCGTACGTCTCCAGATCTTGCACGCAAAACTCGCCGTTCGCGTCGCGGCTCGGGAACGTCTCCGCCCACTGCGGAGGCAGCGGCGGCGGCGGCGGGCTCGGCGGCGGGCTCGGGTTCGGCGGCGGCGGCGGCGGGCTCGGCGGCGGCGGCGGGCTCGGCGGGCTCGGCGGCGGGCTCGGCGCGGGCGGCGGGCTCGGCGCGTTCGGCGGCGGCGACACGAACGACGGCGTCGGAGGCGGCGCCGGGTTCGGCGGCGGGAACGACAGCGCGAACGGCGGCGCCTGCGCGTTCGCGCTTCCCGCAGTCGCGAGGAACACCGTCGTCGCGAGGATCGGTCCGAGCCACCGCGCGAGACGCCCGGTGCCATCATCGTCCTCGCGACGGCGCCGCGGCTTCGTCGTTCGCGTCGGGCGCGACGCTGCGTCCTCCGTCGTCCTCCCCGCGTCGCCGCATAACGCGCGATGCGCGCGTCTTCGCGTCGGCGCGCGCGTCGTCTCCGTCATTATTGTCTTCTAACGGACGCCGTCCCCCGTCCGTCGCGTGGTTTCGGGCGACATCGTCGTCGTGGTTCTTCGCAGAGTGCTCGAATTGCTCAGCAGCAAATCGACGACGGATTCGATTCGCCGGCCGACGAGGGCGCTCGCCCTCTCGCTCGCCCTCTCGCGTCGCGCCGTCGCCGGCGGCGGGCGCTTCGCGATGCCGTCAGTGCGCGCTCCGCGGCGACGTCGGACCCTGAGCGGTCGTCGTCGCGCTCGGCGCTGTGGCTCGAGCGCGGGGCCGCGCATTCGCTCCGTTCAAAAGAAAGAAGCGGTCGGTCGGTCACAGGCTAATAAGATTGCTGACGATTCGGCTTCCACGCACGCCGCGTCCGCACCTCGCCTTGCGGCACTCGTCGTCGCGCCCCGCCCGTCGCGAGGCGCGCGATCGCGTCGCGCGCGATGTCGTCGACGTCCCCGCCGATCTCGCCGTGCGTCAAATCCCCTCCCCCCGCGGCGCGGCGCTCCGTCTCCATCTCCGCGTCCCCTCGTCGAGATTCGCGCGCGTCCCCGTCGACTGATTGACTCGTCCGATACGGACCGTCGCGCTCATCGTCGCGCTCATCGTCCGTCCCAATCCCCGTCCCCGTCCCCGTCCCCGTCCCCGTCCCAGGCTCGAGCGCAAGCTCCGCACGTACGCGTCGCACGTCCCGAACCTCGTGCTCTCGCACGTCGCGCGGCGCGAGCGCGAGCGCGAGCGCGGGGAAGACGGAACGCCATCCGTCGCGGCGGCGGCGTCCGAGTTGGCGTCGGTTCCCGCGAAAAGCGAGACGTTTCCCGCCGCGGTGCTCTTTCTCGACATCGTCGGATACGTGAAGCTGACGTCGGCGACGCATCGCGGCACGGAGTTGCGCGAGGCCAGGGACGCCGCGCTGGACGGGACGCTGACGCGTTCGATGACGTGGCGCAGCGAGAGCCACGCGCGCGCGCGCGGCGTCGTCGACTCGACGCAGCTCGCGGGACTCACGGGGGAGACGATGCGCGACGTCGTCAACGCGTGCTTTGAAAACGCGCTGGCGACGATTCGCGCGCGGGGGGGGGACGTGTTGAAGGTGCGTCGTGTCGTGCCGTGTCGTGCGTCGTCGCGCGCGCGTAATTTCATTTCATTTTATTTTCGACCACACGATACGCCACGTCACCGAATCTGATCACGACTGACCGATCGTATCGCCGGCGCAGTTCGCGGGGGACGCGTTGTACGCGACGTGGCCGGCGCCTCGCGGTGAGGTGCGTTCTATACACTGGTCCCCATACGACCGCGTTCGCGTGGTGAACGCCGATCCTTAAGGACTTTTCCCGGCGTGTCTCTGCGCCCACACCTCCCTTTCAATACCCGCCCTCGACGCCTTTCAACTCCAACTGACACCTTTCAACTCCACCCCGACTTTTGCTTGTATAGAACGGCCCTCGCGGGGCGTCTTCCGCGCCTCCGCGCGGGGCGCCGCGGTCGGCGCGGTCCGTGACCCCGAGCCCTCTGGGCGTCGCGACGTTGCGCGCGATCGAGTGCGCTTTAGAAATCCTAACCGACGCGAACGAGCGGTTACCTTTCAATCCGTCCATCCCCGACGCGCGTTTGAAAGCGTGCGTCGGCGCGGGAGAGCTCGCGTCCGCGCACGTCGGCGGCGGCGGCGACGGTGCGACCGCTTCCCGCGCGACCCTCTACCTTCTGATATGCCGTTCATTACCAACCACACGTAATGCCACGTCACCAAATCTGATCACGCGCTGACCATCGTATCGCTTCGCAGGCACGCGGTGGGAGTTCCTCGTCGCGGGCGAGCCGCTTCGACAGATCGAGCGCGTCGCGTCGCTCGCGCGGCCGGGGCAGGTCGTCATCGCGGAGGAGGTCCTCAGCGTGGACGGCGTGAAGGAGCGGATGACGTGCTCATCGATGGCGGCGACGACGCCGCCGACGGCGGTGGCGGCGGCGCCGGCGGTGGCGGCGGCGGCGGCGGCGGCGCCGGCGGGCGCGGCGGAGAGCGAGGAGTGCCGTCGCTCGTCGTTCGACGAAGGTCCCCCGTTCGCCGTGCTCGCGCGCGCGACGAGTTTCACGTACTCGCTGTCGACGGGGTCGAAGTTCGGGGACTCGACGGCGCTCGACGACGGCGCGCTCGCTCCGATCGCGCACGTCGTGGACGGCGTGCGACGCTCTCGCTACGAAGAAGACGAAGAGGAAAACGATTTCGAAAACGTCAAAGAAGCGACGTCGACGTCGGCGCCGGCGGGTTCTTCCCGCGACGCGCTCGCGGAGGCGCTCGAGGGCTCCAGCGCGTCGTCGCGCGAGGCGATCGCGGCCGCGCTCGCGAGGTACATCCCGCGGTCTGCGCACGCGACGGACCCTCGAAGCGTGAACATGCGGTGGCTCGGGGAGATTCGGCAGTGCTCCGTGCTCTTCATGAATTTCACGGCGGCGGCGGCGGACAAAGACGAATCCGAATCCGAATCCGAATCCGAATCCGTGGTAACGTTCGCGAATAAAGCGTTACGAGTCGCCCAAGACGTCCTACACAAGCACAGCGGCTGCGTCCGCCAGTGCATCGTGGACGACAAAGGCGGCATCACCCTCGTCGCGTGCTTCGGACTCCCCGCGAGCACGCACGAGGACGACCCCTGGCGCGCGGTGGCCACGGCGATGACGACGAAATCAGGCGCGTTCCACGCACTGGTCCCCATACGACCGCGTCGGCGTGGTGAACGCCGTTCCTTGAGGACTTTTGCTACCATTTCTCTCCGCCTAGCCCTCGCTTTCAAACCCCGCCCGCGACGCCTTTCAACTCCGGCTGACGCCTTTCAACTCCACCCCGACGGCGCTTCGCACGGAACGGCCCTCAGAAACCGCCGCGAAAGGCGTCCAAACGCGCACCGGCGTCGCGACCGGCGAGGCGTTCTGCGGGTACGTCGGGACCAGACAGCGGTGCGAGTACGCGCTGTACGGCGACGTCGTGAACACCGCGGCGAGGTTCATGTCGAACACGGCGAACGACGGCATCTTAGTGTGCGAGACGACGAGGGCGCGGTGCGCGACGCGCGTGGCGTTCGGCCCGGAGAGACGGCTGACGTTGAAAGGGAAAGAGGGCGTCTTGATCCCGGCGTTCGCGCCGCTGCGGATGCACACGCGGCGGTCGAGCCTGCGTCCGAGCTCGACGATCGCGTCCGGCGGCGGCGATGGCTGTGGTGGCGATCGTAACGGACGATCGATGTCCGTTTCGACCCTGCCGCCGACCGCGGCGGGGTATCTTCGCGCGCGGATCAGCGCGTTGCCGCCGCGGACGCAGCTGATCGCGAAGCACGCCGCGGTGATCGGACGAGCGTTCGATCTGACCGCGCTCGCCGCGGTGAGCCGAGATTGCGGGCATCTCGACGTGACCGTCGACGCGGCGCGGCGCGCGGCGAGAGAGCTCGTCGACGTCGGCGTGTTCGCGTTCGTCGACCTCCGTCGCGGCGACGACGACGAAGCGCCCGCCTTCGGCGGCGGCGGCGGCGGCGTCGCGTTCACGAGCGACGTCGTGCAGAGCGTCGTGTACGGGCTGCTCCCGTACGCCGCGCGACAGCCCGTGCACGTCGCGATCGCGCGGCGACTGGAGGCAGCGCACGGCGGGGCGGGCGACGACGATCGTAACGGACGATCGATGGACGTTACGATCCCCACCGTGCCGCTCGACGCCGCGTCGTCGCTCGCGTACCACTGGACGCGAGGCGGTCGGTCGGGACGCGCGATCGAGTACCTCGCGCGCGCGGGCGAGGTCGCGACGCGAGTTGGGGACGTCGCGGACGCGGCGACGTTCTACGAGAGAGCGCTCGAGCTCGCGCGCGGCGGCGGCGGCGGCGGCGGCGGAGAGAAGCGTTTGACGACGTCGTTGAGACGCCTCGCGCGAGCGCGCGGCGGGAACGACGCCGCCGCGGCCGCCGCGCCGCGCGAGCGGCGCGAGACGAACGAGACGACGACGACGACGACGAAGGCGTCGGCGGCCGCCTCGGCGCCCTCGGCGAAGGACGCCCTCGCCTCGCGCGACGACGACGACGCGGACGACGGAACGAACGCGGGAGGGTGCTTCGCCGCGCTGCGGCGCCGGCGCGCGAGATCCGAACGCCGCAGACCCGCGCGCCGCGCGAGGTTCTCGAGCAACAAGATCAAGCCGTCCGCGCGCGTCGTGCGCGTGGACGGCTGAACCGACCGACGACATCTATCTCGAGCAGCACAACGTTGTAGTCTAGCTAGCTTGCCTCGAACTAAGACTACTCCCGACTACTCCCGAAGGTACTCCTGAGGAGTACTTTCGTCCTACTTTCGTACTTTCGTACGGAAGTACTTCCGTACTTATCTAGTCTAGTCGCGCGCGCGCGATATCTACAGCGCGCGCGCGCGGCAGACGCGTCTACTGCAGGTCGTCGTCGAGCCTCGACGCGAGTCCGCCGCCGTAGTCCATCCCCCCCGGCGGCGGCACCGGCCCGAAGTCGTCGAACCCGCTCTCGACGAACAGAAACCTCCGGCTCCTGTTCCGTAGCACCGGGACCTCGCCCCAGCCGAGGCGTCGGCGCGTCGCGTTCAGCTGCTCGTCCACCGGGGACTTTCGCGCGACGAGCGACGCCATCGACGCTCTCAGCCCGACGCCGCCGCCGACGCCGGACTTCGACGCGACGACGCCTCTCGTCTCGCACACCGCGTCGCCCTCCTTCGGCAGTAAGAACTCGATCGCGACGTCCCCCGGGAACACCGCGCGGAGATACTGGTACTCCGCCGCGCTTCCGCCGCCGCCATCACCGCCGTCCGACGCGACCGCGACGACGTCCTCCACGACGTCGCCGCCGGTGGCGACGATCGCGCGTCGGAGCCGTCGCGTCGCCTCCTCCGCGCCGAGGCTCGGCTCGAACTCCCACGGCGCGATAAAGTAAGGCGGGCGGTCGTCGTATGCGCTTCGGCATTCGCTCGCGCGGAACCCCGCGCACGAGCCGAGCGTGCCGTCGACGACGCCCGCGTCCGCGTCGTCATACTCCGTCGAGATCGTCGTCGAGGCGCCGCGCGCGGGCGGCGCGAGGACGGACACGAGGGGAGGCGCGAGGACGGACGCGAGGAGGACGTCTCTTCTGCGTCGTGGTGGTCGCGCGACGCGCGGTGATGATGATGATGATGATGATGATGATGATGATGATGATGATGGGGCGGCGCGCGCGCTCGACGCGCGCGACGACGACGCGGACGACGACGTGGACGCGGACGCGGACGGCGGCGGCGTCGTCGCCGCGGTCGCGAGCGCTCGCGCGGTGGCGCGCATCGTGGCGGACCCCGCGCGGCGAGGAGTGAGGACGCGCGGTGGACGACGAGACGACGAATGGAAATGACTGACGAAGTTGACGACTGAAAATCGCAATCGATCGGATCGATCGATCGATCGACGCCAACAGAAGCGACCGCGCGTCGACGCTCCGACCCGCCGCTCGCGGTTCCGATGCCGCTCGAACCCGTCGTCGTGGAGTACTGCCCCACGTGCGCGTGCCCGTTCGAGTACTGCGACAACGCGGGATGCAAGCGCGCGAAGATGGAGACCGAGATGGCGAAAGCGTCGGTGAGCGGCGGCGACGGCGATGGGGACGGCGCCCCCGCGATTCCCGCGGACGCGACGACGGACGCGGCGACCGCGCCGGAGAAGAAGAAGAGCTCGAAGAAGGCGAAGGCGAAGGGCGTGACGATCACGCGCACGACGCGCAACAAGAAGAAGACGATCACGAACGTCGCGGGGCTGGAGCACTTCGACGGCGTCAAGGTCGCGGACGCGGCCAAGGCGTTCGGGAAAAAGTTCGCGTGCGGCGCGTCCGTGACGAAGGGCGCGACGGGGAAGGACGAGATCGACGTGCAGGGGGACGTGAGCGAGGGGGTCGCGGCGATGCTGACGGAGAAGTTCGGCGTCGACGCGGAGCTCATCAAGCTCGTCGACAAGGGCAAGTAGGGAGGAGGACGCGGGATGGGGGGGGCGGGGGCGATCGGAGTCGGAGTTCTCATCAGGACTTCTCTTAGGTTTGATGTTTTTTTTGGCAGGCGCAGGCGCGAGAAAGTGGACGTCGTCGATCGATCAGTACCCCTTCTCCTTGCTCACGACGTTCCACGCGGCGTCGTCGCCCTCTTCTTCCCCGACGTACGCGCGCGCGTGCCGTATGAACGTCGTCATCGTCAGCTCGTGGTAATCCTCCGTGAGGTCCGCGCAGTGAAACGACATCAAACAATTTTCGAGCGCGTAAAACGCGTGCCCAGCCGGCAGCGGCTCCGTCGCGGTGACGTCCAACGCCGCGCCCTTGATCTTCTCCCTTGTCAGCGCGTCGACGAGCGCGTCCTCGTCGACGACGGCGCCGCGCCCGACGTTCACGAGCACCCCGGTGGGCTTCATGGACGCGATCATGGACGCGTCGATGAGTCCCTGCGGGTCGTTCCGTACGAGCGAATGTCGAACGTCGGGGTGGAGTTCAAAGGCGTCAGTTGACGTTGAAAGCCGTCGAGGGCGTGAATTAAAAGCGAGGGGTGGGAACAGAGATGCGCCGGGAAAAGTCCTTAAGGATCAGCGTTCACCACGCCACCGCGGTCGTATGGGGACCAGTGTATAGAGCGCGCCTCCGTCTCCGGCGTGTGCGGCAATGCGAGCACGACGAAATCGCCCTCGGCCTGGATCGGATCGGATCGGACGGAGGATGTATCGTCGGCGGCGGGTCGGTCGCGGTGGGTCGGGAACCTAGCTAGGCTCTATTTTGAAACCGACGCGACGCGACGGCGGGGTGGGCGTGACGGATGCGGACGCGGACGGAGAGCGAGAGAAGAGGAAGAGGCGATGCTCGACGCGAGACGCGCGCCAGGGTCGCACCATCGCGCGGCGCAGCTCCGAGAGCGGCAGCGCCTCGTCGACGGCGGCGTCGCCCGCGCTCTTAGGGTCGAGGGTCCACACGAGCGAACGTCGGGGTGGAGTTGAAAGGCGTCAGAAGCGGAGTTGAAAGGCGTCGAGGATGGGTATTGAAAGCGAGGGACCCTGGGCGGAGAAAAACGCCGGGAAAAGTCCTTAAAGAACGGCGTTCACCACGCCACCGCGGTCGTATGGGGACCAGTTTGACGTAGAACGCGCCTTACTCGGATCCCGCCGCAGCGCGACGACCTTCATCCCGAACGCTTTCGCGCGAACTGCGCACGCTCTCCCGATGTCCCCGTACCCGACGATCGACATCGTCTTCCCTTGGAGCATCCCGACCGTGTCGCGCATCCACTCCCCTTTCGCCTGCGACGCGCGCATCGCGTGAACCTTCTTCGCGAACCACAACGACGCGAACAACGCCCACTCCCCGAGCGACGCGGAGAAGGCGCCTCTGGCGTTCGTCAGCGGCGCGACGGCGTCGCGCACGCGAGGGACCGCGAGGATGTGCTCCACGCCCGCGCTGCCGGAGTGGAGCCACGCCACGCGGCCGTCTCTCTCGGAGGTAGCATGGGAGGACCCGTCTCCTCGCGAAGAAGAAGACGGGGACGACGACGACGACGCGCACGGCGCGGCGAGTATCTCGCCCATCACCTTCGCGTCCCCGAAGGGGTGGAGTTGAAAGGCGTCACTTGGAGTTGAAAGGCGTCGAGGACGGGGATTGAAACCGAGGGGTGGGCGGAGAGATCCGCCGGGAAAAGTCCTTAAGGATCGGCGTTCACCACGCGAACGGGGTCGTATGGGGACCAGTGTCAAATGGACGCACCTTCGCGTCCCCGAACCACCACAGCACCGCGACCGGGGGCCCCTCCCTCGCCTCCAACACGTCGCGTGGGAAGTCGCCGAGCTCGACGCCGACGTGGATATCGAAGCGATCGGACGGCATCGCATCGTCGTCGCCGCGCAGCCTCGCGAGCGGGTTAGAGGACATCAGCGCCGGGGTGGTCACGACCAGCAGCTGCGTCTTCGTCGCGCCGTCCGACGGCGCGCGAGGGATCGGGCTCATCACGGATGATTGTGATGGGTCGAGGGAGGCGGAAGACGACGCGGTTTTCGCCGCGCGCGACGCCATCGCGGCGACGGGCGAGCGCGCGGGCGTCGTCGGCGCGACGCGAGGGGGCGCGACGGCGACGGCGGCGCGGGCGAGCGTCCGAGCGACGCGCAGCGCGCGCATCCTCGTGTGATGATGATTAATCCAAGTCTAGTCATCGGGAACTCCGAAAGAACTCAGCGCGCACGGGTGCCGTGTCGGGGCGGACGCTCGCAGAACGACCCGCGCGCGCGCGACGGCGTGTAATAACCCCGCGGGACAAGAAACGATCGCGACGACGCTCGGAATGCCGACGACGGCGGCGGTCGCGCGCGCGCGCCCGGCGGTCCAAACGGACCCTCGTCGCGCGGACGCGCGCGGGGTTCGTCGTCGCGCGGCCGCCCAACCCGTCTCAAGCCGCCACGTCGGCGGCCGCGTCCAAACACGAACGCCATCTCGACCATCGCGCGTCGCGGCCGCCGCCGCCGCCGCCGCCGCGCCGCCGGCGACGACCGATCGCGACGTCGTCCTCATCACCGGCGCGGCGAAGGGCATCGGCGCCGCGTGCGCGACGCTCCTCGCGTCGCAGGGGTGGGCGGTCGCGATCAACCATCGCGCGTCGTCCAAACCCGACGCGGACGCGCTCGTGGCGTCCATCCTCGCGTCCGGCGGCCACGCGGCCGCGTTCGAGGCGGACGTCTCCCAGGAACCGGACGTGTGCGCGATGTTCGAGGCGGTCCGCGCGTGGGGCGCGCTCCGAGGCCTGGTGAACAACGCTGGCATCTTGCGCGGACCCGACGGAAGCGCGTCCGTCGCGGACCTGAACGTCGCCGACGTCGAGGCGATCGTCGCGACGAACGTCATCGGTCCGATGCTCTGCACGCGCGAGGCGATGAAGCTGATGTCCGCAAAGCTCAACGACGACGGGCGCGCGCGCGGCGGGTCGATCGTGAACATCAGCAGCGGCAGCGCGGTGATCGGAAGGCCGTTGCTCTACGCGGCGAGCAAGGGCGCGTTGAATTCGTTTCAAGCGGGCGCGGTGGACGAGCTCGCGTCGCACGGGATTCGAATTAACGCGGTGTCGCCCGGGATGACGAACACGGACCTCGTCGCGGACGTCGTGCCGACGTTTGACTTTAGCAAGATTCCGCTCGGGAGGATCGGCGAGCCGGAAGAGATCGCCGCGGGGGTCGCGTTCCTTTTGAACGAGACCGGATCGTATTGCAGCGGCGCGAACATACGCATGAGCGGGGGGAGGCCGCCCGGGACCTTCCTCGGGTGAGCGGTGCGATGTGATACCTCACGGTGGTGTGACCAATCAATCCAAGTCGTAGAGCTCGTCGCCGTCCGCGCCCAGCGCCGCGACGCCGCTCTCCTCCTCCGCTCGCAACGCCGCGCCTTTTTCGGAAACGAACGCCGCGCGCGCGTCGTCGTCGGCGTCGTTCGCGCCGCCGCCGAGCATAGACGCCAGCAACCCGCCGCCGCCGCCGCCGCCTTCCTCTTCTTCTTCTTCTTCTTCTTCTTCTTCGCCGCCGACGACGGTCGAGGCGAGACCGCGCGCGATGACGTCCACGGCGGCGTCCGCGTCGTCCGCCGCCGCCTCCGGCGGCGACCGAAACGGCGACTCGAACGTCGCGAGCAACGCCCTCACCTCTCCCTCCTCGCGCGCGCCGTCCGCGCCGTGCAGCGCGCTCGTCGCCACCTTCTTCGCCTCCTCGATCCTCCCCAGCCGCCACAGCGCGGTCGCTCTGCGATACTTCGCCTTCGCTCGCCCGGGTTGAAACTCGAGCGCGGCGTCGCAGTCCAACAGCGCCGCCTTGGCGTGCATCTCGCACCACTTCGCGGCGGAGTCTTCGCGCTTCACGACGGCGTCCATCAGATGCCCGGAGACGTCCTTCGACACCTCTGCCTTGCCTCCGCCGGGGAGCGCCCCGCGGGCGAGGTACGCCGCCGCGCGGTTCGCGTGGTACGCCGCGCGGCGAGGGGCTTCGTCGAAGAGTTTGCCGTACGACACCGGCGCGTCGACGGCGGCGCCGTAGTGACGAATCGCATCCGTGTAGCGCCCGTTTGAAAACGCCTCGTTTCCGCGCGTTTTATGAACCTCGCCGCTGTCCGTCTCGTCCGCGTCCGCGTCGTAGAAGCTCTTGGAGGAGGAGGAGGAGGAAGTGTGAGTGGTGGGCGTCGTCGTCGTCGTCGTCGTCGCGGCGGACGCGGACGTCGACGCGTTCAACTTTACCGTGCGGTCCGCGACGACGACGCAATCGTCGTCGTCCTCCTCCTCCTCCCCCGCGGCGGACGCCTTCGCCCTCTTCGCCTCCGCCGCCCTCTCCATCGCCGCCCTCACCGCGACCGGCCCGTTCAACGTCGGCACGACCCCGCCGTTCGCTTCCATCGCGCGCTTCACCGCGTCTCTCCGCGCGTCGTCCGAATCGTCGTCGACGCCGCCGAAGTCGTCCGCCAACGCCTTCGCCAGCGCCTTCTCTTCCTCGCCCGCGCCGTCCTCGCTCTCCCACGCGCGGAGCAGCTCGAGGAGGTCCGGCGATAGCCGTAGGACGTTGTGCGGGCAGTGTCGCAGCCGCAGCCACGACGCGTAGAACGCGAACGTCCGCAGCGCCATCCGAGCGCCGCCCGGGAACGTCGCGTCGGCTTTGAAATTTTCGCACAGGCGCGAAATCAACGGCGACGCCGCCAGCTCGAGCATCCGTCGATGCACCGCGACGTCCGACGTGCTCGATCGCTCCGGGGGGTCGTGCCACGGGTACAGCTCCTCGTGCGTCAGCGCGACGAACGTCTCCATCGCTTGCCCGCGCAGCCTGAGGTCATCGTGATCGAGCAGGTTTACGAGCGTGACGAGGCCGCCGGCGAGGACGAACCGCTTCGCGAACGCCCATCGCTTCGAGTGGCTCAGGTACAGCGTCATGAGGTAGGTCACCTGGCATCGCGCCGCGGGGTGATCGCTCGGCGCGCCATCCGGCGGCGAGCGTATCAGCAGCGCGTACAGCTCCGCGTCGTCGTCGTCGGGGTAGTACGCGAGCTCGCGGACGCGCGTCGGGGTGAGGCGTGATCGAAGGATCGCCTCCGTGGGTCTCACCGGAGGGTTCGCGTGTTGGCGCGTCAGCCCGGCGCGTATCTGCGCGCGGATGTCCTCGGGGAGGGACGCGTCCGCGGCGGCGTCGAGGAAGGACTCGAACCGCGCGTCGACGGGCTCCGGAGGGGGCGCGGCGTCCCCCATGGCGCCCGCCGCGCGATCTGACGGCGCGGCGACGATGAACGGTCAACGACGTTTTCGTCGAGCGAGCGCGAGCGTCGCGTCTGGTCGTGTCCCAGGTGCCGACTCCTGTGTCCCCGCCTCCCGTCGACGACTTCGACGGTCGCGCGCGCGCCTCGCCGCACGCGACGACGCGCGATGCACGCCGCGACCGCGTCGACGACGCGCGCGCGCGCCGCCGCCGCCGCCGCCGCGCGATGCACGCCGCGACCGCGTCGACGACGCGCGCGCGCGCCGCCGCCGCCGCCGCCGCCGCCGCCGCCGCCGCCGCGCGGCGTCGACCGGCGCGCCTCGCGTCGCGCGTCGCGCGGCGACGCGACGCGCGCTCGTCGACGTCATCGACGCCGCGCGCCGCGAACGCGAATCACAGCCACGACGACGCCCCCACTTCCGCGCCGGGCTGGGCGTACGACACCCTGGGCGTGGACGTCACCGCGTCGAAGCGCGCGATACGCGTCGCGTACCGCGCGCTCTCCAAGGACGCGCACCCGGACGCGCGCGGCGGCAGCGAGGCGAAGTTCGAGCGCCTCAAGGCGGCGGCGGACGCGCTGACGGACGACGATCAGCGCGCGGCGATCGACGCGTCCATCTTGGACTGCGCGCTGGATTCGCTAACGATGCAGGAGCTGACGTGGTCGCGCGCGCTCGCCGCGCTCGCGGAGGCGGAGGAGGACGGCGAGGTGCGCGGCGCGGACGCGGTGCTAGCGGCCGCGCGCGCGTACGCCGCCGCGGAGAGGGCGCTTGAGCGCATCGCGGCGCAGAAGAAGAGGGAGAAGGAGACGGCGCAGATCGCGAAGAAAGAGGCGGCGCTCGCGTCGGCGACGGCGAAGCGCGCGGAGGTCGCGAAGCGCGTGTCCACGACGCTTAACGGCACGGACGCGAGCGTTACTTTAACCATCACGCGAGAGATGCTGAGAGACGCGGAGACGACAGAGACGGTGGACGGGCACGTCGTGCGGACGTTCGTCGTCGACGCGGAGACGGAGAGCAACTGCGCGAAGTGCGACGGGTGGGGAGAGAAGGAAGGGCACTGGACGCCCGCGCTCGATAAGCTGTGCCCGCGGTGCGACGGGAAGGGTCGAGTGATTAAGAAGAAGAAAGTGAGAGTCCCCGTGCGCGATGGCGTGCGCGACGGCGAGGTGATCACGGTGTTCGGAGAGGGCGACGGAGGGTTCACGAGACCGAAGGTTAGTCGGGGTGGAGTTCCTCACACTGGTTCCCATACGACCCCGTTCGCGTGGTGAACGCCATTCCTTAAGGACTTTTCCCGGCGTGTCTCTCCACCCACCCCTGGCTTTTAATCCCCGCCCTCGACGCCTTTCAACTTCAACTGACGCCTTTCAACTCCACCCCGACTAACCTCAAGAACGCGCTCGGCGAAATGTCCGACGCGGGTCCGGCGGGGAACCTTCTCGTGACCGTCGCGGTGCTGCGGGACGGCGAGACGTCGCGACGGTCGGGGTAGGGCCTAGCTTCCGGAGGAGGAGACGCGGCAGGCGGTCGAAGCGGGCTGCGTTTTCGATCTCTACGACTACAAGTTGTAGCTAGTAGCTCCAGTAGTTATGTCGTCTTGTAGACTACCTTAGTCGCCAACCCTGCGGGAACAATCGGCATCAAAATCGCCATATTGAAGTCACACGGCTCCTTCGTCGTCCATCTCTCGAAAGGCGACGGCCTCGACGCGAACGCGGCTCTCGCGTCGTTGTATCCAGCCGCGGCCGCTCTCAGCGCGGCGTACGACGATAACCGCACTCCTATCCTCCATCTGACCTCCCTCATCACCATGATCGCCAGGCACGCAAGTCTGTACCTGCACAGCCGGGACATCGCCTTGTCCGAGTCCCTGCCCTTTTTGTTGAACCCCGCTTTGACCCCGACCGCGCCCATGGTGACCTCCACGCTCCCTTTCGACGCCGCGGTCGCCGCCGGGAACTTCCAGTCCTCAAAGATATCGGCTAGATCAGGGCGCACCGCGACGTAGTTGATCGAGAACCCGCACGCGGTCCTCGGTTCCGTCGTCCTCGCGTCTCCCCGTAACTCAATCGGCGGCGGAGGCGACAAGTGTAACAGAGGCGGCGTCGGCGGCCACAGCCACGGCGGCGGCGGTCGCACGCGCACGCCCAGAAGCTGTGTTCGGTCCACGACCGCGCGTCGCAGCGCGGCGCGCGAACTGTCGCCGTCGCGAGACGCCACGGTGATAGAGTATAAAAACACGGGCTCGACCAAGAGCTCGCTCAGCGCGCTCCCCTGCACGCCCAGCGCGACCCACTTCGCGATCTTATCGCTGCACGACATGCAATTCGTCTGATCGCCTCGTCCAGGTTTCACCCTCGCGCGTCCGACCGCTTGGTCGGTCGCTCCGTACTCCGCATCGACGCCGCCGCCGCCGCCGCCGAGGAGTTTCGCGCCAGTGACGCCGCCGCCGGTCGTTTTCGCGCGCTTCTTCGTCCGCGTCTCGTCGCCGTCGCCGCCGTCGTCGTCCTCGCCTTCGTCGCCCCCCCCGCAGCCGTGTCCCTCGCACGCGTCCTCGTCGCTCCTCGGGAACACGCTCGCGTCCCCGCACGGCGACTGCGTCGTGTACATGTGCAACCGCACACCCGGTCGCAATCGATACCTCTCGCACCCCCCAGGGTCCGCACGAGCCCTGCCTCCACAATCTACACACGCGCGCCCCGTCCCAATCCTCTCGAAGATCGGGAACGCAGACGGCTGCGGCGCTTGTGCGGATACCGGTGTCCCCCGCGTTGACTTGAACTCGGCGTAAAGCTCGGCGAGGAGGTAATACCGCAGCGCTCGACGCGCGATCACCTCCGCGTGCGAGTCCGCGAGCGCGCGCCCGCGCGGGCATCGCGCGCTCGCGCCCACGCACTTCGTCCCGGTGCCGAGCGCGACGACGACGGGCCGCGCGTTCGGCGTCGCGTCGTCCGTGAGCGCGAACCCGGCGAGGAGGGTGTACTCCCCACCCTGCGGCTTGCCGTGCTTCGGCAGCGACGCGTACTTCGCGAGGACCGCGTCCGCGACCGCGGCGCCGAGGTCCGCTGTCGTTTCTTGATCGCCGACCGACGACGCCGCCGAAGACCTCTCGCTCTCGTCCGCTGTAGTCATTTCTTGATCGCCGACCGGCGACGCCGGCGAAGACCTCTCCGCGAGCTGCCTCCGGGGTATCACGCCCTTGGTCGACTTGCGCGCGGTCTGCTTCTTACGACCCATCGCGACGCGCGGAGCGACGCGAGGGCGAAGCGCCCCGGAGTGACGGCGCGCGATCGCCCGTCTAGCAGACATGCTTTTTGGCGCGGGGCGGGGGCGAATCGCGTCCACGTCAGCGTGCGATAAATATAAAGCGACGACGCGGCGCGAACGCGCGGCCACACCCTCGACGCGCGTCCGCCGCGCGCACGTCTCCGCCGCGCCCGTTCGCTCGTCCGGCGCGCTCTCAAACGCACCCTCGCGTCCGCGCGCGCGTCGCCGGACCAGACCTCGCACGCGGCCTCGCGCCCCGCCCGCGACCGCGCGAGAAAAAGATGGCGACGTTATCGTCGGGCGCGACGCGAAGCCTCGCGCGCGGGACGCGCGCGCTCCGGGGCGGCGCGTCGCGTCGCCGCGCGCGACCGACGCCGACGCCGACGCGCCACCGCCGACGCGGGACGCCCGCGATGGCGTTCCTCCCGAACCTGATCCCGAACCCGAACTACCGATGGGGTGCGCGACGCGACGCTGTCGTCCCGTCCCCCCCGTCCCCGCCCCCGATCGTTCTGTTGTTGTTACGCGCTCGATCGTCGCGCGGACGAAAGAAATATCTTCCGCTCCCGGCTGAACGCTCCGATCCTCCCTCGACATTGGACGCGCAGGCGACGACGAGAACCCGTCCGGCCCGCCGCGCGGCGGCACCGTCGACGAGGTCCTCTTCGCGCACGACAAGTGGAGGGTCGGCCACGAGCACGGCGTGGACGACCACGACGTCATCTACCGCTCGTTTCGATGCCGCGACGCGAAAACCGGTCACGCGTTGCTCGAGTCTCTGCAAGACGCGCTGTACTCGGACAACGAGCGCGGGTGCCGCATTCGAAGGGAGACGCAGGGGATGTTCTACATGTGCTGCGACGGCGTCCGCGTGCGTCTGAACGAGCCGAAGCACGAGGTGCTGGTGGAGGTGCCGATGCCCGCGGAGACAAACGCGCAGCTGGCGGAATGTCGGAAGACGCTCGGGACGGTGGAGACCGTCGCGAAGAAGCACCACTCGCGGTGACGCGACGTGACGCGACGTGGCGAAGCGCCACCCGCGCGCGGCGTGATTGGTTGTTGGATGCCACGTGGCGGGCGGGCGTCGAATCGCGCGCGTCGCGCTCGCTGCTAGACCTCATCGTGTGATGATACAGTAAGGTTACGTTCGCGCTCAAAGTCGTCACTTCGTGATGACCGAGCGCGGCGTTATCGCTTCGCGTCGTCGTCCGTCCCGTCTGTCCTCCTCCTTCGCACTCGCTCACGCCTGCGGCTCGCTCTCCAGCGTCAGCGTGCCCCCCTTCGCGCGCGCGAACGCAGCCTCCGCCTCCGCCTCCGCCTCCGCATCCGCGGCGTCCTCCGCCTCTTTCATCGTTCGCCGCCGCTCGAGCTCCTCCGCCGCCTTGGCCTCCGCGGCTTCGACGGCGTTCATGAACCCCTGCGACCACTCCATCTCGGAAGCGATGGAGTACCGCCCCGTCGCCGCCGCCGGCGACCGCGACGACGACGACGGCGGGGGGGGCGGGGGCGGGTCTGTCTTTCCCGCGGGAGACGGCGCGTTCGTGAGCGCGCGGACGCGCCTCGAGAGCGCGCGGACGTCGAGGACGCCGTCGGAGAGGCGCTTCGCGAGGACGTCTCGCGCCGCCGCCGCCGACGACGACGACGACGACGACGACGACGGCGCGCTCGCGCTCGCGCTCCCCGAAGGAAGCAACACGGTGACGCGCGTGTGCTCGGTCGCTCTCGCAACCTCGAGCGCGTTCTCGTCGTCCCGGCGCGCGTACGTCAAGTTCTCGAACTTCAAAACGGTCGCGTGATGGACGTTTTTATCCCCTCCGCCGCCCGCGCCCCACTCGAACGCGGACGCGAACGCCTCCGTCGTCCGCGACTCGATCTCGATCGCGAGCAATCTCGCGCCGTCCGCGGACGTGTGATCCAACGCGAACGCCCACTGCGACCGCGGCGCGTCCGGCGGCATCGGATTCGACGCGTGTAGAAGCACCGCGACGGCGTCGAACTCGTCGCCGCGGCGCACGGCGCCCGCCGCGATGTCGTTCACGCCGCCGAGCTTCCGCGGCGTCGGCGACGGCGCGAGACCCGCGCGCGCGAGCGCGTCCTCGGAGACGCGTCGCCACCGCGTCTTTCTGCCCGCCGCGAGCTCCAAGCCCGCCTTCTCGAACGCGCTCGGTCGCAAATCCCCGGTGAGCTCGTAGCACGCGCCCTCGACGACGTGCGATAGGAACGACTCGTCGACGTCGTACGTCGTGAGCAGCGCGGAGCCGACGAGACGAGCCTCGCGGTGCTCGACGTTCCTCACGCCGGAGACCCTCAGCTTGACGCAGCGCCGGACTCTGCGTTCGAGTAACCCCTTCGATTCAAGCGTTTTGTTCACCGCCTCTTCGTGATCCTCGCGGCGCGCGTCCGCGTCGGTGAGATCGCAGAGGTCGTCGCGATATCTCGAACCGTTGCCGAGAACAACATCGTTCGCCGCGCGCTCGATCACCTCGGCGCGCGCCGCCTCGAACGCCCTCGCAGCCCGCGCCTCCGCGGCGTCGCCTCGGTGAATCGTCCGCCCGTCCACTCTCCCGCTCTCGACCCACGCGGGCGGATACGCGCGCTCGACGTGCACGAGCGTTCGGAGGACGTTCCCGCCGTTCGGGACGATGGTTCGCAGCGGGAACGTCGCGGCGGCGCGCCGCGCGCCGAGCGTGGCGTCCCACGGCGCCGGCCGCGCGCCGTTGCGATGCAACGCGAGCCATAACTCGTCCGCGGCGTCCGTCAACGGCGACGCCGGCTCGGCGCTGCCTCGGAGCTCCGCGCCCTGGACGAGAATCTTCTGCCCGACGTGAAGCTTCCCGCGGCGCAGGAGGTCGCTCAGCGCCGGGTCTAAGCGCGCGGCGAGGCCGTACCATCCGTCGGTGACCTCGATTTCCGCGCCGCCGCCGCCGCCGCCGCCGCCGCCGCCCGCGCCGCCGAGTCGTCGCACGGCGGCGATCACGAGCACCGCGGGCGTGCCCGCGGGCGTGTCGCGTTCCATCACGCGTCGAATCCACGGCCGCCGCGCCCGGATGAGCTCGCGCTCGTAGCGATACAGCAGCCGCTGCGTCACCGCGCGTTTCGAGAGCGCGCCGCGTGCTCCGAGATGCTCCGGGAACGCGCGCGCGACGCACGCCTGCTGCCACACGACCCACCTGCACGCGTTCGAGACGTACTCCTTGCTCAGGAGGTGCGCCTTGCACCCGGCGTCGAGCATCTCGCGACGGAAGTCCGCGGTCGTCAGCGTCGCGCCGTCGTCGGAGGAGACGCGGTACCCGATGGCGGTGTCCGCGGTCATCGCCCTCGCGGCGGCGTCGAGCGAACGCGACGGGCGTTGCATCGGTTTCAAGCCGTGGAAGTACGTCGACAGCGGCGCGCGGTCGCGGCGCGACGCGAAGAGGTCGTGCACGGACGGCGCGCCGAGGTTACCGAGGTTACTTCGCTTCGCGGCGGGGGGCTCCGCGGTGGCGTTCGTTCCCCCGTCCGCGACGACGCGTTTCGTCCCGATCCCGAGCGCGGACGGCGTCTTTCCTCGCGCCACCGCCGGTCTCGCACCGTTCCCCAGCATCGGCGAGTTGAACGCGAGCTTCGAACGCGCCGTCGCGTGCGGCGGCGGCGCGGAAAACGCCGCGCTCGCGCTCGCGGCGACGACGACGCTCCCTCCCGGCGTTCCCGGCGGCGGGTGTTGGAACCGTCCCCGTCCGGGAAACGGCGCCGCGATCGCCGCCGCGGCGACGCGCGACTGCGGCGTGACGAACGGCCGCGGCGCCGTCGTCAGCGTCTTCGGCGGCGCGGACGCGGGCACGACGTTCGCGCCTCCACCGACGCCGCCGTCGTCGCCTAAGAAGTTCGCCGCGCGCTTCATCGCTTCCTCGGAGATGGGCACGCCTTTACCGGAGCCGGTGCTAAATCCGGCAAACGCCGGCGTTTTCGTCGTCGGCGCGTCGTTCTCCTTCTCTCTCGCCGGCGGCGGCTCCGGGGTGACCGTCGTCGTCGCGACGACGTCCTTCATCGCGGTGTCGCCGCCTAGAAAACGCGCCGCGCGTGCCATGCTCTCTTCTGAAACGGGCACCATCTTTCCGTTACCGGTTGAGAAACCCGAGAACGTCGGCGCCGGCGTCTTCTCGACGACGTCGCGGCGCGGCATCGGCGGCGTGAGCGACGCGATCGCGACCGTCGCGTTCGGCCCGCGCGCGGGTTTCTCCGCGGTGTCATCTCCGAACATGCGCGCGCCGTTTCGAAGCGCGGCCACGGAGACGTCGATCGCGCGCGCGCTCGCGGTCGTAAACCCGGACGGCGTCCGCTCCTCCGCGGCGCCGGCGGCGGCGCCGGCGAAGGATGTCGATTTCGATTTCGATTTCGATTTCGCCGCCGCCGTCTCCTCTCCCCCCCACGCCGCGGGGGACGCGGCGTCGCCGCCGCACGCGAACCCCCCGAACCCACCGTACGCGGTGTCGTCGTCGTCGCCGTCCATCGCGGAGGGCAGCGGCAACGGCGACCGCCCGAGCACGCTCGCCTCGAACGCCTTCCCTCCCGCGGTCGTCATCGTGACCCCGCGCGCGGGCGTGCCTTCCGCGGCCGCGTCGATGTTCTTCATGCGCGCGCCGCCGCGGTTCGCCCACGCGGCGTCGTTCGTCTTCGGCGTCGTCGTCGGCGTCGCGCCGGGCGGGGTTCTCGCGCGAGCGGCGTCGGTCTGAACCTCGACCGACCCGATCGGCGAGAGCGACGGAATGCACTTCTTCGCGGACGCTCGCGTCGAGCGCCTCGGCGTCGGCGTCGGCGTCGGCGTCGGCGCCGCGCGCGGTTTCTTCGCCGTCGTCGTCGCCGCGGGGGAGGGGTACTTGAACCCTCCGCGCGCTCCCGCGCGGTTCCCGCCGAACCCGGCGAACCCGGCGCCGCCCGCGCCTCCCCACTTCGCGTTCATCAGTCCGGGCGTCTGTTGCGAATCCGGCATCGCGAAATCGCGCGGCGGCGGCACCGTCGCGAACGGCGACGGCTCCTTCCCTCCGTGCAAGACGTCGCCGTACAAATCCCCGACCGGGCTGAAACACCCGTCCTGCGTGAGAGGCAACCATCCGGACGGCGTCTGCGCGTGGCGCGCGCGCGGCGGGAGCGACGACGCGGGCGCGGCGACCGCCGCCGCCGCCGCCGCGGGCGCCGGCGTTTTCCATTCGCCGCCGGCGGCGGCGCCGCCGCCGCCGCCGCCGCCGCAAACTTGCGAGTCGTACCCCACCGACGCGTCCCTCTCGACCGTCTCCGGGACGAGCAGCGTCGACGTCTTCGCGTCCGCGCCGCCCGGGGCGGAGTCATCGTCCGCGCGCGTGTTGATGCTCTCGTCGCCGCCGCCGCCGCCTTTCGCCAGCTGCGCGTCGTCCTCCTCGAATCCCATCGGAGATTCCCCGAGCGACGGCAGCGCCGCGCGCGTCGGCGGCGGCGGCGCCGCTCGCGGGGTCCGGTCGTCGTCCAGCTCCTCCGTGCAGCACGGCGGGAACTCCGTCTCCGGGACGACGCACTGCGACCGCGCGCCGAGCTGCGGTTGCGCCTCGGTCTCGAGGAGCGGCGCGCGCGTCGTCGCGTTCGCGCCGCTGCGAACGCGCGCGAGATCCTCCACCTCCTCCTCCTCATGCGTCGCGCCGTCGTCGTCCTCCTCCTCCTCCTCCTCGCCGTCCGCCTTCGGCAGCGTGCGAATGAACGCGCGCGCTCTCGCGTCGCTCGCGCCCTCGCCGACGACGCGCGAGAGCGACGCGCGCGCGGAGAAGAACCCGCGCGTCGGCGCGTCGTCCGCGTCCGTCGTCGTCGTCTCGTCCACGGATCTCGACGACACGACGCGCCATCCCCCGTCCACGAGCGCGAGCTCGCACGCGTGCGTGTCCTTCCCGACGTACGACGTCGTCATCGCGCGCCGCGACGTTCCGCGTCAGCCCGAGGTCTTTATCTCTTCATCGCCGGCGTCGTCATCGCGAGAGGCGCGCGCTCGAACGTCTGTCGCTGACGGGCTGATTTGAAATGCACGCCGTCGCGGTCGCGGTCGGCCGGCGCGGCGTCGCGTCGACGTCGCGACGTCGGCAGCCCTAAACCCTCAACGCCGCCCCCTCGGCGCTGCCACACCCGCCGCTCGCGCGCGCGCACGCACGCACGCCCGCACGCACCCCGCGCCTCATCAGACGCGCGCTTCCCGCTTCGCGCGCCGCACGCGCTCTCGATGCTCGCGCGCATCGCCCCCGGGTTCATCCTGCGACGCGGCGGCGGTCTCGCGTCGTCCTCCGTCTCGACGCGCGTTCCCCCCGGCGGGCGTTCTTCGATCCCGCGTCGCGCGGCGTTCGCGACGCGCGCGTCCGGCGGCGACGAGAAGGCGAAGGGCAAAGACAAAGCCAAGAAGAAGGAGACGCTGAAGGCTGCGCCGCCGCAGCCGAAGGCGGACCCCGCGAAGGCGGTCGTCAACGAGGAGGACCGCGCGCCCAAGGCGGCGGTGAAGGTGGACTCCTTCGACCAGTTCGATCGCGTTCCGAAGCGCCCGCCGCGCAAGAGCTCGTTCGCGAACCCGAAGCAGAAGGCGATCGACGCGAAGAAGGCGGCGGAGAGAGCGGAGAAAGAGGCCGCGGAGGCGAAGGCCGCGGAGGCGAAGGCGAAGCAGACCCCGGAGGAGGCCGCCGCGGAGCACGCCGCCGCGATGGAGGCCGACGCCAAGGCGAGGGAAGAGGCGAAAGCCGCGCAGGACGCCGCGCGCGCGGCGTGGGAAGCGAATCAACCCGACCCGGAGATGGAGCGCTTCCACGAGCACCAGAAGACCGCGGTCAAGCTCGCGCACGCGGACGAGTGCCGCACGCTGATCGACCAAGGGCGGTACGGCGTCTTGTCCACGTTCGACGCGAAGCTCGGCGGCGAGTACCCGACGGGCGCGGTGGTGGGCTTCGCGTCGGATGACGCCGGCTGTCCGATCTTCGCGCTGTCGTCGATGAGCGGGCACACGAGAGACCTGAAGGCGTGCGGGCGGTGCTCGCTGACGGTGACGCAGAAGGGGTTCCAGGGGTCGACCGAGGGGTTTCAGTCCGCGGCGGACGCGCGCGTGACGCTCGTGGGGGATATGGAGGCGATCGAGGACGACGACGGCGTCGCGGCGGCGCGAGAGACGTATCTCGCCAAGCACCCGGACGCGTTTTGGGTCGACTTCGGGGATTTCTCGTGGCACAGGATGACCGCGACCAAGGGCGCGCGGCTCATCGGCGGCTTCGCGCGCGCGGGCGGCGTCGACGGCGACGCGTACGCGAGCGCGACGCAAGACCCGGTGGCGCAGTACTCCACGCCCATCGCGACCCACATGAACGTCGACCACGAGAAGGATCTCCTCGACCTCGTCGGGCACTTCGTCAAGCTCACCGTGGACAAGTGCAGGATCGAGTCCGTGGACGCGCTGGGGTTGAACCTTCTCGTGATGCGACGCGGGGAGAAATTTAAAGTGCGGCTGCCGTTCGCGGAGGAAGCGAGAGACCGGCCGAGCGTGAAGAAGGTGCTCGTGGCGATGACGAAGGAGGCGTCGGAGGCGATGAAGATGAAGGAACGGTGGAACGCGTACGGCGACATCAAGGACGACCCCATGGGGAACAAGGCGAGGGCGGCGGCGATGGCGGCGCAGGGCGAGGGGGGGCAGCAGCCGGGGGCGGGCGGAGGGGCGGCGCCGGGGCCGAAGTGATGATCGAGTCGAGGATCTCTGGAGAGGTTCGTCGCTCGAGAGAAGGGAATGAAAAGTAAGTCTACGATAATAACAGAACCCGATCCTTCACGCGCGTCTTCGTCGCGGTTTGTTCCCCCCCGCCGCGACCGCGGAGCTCTCGCCGTAGCCGTCGACGTCGATCCCGCCGTCGTCTGCGCCGCTGACGACGCCCGAGAGCGACGGGATGTCCTGCGCGAAGAGAGAGAACAGAACGGGAGGCGATCAGATCGGGATTCTCGGATCGAACGCCATCTGTCGGAGGACGGGTGGACGGAGGGACGCGCGAGGGCGACGACGGACGGCGACGCGCCTTCAACCGCGCGGCGCGTCGCAGGTCCACGGCCTCTTTGTACAGCGACACCATCAAGATCGAGACCAAGATCGTCCAGACGACCGCGTACGCTTCGACCCACATGGGGGTCGGCGCGGCGAGCAGTGACGACGCGAGGGAAGCGATGATCAGCGTCGACGCGATGTGCGCGCGACGACGAAAAGATGAATGCGAATGATGCATGGTTTCGAGAACCCCGCCCACGCGACGGCGGCGGCTACGCTAGAGCTATGATATCGTCCTCGTCATCACGCGGGAATCGCGTCCCACAGCCCCCAGAGCGCGCTCCCGATCTTGCCCAGCGCCCGCTTCGCCGGGTTCGCGCTCTCGCTCCACGGCTCCTTCTTCGCCGCGGCGTCGTCGGCGTCGGACGCCTTCGCTCGCGTCGGGAGGCGCTTCAGCCTTGGCCGACGCGTCGTGAGCTCGTCGTCCCCGAACGCGTGCCCGTACGCGTATCCGTACGCGTATCCGTACCCTTTCCCGTAGTTGTGCGAGTACCCCAGCTCCCAGTCCAGGTCGGACATGTCCCTCGACGGCGCGCCGTCGCCGTCTTCGTCCTCACCCATCGCGCGCCTCGCCGCGAGCGCGACGTTGTGCGCGACGAGACCGCCGACGCACGTCGTCAGTATCACCGCGCTGCCGATCTTCGCGGCGAGGAGGAACGACGACGGCGTGTCCTTCAGCGGGCGGAGGTTCGGGAGCGGGATCGAGAGCGTCCGCGAGACGTCCGCGACGCGCTGCGGCGTCGGAGGGAGGAGGCGCGAGGCGTCGTCGGGAGGCGGAGGATGATGAAGATGACGCGCCGGCGCCGGCGCCGGCGACGACGACGGCGACGACGACGCGACGGCGACGCGGACGCCTCGATCGCGACGTCGGCGCGCGGACGGCGCGACGCGAAGCGCCGGGAGAGCCGGCGCGGCGAGCGACGACATGACGTCCTCCGGGCGTGCGGCGGGCGCGAGCGACGAGTGGGACGAGCGGAGGACGAAGACGACACGAGACTGCGCGACGTGAAATAATCTTTCTCATCAAAGCCTATCCCTCCCTCGCCATCTGCCTCCTGCCCTCACCCGGACACGAACCCTTTGCCGAGCTCGTAGTACGACTGCCCCGCGACGACGACCTCCCCCGCGTCCTGCATCGCCTGCATCTTCGGCCGAAACGTCTTGAACGCGACCGTGTTCTTGTGCAGGCCGAGGTAGTCTTCCAGGGATCGGTACCGCTCGAATATCGAATACCGCAGCGGCGACTCGTCCTTGTTCGACCGAGCGATCTCGTAGTGCAGCAGCGTCGGCTCGTTGACGCGGCACCAGTCCGCGGCGTCGCCCCACGCCTTCACGAGCGCGTCCGCCGCGGCCTGCGTCTTGAACTCGAGCTCGACGCTCAGGACGAACGCGTTCGCGTCGTTCCTCTCGCGAACGGCGCTTCCACCGCGACCTTCTCTTCCTCCTCCGCCGCCGCGGAGCGAGCGGAGGACGTGCCCGATCGCGAGCGCGGCGGCGACGACCCAGCCGAACCGCCCGCCGCTCGATTTCGTCGCCACCTTCCGCGAGGACGACATCTCGCGAGCGCTCGTGCGGCGCGCGCCGCGAAGTGATGCGAGTGCACGCGAACACGTCGTCATCGTGTGCTGTGCGTCGTTAAAATCCTAAAACGTTCTCGTCCTCCTCCTCCTCCGCCGCCGCCGCCGGCTTCTCCGCCGTCGCGTCCGGGGCCGCCGCCCTGCGGAACCACCCCCACCGCATCACGTAAGACACGAACACCGCGAAGAGCGCGACCGCGAGCGCGCTCGCGGTGACTTTGTTCCTCGCCGCCCACTGAGGGCCATTCCATACAAAGCGATGTCGGGGTGGAGTTGAAAGGCGTCAGTTGGAGTTGAAAGGCGTCGAGGCCGGGGATTGAAAGCGGGGGGTGGGAGGAGAGAAACGCCGGGAAAAGTCCTTAAGGATCGGCGTTCACAACGCGAACGCGGTCGTATGAGGACCAGTGTATAGAACGCGCCTGATACGTCCTCCTGAAGCGCGCGAACGTCCCTTGGAAGAAACTCCCGACTTTCATCATGCGAGCCATCGTCTCCGGCGAGATGCTCTGCATCATCTTCGCGGTCTGCTCCGCTTGCTCGTCCGTCATGTTGATCCCGCTCGCTTTCGTCATCTCCTTGAGCTGATCCGGGGTGATGTTCTTCATCATCGAGCTCATCGCCTCTTGCATCTTCGGGTCCTTCATCTGTTCCGTCATGGCCGCCATCATCTCCGGGGTGGGCTGACCGTCCGGGCCCAACGACGGCCCCCCGCCGGGCATGCCCCCGCCCTCGCGCATCTTCGCCGCCATCTCCATCATCCCGCTCATCGCCTCCGGGTCCATGTTTTTCATCATCGCCGCGGCCTGTTTCGCCATCCCGGGGTCCAGCTTCGGCGCGCCCGCCATCTTTTGCATCTCCTCGAGCTGCTCCTCGGACATGTTCTCCATCATCTCCGCGGCTTTGCTCATCGCGGCTGGGTCCTTCATCATCTTCATCGCCTGATCCATCTGCGCTTGCGACGTCCCGGGGGGCATCCCGGGGAAAGAACCAGAACCCCCCGGGTTCGCCGTCGCCGGCGGCGCCGACGACGGATCGGGTCCTTCAAACGCCGGGCACGCGCCGTCGTCCTCGTCCACCACGCCCTTCTCCTTCATGTCGCTCTCCGCTTTCGCGCACTCCGCGGCGACGGTCTCGTCCCCGGGCGCGAGCTTGACCGCGCGGCGCAGATCCTTCACCGCGCGCGCGAGCTCTCCTTTCGCGTAGTGCGCCTGCCCTCTGCGGTAGTACGCCTTCAGGGAGCGCCCGTCGCCTAGCAACACCTCCGTGCACTCGCTCACCGCGGAGTTGTACCGCTTCGTCTTGTTGAAGCACAGCGACATGTTGAGCATGCACGAGGTTCGTAACGCCCTCGCCGCGGGCGTTTGAATATCCTGCAGGTTGTTCTTCACGCGCATGTATTTTTCGATCGCGTCCGTGAACTTCTCCTCGCCCACGAGCTTATTCCCGTCCCTCTTGAGCTGCTCCGCGCCGCGCATGACGTAGTCCTGCTGCCCTTGCATCTGCGACTGCGCGGCGTTCATCGTCGACTTGAGCGTCTCCGGGTCCATGTCTTTGAGCTCTTCGCTCGCGCGCTTGAGGTCGTCCGCACTCATGTTCTTAAACTGATCCGCCGCGCCGGGGGGCATCGCGCCGGGGCCGCCCATGCTCGCCGCCATCCGCTGCATCTGCGCCTGTGATCGACGGCGCGGGAGAAGGAGATAGATGAAGACGTGAGATCGCGGGCGGGGAAGGGGGTGGGGTGGGGACGGGACGGTGGGCGGGGCGCGGCGCGGCGCGCGCGACCGGTCGTCTCCCTCGGACGGCGACGCGGATCTTGCGGCTCACGGCGAGCGCGGGAACGCGCGCGAGATCCCTTCCTTCCTTCCTTCCCGCGCGCGCGCGGGCGGCGAGGAGGGACGCGCACCATCTGCTCCGGGGACATGTTCTCCATCTGCTTCTGCGCGAACGCCATCATCTCGGGGGTGATCATGCTCGGGTCCATGATGGCCGAACGCTGCGTGCGGGCGGACGCGGCGACCGCGCGTGCCGTCTCGTCTGCCGCCTCGACCCTTCGAACGGCTTCGAACGGACGTCGAAATAAATAAACGCAGTCCTCCTCTCCGCGCTACACTACTCACCGTTCGCGCGCGGTCGGTTCCGTGCACAGCCTACGCACATCGCGCATCATCTGTCATGGCGCGCATCGCGCACCTTCTCCTTCTCGCGCTCGCGCTGAGCGCGCTGTCCTCCCCTCGTCTCGCCCTCGGGGTGGACCTCTCTCCCGCGGCGCCGCACGCGCGCGCGGGTCGCGCGGAGCACACGTACCCGTACGCGTGGAGTGGAACGCACCCGCCGCACGCGCACGCGAGCGGCACGGCGCCACCGCCGCATCATTCGACGCCGCATCCGCATCACGACGGCGGCGAAGAAGCGCATGTCGACGCCGCGTACGACTCGTCCCCCACAGCGCCAGGGGTAGACATAGGTACCCCTCACACGCCCGCGGCTGTGTGCGACACGACGCAGTTCACGGAACAGCTGCCCGAGTTACTTCCCGTGCATCGCGGTGTCGTCGACATCGAAACAGTGTTGCGACGCCATCGCGAACGCGGTCGGCTCGGACGAAGACGCTTCGCTGCCCGCGTGCCTATGCAACCGAGACACGTACGTGCTGACGGAGCAGCTCCTCGAGGACACCTTTGAGATGGATTTGAAGGGCATGTTGACGGCATGCGAGGAGATGCACGACGTGAGCGTACCGTACGAGTGCGAAGACGTAGACTTCGCGTCGAAAACAACACGCGTCGGCGGACGCAGGCGGCGGCGGCGCAGAGTCCGCGAAGATGACACGTGGGTTCGCGAGAGGAGCAGACGCGACACTGGACGCGCTTGAGCCCGAGCGCGGTGGTTCGAATCTCGTTCACGACCTGCGGACCCGCGAGAAAGGGCGCGAGAAAGGGCGCGTCGTGTGGTGATGTATCGTCGACGTACGCCACGCCGCAGACGACGGGACGACGAAAAAGCCTTCACGCGCGGTCGCCGACGCCGACGCGTCTGCCGCGCGGTCACATCACGCTTCGACTCTATAAATACGATCGATCATCACAAAGCACGATAAATACCCTCGCGATAGTACGCTACTCACACGATCGCGTTCGGCGGCTTGACGATCTTCAGCGAAGGCAGCCGCGGAAGCACCGCCGCGGCGGCTTCGAGCGCGGGCGAATTCGGCGACGCGGGCGCTTCCTCCGTCGCCCGCGGCGTCGTCGCGAGGTGCTTCGCGCGGTCGTAGCTGAACCCGCCGCCGTCGCCGTGGGGTGGGATCGGCGGAAGTTTCGGGGCGCCGTCCGCGTCCGCGTCGGCGTCGGCGCCGTCGCCGTCGCCGTCGCCGTCGTCGCTGCTCTCGTCGCTGCTCGACGGGCGGTTCGGTCCGAGCGCGGACGGCGCTTTCACCTTGGCCTTCGGCGTCTTGATCGACGGGAGGCCCTTGATCGTGATGAAGTCGTCCGCGCAGACGACGACCTCGGCCTCGGTCTTTGGCGGCCCGCCGGGACCCGGCGGTTCGCCGTCGCCGCCGCTCCCCGGTCCGGCCGCGCCCGCCGCGTCTTTCGCCGCCTCCGCCTCCCGCGCGCGCGGCGACGGCCGGTCCGCCCACGCCTCGGGCATGTCGTCCGCCTTGAGCTTCTCTAAGATCTCCGTGAACGCTGGGCGCTTGTTCGGGTCTTTGTTCCAGCACCGCTGCAGGAGCGCGACCGCCTCCGTGGGCAGCCACGTCGGCAGTCGCGGCCTGCGGTGCAAAAACGCAACCTGCACGACGATCTGCACGGGCGACGAGAGCTCCTCCCATGGATACTCCAACGTCATGAGCTCCCACAGGATGACCGCGAACGAGTACACGTCGCTGCGCTCGTCGCTGTGCTCGTTTCTGAGGCCCTCCGGCGCCATCCACTCCGGGGTTCCGCCCGGGGCTTTGTCGGAGGCGTCGCCGGAGGCGTCGCCGGAGCGTCGCGCGGATTTCAAGCGCGAGTTGTACTTTAACCGGCTCATCCCAAAGTCGGACACCTTCAGCGTCCAGTGCGCGTCCACGAGAAGGTTCGCGGGCTTCAGGTCGTGATGCACGACCGCGGGCGCGCGCGAGTGCAGGTAGCTCATCCCGCGCGCGCAGTCCTGAGCCATCTGCAGTCGCAGTCGTCCGTTATGCGACAACTCCACGCCGCCGCGCGCCTTCCCGTGAAGCAACGAGTGCAGCGACCCTCGAGGCATGAGCTCGCACACGATCGACACCCTCGGCGATTCGATGACCGCGCCCAAGAACAACACGATGTTCGGGTGCCGCATCCCTTGCATCATGCGAATCTCCCCGCTCAACTCCTCCGCGGTGTCCTTCGAGAGCACCTTATCGTGCGTCTGCTTCAACGCCACCTCCGTGCCGTTCCAATCGGCGGTGAACACCTCGCCAAAGCTGCCCTCGCCGATGCGTCGTCCGAGCTTGAGCTCGTGGGGGGGGATGACCCACCGCCCCGCGGCGAGTCTGAGCGCCTGGAGCCGCTTCTCGCCGCCGCGTTCCGTGCCGAAGTCGTCGTCCAGCGCGGGAAGGAGAAGGGTTTCGTCCGACGAGAGCGCGTCGTCGACGCCCTTCTCTCGCCCCGATACCATACCGCCCTCGCCGCGCTCGCCGCCCTTTCCGGAGAAGGGCGCCAAACGCGACGGCGTCTTGCCCACGCCGCCCGGGTTCTTTCGCGTCGGCGTCGGCGCGTAGAGCTTCATCTCCTCGAGCGATTCCTCGCGGAAGCTGACCTTGCGCTTGACGTTCGCCTCGCCGTTCGCGCCGGATTCGAACTTGACGCCGCGGACGCTCCCGCCGCCGCCGGCGCCGGCGCCGCCCGCGCCCAAGGACGACTGCTTCCGCAGCGCCGGCGCCGCGGGCGCGTCGTCGCCGTCGTCTCCACCTCCGCGCGCGCGCCGGTCCGGACCGAACCCGCCCGCGCCCGCGGCGAGCCACTCCGCGGGGACGCTGTCGCCGCGGCGTAACGTGGACGCGGCGTCCGACGGTTCCGTCGACGCATCCGTCGCGAACGACGACGTCGAATCCATCGCGTCCGACCCCGCGATCGACCCGCCGCCGCCGCTTCCGCTTCCGCTTCGTCTCCTCGACGCCCTGAGCTCTCTCCGCGCCTCCTCCTCCGCGGCGACGTTCGCCGCGAGCGCGGCCGCGGACGCTTCCTCCCACGCCGCGACCGCGGCGGCCTCCGCCCCGGAGGGATCCCTCGGCGTCCACAACCCGCTCCGCTCTCGCGCTTCGTACGCCGCCGCAGTCTCCGCGGCTTCGTCGTCGTCGCTCGCGCTCTCGGTGGACGCGCGACGCGGCGTCGTCGCTCTCGAATCGTCGTTCGACTCTTCCCCCGCGCCGCCGCAGCACCCGCCCGCGTCGTCGCGATCGTCGCGCTCGCCGCCGCGATTCGGCGAACGCGTCGGCGATCGCGTCGGCTCCTCGGAAAACACGCTGCGTTCCACCGTCGCGTGCATCGCCTCCGTGGGCGTCCCTCCTCCGTCCACCTCCTTCACCTCGACTCGCGACGACGACGACGACGACGACGACCGCCCCCCTCGCATCGAGTTCCCGCTCGAGAATATGGACTTGTTGATCGCGAGGATCCACCGGTCGCGATCGAGCGTGTTCCCAGCGCGGAAGATGCGCTCCTCGTACCCTTGCGTGTTCCAGCAGAACCCGTACAGGCGCTCCCACACCTCCACGCTCTCCATCCCGCGGCGTCGAAGCGAGTTCTTCGGGTGCGTCACGAGCTCGAGCGCGAACGCGGTCTCGCCGTCCTCCGGGCTCGCCCTCGCGCTCAGGACGGTGCCGTAGCCGTACATGCGGCTGAACCCTCGACCCCAGAACAGGTGGTTATCGTACAGGACGTAGTGACGCAGCTTCCAGCGATTCACGCCGACGCCGAACAGCCGCAACGCCGGCCCGAAGAACGTCTCGCTCTTGTGCTTCTCTAACGTCCCCTCCAGCGTCGGGGACTGCTTCAGCCAGGATAAGAACCGCCCGGGCGCGCCGGGGAGGTCGGAGTCGCGCAAGACGTCGGACGTGGACGCGTTCGAGTCGCGTCGTCGGCTCGCCGCGTCGCCGCCAGCTGTGACGCCGCCCGCGAGCTGCGCGTCGTCTTCGGCGGACTGCGCGACGCGCTCGACCGCGGACAGACGACGACCGCCCGCGTCGCCGTCCGGGCTCGAGCCGCCAACGCCGCCGCCGCCGCGCGCGGCGTCGCGATCGCCGCCGCGGACGCTCGCGTCGCTCGATCGCCGGTCCACGCTGCTGAGCATCTCCCCGAATCGCTGCTCCGCGTACGGCGACGACTGCGGGCTCTTCATCGGGCTCTTCGGGCTCTTCCCGCTCTTGCTGTTCCGCGGCGTGCGCTTCTTCGGGGACGCGCCCTCGTGCGGGAGGTCGTCCGCGCGCGCGACGTCCACCCTCAGCGGGCTGCGCGGCTCCCTGCGGGCGATCGACACGGGGGACGGGGGGAGGGGCGCGATTTGAGATACACTGTAGGCGGGCGAGTGCATTTTTTGTGTCTGCGAATGACGCGACGGCCGCGCGGACGCAATCGGGGCGCGTCGGCGGGGGAAACGTCGCGCGACGGGCGTGGAAATCTGGGCGTTCGCGAGGACGGGACGTACCCTCCCATGTTCGCCGCCGCGATACGCGAGCGCGCGCGGTCGTGCGCGACCTCGCCGGGTTGTGCGGCGGGTCGCGTCAGCCCCGACCCTCGGGCCCTCGAAAATCGTCGTACGAAGAGTTCGGAAGCAAATCGTGGCCGGATTTCCTTCCGTAGTATCCGTAGTACGGATTCCACGTACGCGCATATGGGCAAACGGTCACACCCAGTGTCACACCCATAACAACGTCGTTTCGATCGGTGACGAGGAGTTGTGACGAGGCACGAAAGGTCGTTCGGACACTTTTTTCGCCTTTAGCGCGCTTTTACGGGACGGCGCTTCATTGCACGCGCGCGACCCCCGCGCGCCTCTCGATCGCACTCGTCGGCAAAAGGTACGCCCGTCTCTCTTCCCGCGTCCGTCGTCGCGACCGAGACGCCCGCGCGCCCCGCGCGCGTCTCGTTCGTTTCTGGTGTGTCCGTTAGTGCTGAGATCCTTTCAGGGGGAATATCTTGAAAAGCAAGCGCGTGAAACCCGCGCGACGCGCTTTCGGATTCTCCGTCGACGCGCGCGCTTCATCGTCGCCCTCCGCGCGCGCGAACCCCGCCGCTGACGTCGTTCGACCCCCTCGCGTCGTCTCCAGCCCTCGAGCGCTTCCTCGCCGTGCGCGGCCGACGCGCCCTCGCGAACTCGAACGCCTCGAGAAATGGCCTCGTCGTCCGCGGCCTCGTTTAAGCTCGACCCCGCCGCGCTCCGACGCTCCCTCGTCGAGGGCGCGGCGACGCGCCAGCACGCGCGCGCGCCCGTCGCGACGCCGCCCCCGCGCCCCTCGAAGGCGCCCACCGAGCCGCGCGTCGTCCCCGTGGCGGACATCTCGCACGTCTACGGCATGCTCTACCCGAGATCCCTCGTGGAAGGGAACGCGGGCACGTCCACGGTATCGCTCGCGGCGGCGCTTCGAAAACGCGACCGCGCGTCTCGAGCCCGCCGCGACGCCTTCGCGTGCGCGATCCACGCGACGCCGCGGCGGACGGAGCACTGCGAGGCGGCGACGGTCGCGGTGAACGCCGCGATCGCGAGGTACCACGAGGCGACGGCGGCGCCGGGAGGGGACGAGGACGGCACGCTCTCGGACGTGGTCAACACGTCGCTGAAGCAGTCAGAGGCGTGCGACATCGACTGGCTCGACGACAAGATCGAGTGAGATCGAGCGACGAGCGACCGACGACGACGACGAGGAGGAGGAGGAGGAGGACGACGCGTAATGTATGAACATTGAGCCCCCCCCGCGCGCACGAAAGACGAGAGCGCGAACGCGGTGTGGCGTGTATTAGTAGTCTTTGCACCTTACCCGTATCGCTTGCGAGTTTTTCAATATTTTGACGAAAGACGAATCGACGTCCCCCCGCCGCGCGCGTTCAAAACCACGACGTCTTACCGCCCGCGTTCGCGTTCGCCCACCCCCCCGCGCCGGACACCGAACTGAGCCGCCCGTACGCGCTCTTCGGCCGCACCGCGCACTCCTCCTCCTCGTCCGCGCCCTCCTCGCCGTTCACGCCGCTCGGCGCGGCGGCGCGCGCCTCGCGAACCGTCAGGTGCGGAAACAGACAGTCTTCCCCCGCGGCGCACTTCCCGCCGTGCGCGAACGCGTGGCAGTACCTGACGCCCTTCACGACCGCGGCGTCGCCGCCGCCGCCGCCGCCGGGGCCCCATCGCTCGCGGCGCGCGGCCGCCGCGGCTTTCTTCGCGCGCTGCCACTCCTCGGCCATCTCGTCATCCTCTCGCGGTCCTCCCCCGGAGCCGCCCGCGCGCGCGCCGCCGCCTGCGTGGGTGAAGCGATCGGTCAGTCGAACGTCTTACCGGTCAAACGTTGAAAGGGAAGCGCGGGTGAAGAGTGACGACGGGAAAAGTCCTTAAGGAACGGCGTGCACCACGCGAACGGGGTCGTATGGGAAGCAGTCTCACCGCCGCCGCCGCCGCCGCCGCGCGCCGCCGCCGCGTCCTCGGACGGCGGCTCGAGCAGCGACGTCCACGCCTTGCGCGCGCGTCGCGATGACTGCGTCGGCGGGTCGCCGTGCGGGGTGAACGTCCGTCGGACGTGCGAGGGAGCGTGGATCGTCGGCGGGAGCACCTCGAACAGGGTGTCGAGTTGCTTGCGACGCTTCTCGCGGTCGGCGGGGGTCTCGGCGTCTTCGTTTTCGCCGTTTTCGCCGTTTTCGTCGCCGCCGCCGTCGCGGTTCCCCCCGTCGATTCGCATCGCCGCCACCTTTGCGGCGTGGCGCGCGCACGTCTCGAACGCCACGTGGACGTCGTACGTGACGCCCACCTTCGGACCGCGCGACGACGACGACTGCGACTCCGCCGCGGTTCGAAACGCGCGCGCGCGCGGCGGCGGCAGCGGCTCCGCGATCTCCGGCTTAGGCTCCCTCGCCGCCCTCTTCTCCGTCAACCTGTCCAGCGGCGACGCGCCGAAGAGGAAGCTCGCGTTCGTTCGCCGGCGGTGCACGCCGCCACCGGTGACGCCGCGCAAGATCGCCGACTGCGTCGACGTCGGCCCGACCCCCGCCGCCGCCAACGCGAGCGGGAGCGCGCCGGGAGGCGGGTCCTCCAGCGTCTTCCTGGGGCGGCCGGGGCGGCGATGTTCCGGCGGCGGCGGCGAGGTCGCTTTTGATAGCGGTTCAACCCCCGCCGGCATCAACTCCGGGAGCGTCAGCGCGAGCGCGTCGTCGCCTCCGCCCTCGCTCCTCGACGCCTCGAGCTTCGACTTCGCCTCCTCGGTCTCGAGCTTTTCCTCGTACACGTCGACGACGTCGGAGCCGCATCGGAGGGAGATGATGTACCGGCCGACGGGCAGCGAGGAGAGGTCGTCGAGCGCGCGCGACAGCGCGCGCGCGGCGTCCGCGGGGTCGAAGCCGTTGCGGGTGAACCACTGGCCGCCGACGACGATCTCGTCGCCGTCCTCGTCGTCGTCGTCGTCGTCGTCGCCGGCGTTTCCGTTTCCGACGTCGCCCCCGTCGAGTTGAAGCGCGAGCGACGAGGGTTCGTAGTACGGCGGCGGCGGCGTCGGGTCCGCGCCGAACGCGCGCGCGTCGTCGATCGTCTTCCTCTCGACGTCGAGTAAGACGCCGCCGTACGCGCCGACGCGCGCGAGCGCGAGCGTCGAGCCGGGTCTGACCGCGAGCGAGGCCCACCACTCCGCGGCTTCCGCGCGCGAAACTTCCTCGCGGTCCCCCGCCGCCCTCGCGCCGCGGCGTCTCCGCGCGCCTCCGCCTCCGCCTCCTCCTCCCGCGCCGTCGTCGTCGAAATCCGACGCGTCCGACGCGTCCGACGCGTCCGGGTCGTCGTCGCCGCGATCGCCGCCGCCGCGGCCGTCCGCGTCGTCGTCCTCGGCGTCGTCCGCGCCCGCGCGGTGATCCACCTTGCACTTCAACACCACGCCCCGGCCCGTGGCTTCGTCCCGCAGCGTCGTTCGCGATCGCACGAGCACGCGCTTGTCGCCGAGGGCGAACAGCGCGCGCGTTTGCACGCCGCGCGCCGCGCCGGCGCCGCCGGCTCCGGCGCCTCCCGCGTCCGTCGCCGCCGTCAACGCGGTCGCGGAGCCGACGCGACCGACGCCGCGGAATCGCGCGGCGGCGACGGCGGCGGCGCTCTGCGTCGCGCGGTGCGTCATCTCGCGCTCGTACACCCCCGCCGCGCGCCTTCGCGCGGTCGCGGGGGTGAGATCCCTCGTCGGCAGCGGCGCGTCGACGTACATCACCTTCCTCGCTCTGTTTCTCGCGGCGTCCTTTTCGTTTTCGTTCTCGTCGTCGTCGTCGTCGTCGTCGTCGTCCGCGCGCGTCATCGTGATCGGTATGTCCCACGAACCGTCGCGGCGGCGCGCGTCCGTGGCGACGAGCGTCATGAACGCCGCCGCGGACATGACGACGTCCGCGCGCGACTCCCTCGCGATGTCGCGCGTGATGTCGTCCTCGATCAGCGAGCTCGCCGCCGCGGTGGCGGCGCTCGCGGCGGCGTCGCGCAGGGACGCGCGGCGTTCGTCCAGACGCGACGCGTCCGCGCCGCCGCCGCCGAGCGACGGCCGGACGACCGTCGCGCGCGGGGCGACGCGCGAGCCTCGCGACGGGAGGTTCGGGAGACCGGGCAGGCGTTCGAACGCGGCGTCGTAGACTTTCACGAGCGTCATCGTCGCGTCGCCGTCGCCGCGCGCCGCGCCGCCGCCGTCGTCGAGCCGCTGCGACGTCGGGGCGGAGTTGAAAGGCGTCAGAAGCGGAGTTGAAAGGCGTCGAGGGCGGGCGTTGAAAGCGAGGTGTGTGCGGAGAGAGACGCCGGCGAAAGTCCTTAAGAAACGGCGTTCACCACGCCAACGCGGTCGTATGGGGACCAGTGTGACATAGAACGCACCTGCTCGGACGCCGGAGCTCGACCGTCCGTCAGACGCATCCGCCCGCGAATCGTGATCAACTTCGGCGCGGTCGCGACGACGCGCGCGCCGCCCTCGCCGGTGAACGCCGCCCACTCCGCGGCGGCCCTCTCCACGGCGACGGGCCCCATCCTGTTTCGATGCGCGTTGACACTCTCTCTCGCGAGCCACGACATGTACCGCCGTTGCTCGCGCTCGACGCGCGCGTACAGCGTCCGCAGCGCGCGCGCGGTGAGCCCCGTCGGAAGCGACGACACGAGCCGCGCTCGAGACGCGTGGAACCGCAGGAACGCCGCGTGCTGGTCCCACGTCAAGCTCGCGAGAGGCGCGGCGGAGGACGCGGCGCCGGCGTGTCGATCGTCCGACGCGCGTCGATCGTCCGACGCGCGCGTCGCCGGCCGCGCGTCTTGCGACGGGACGACGTACTCCGTCGGCGGCGCGGCTTTCTTCGCGACGACCGTCCTACCTCTCGCCGCCTTCGTCTTCTTCAGGCGCGCCGGGAGCGCGTCCACGGTCTCGAAGACCAGCGCGCGATCGTCCACGCGTCTCCTCGCGTGCACCCGCGCGAGATGAATCTTCAACCCCGTCTTCGTCGCGACCACGGCGCCGCACGCCGCGACGCCGCACGCGAACCCGCCGCCGTTCTCGAGCTCGTAGTGCGTCTCCGTCGGCCGCCCCGCCGGGAACGCCGCGCAGGCGACGACCTCCTCGCGCGTCGCGTTCGGCGCGTCTGGGAGCGAAGAGAGCATGCGCGTCGTTGGCTTCGTCGTCGGGGGCGGCGGCGGCGGCGGCGTCGGCGAGCGTCGCCGCGTCTCCGGCGCGGGCGCGGGCGCGGACGCGGACGCGGGGCGCGCGTCGTCCGAGTCCGAGTCGTCGCCGTAGATTTCCGCGCCAAAGTCGCTCGCGTCGTCGTCGTCGTCGCCGCCGTCATCGTCATTCGGTCGACGCGGCGGCGCCGTCGTCGCCGTCGTCGTCGTCGTCGTCTTCGGAGGAGGAGGAGGAGCGACGTCGATCCTCGCGCGCGATCGCGGCGTCTCGTCCGCGGGAGCCTTCGACGGCTTTTTCCTCCCCGCGCCCGCGCTCGCGACCGCGCTCGCGGCCTTGCGCTTCTTCGGCGTCGACTTCGCCTTCGACTTCGCCTGCGCCTCGAGCTTCTTCTTCGCGTCCGCGAGCTGCTTCTCCAGGCGCGCGACCGTCGCCGCGAGATCGTCGCTCGCGTCGTCCGTCGTCGTCGTCGTCGAGATCGGCGGCGAGGGCGGACGCGCGGGCGCGCGCTTCGGCGCCGGCGCGGGCGCCGCCGCGGGCGCCTTCGCCACCGACGCCTGCTGCGCGGCCAAGAACATCCTCATCGCGTGGATCACCTCCGCGTCCGTCTTCTCCGCGACGGGGACGCCGCCCGCCCCGGCGTCGCTCGGCGCGATCGGAATCCCCGCGCCGCGCGCGTCGACTTCGCCGCCGCCGCCGCCGTCGACGACGAGCGCCTCCGAGTCGTCGGACTCGCCCGCGCGCGCAGCATCCTCGTCGCGCCATTCCCGCGCGGCGCGCGAGGCGCCCTGCGTCGCCATCGTCGCCCCGGCGTCGTGCGCTCGGCACTGCGCTGGTCGAGACGAAGATCGATCGATCGATCGAAGAGAGAAACGCGGTCGGTCGGTCATTATGCATAATCGGGCGAATCGTACGGCGCATATTGCATAATCGTGCGAATCGTACTTGGCGCGAAATGACTCGTTGACGCCGACAGAGTCGATACTCCGCCAATCAACGCGCGGCGCGATTTTGGCGTTTCGCCTAAACGGCCGTCGCGCCGGTCGAGGGCGCATCGCGCGCGCGACGTCCGCGCGTCACTCCCCTCACCGCGCGGACGACGCGCGGAGGGCGAGGACGTCAGCGCGGAGGCACCGATAAGTTGTTAACCGCGACGGGAAGGGTCGCTCGGCGCGCGCGCGAGCGACGGAGCGCGGCGGCGCGGGACGGCGTTACGGCGTGTGTAACTACTAATCCCGCGATGGCGGACCAGCAAGGCGCGTCGACGCGCGACGCGTTCGCCGCGCGCGCGCGTCACGCGACGAGACGCGCTCCCTTCGCTCGCTCGCGTCGCCTCGAAGACGATGCTGACGATCCATTCCCGCCGCGTTCCACAGGATCTCTCGAGGCGCGCGACGCGGAGACGCGCGATGCCGGCGCGGCGGCGACGACGGTGCGTGCGCGACCTGCGCGCATCACAGACGGATTGGATTAATCCCGACTCAACATCGCGCGCGCGTCGCGCGCGCGCGCGGCGTCGACGGCGGACGCGACGCGAGACGATCGCGCGATCGGCCCGCGTCGCGTCGCTCGCGCGATCCCCACCCCGCCGCGCGCTCGATCGCGCGATCGCGCCGCGCCGCGGACGCGTCTTCCGTCGTCCGCGTGCAGTCATCCAAAATCCATCCGATACCACTTCCCGCACGCCCGACCGTCGACTGTTAAACTGTTTTCTCACCGCCATCCTTCCCTCCGTCCCCGGCGTCGTTCCCGCGCGCAGACGCCGACGGAGCCGCCCGCCGCGGGCGCGGGCGCGGCCGCGGCCGCGATCGCGAAGCCATCCGCGACGCCGCCGCCCATCGAGAGAGCGGAAGAGAACGTCGAGCCCGCGGCGGCCGCCGCGCCCGCCGCGCCCGCCGCCGCCGTCTCGCCGTCGCCGATCCGCAAAGAGCTCGACGAGAATTGGAACGCGCTGGAGAACGAGATCGCGGCCGCGCGCGCGCGCGACGAGGAGCGCGCGAAGACGGCCGCGACCGCGACGACGGCGGGAGGCGGCGAAGGCGCGGGGGGCGACGGCGACGGCGACGGCGACGACGAAGTCCTCAAGGAACGGCGTTCACCACGCGAACGCGGTCGCATGGGAACCAGTCACGACGACGGCGACGCGGGCGCGGACGCGGACGCGGACGCGGACGCGGACGCGGACGCGGACGCGGACGCGGACGCCGCGGAGACGGAGACGGCGACGACCGTGACGGGCGAGAAACGCGTCAGCGACGGCGAAAAGGAAGCCACCTCCGGGCGCGCGACGAAGAAGCGACGGCTCGTGTGGACCCCGGAGCTCCACGTGCGGTTCATGTCGGCGGTGAATCACCTGGGGATCACGAACGCGGTGCCCAAGACGATCTTACAGCTCATGAACGTGGAGGGCATGACGCGCGAGAACGTCGCGTCGCACCTTCAAAAGTACCGGCTGTACTTGAAACGTCTCGCGGGCGTGCCCCCGAACGCGCCGCTGCCGCCGGACGTCATGCGACGCGCGCATCCTTACCACTTCCCCGCGGCGGCGGCGTTCCCGCCGCCGACGCCGACGATCGAGCAGATGCACGCGGGGCTTCCGCCGTCGATGCCGTCGATGCAGTCGATGCCGTCGATGCAGTCGATGCCGGCGACGATGCCTAACATGAGCGCGCTGATGCAGATGCCCGCGTACAACAGCGCGATGGGCGCGATGGGAGCCGCGATGGGCGGGATGGGCGGGATGTACGCGAGTTGGCCGCCCGCGCCGCCGGCGTGCGCGGGCTCGGGCGCGGCGACGATGGGGCTTCCGGGCGCGTCCGCGTCGGATCCCTACGGCGCCGCCGCGGCGCAGAGTTTCATGAACTACGTGGCGAATTATCGTCCGGGCGGGGGCGTTCCGGGGAAAGACGCGTCGTCGAGCGCGGCGGCGGCGGCGGCGGCGGCGGCGATGGCGTCGCACGGGTGGGGGTTCCCGGGTCACGCGGGCGGCGCGTGGTCCGCGGGCGCGGGCGCGGCGGCGACGTCGGCGGCGATGACGTCGGCGGCGATGACATCGGCGGCGATGACATCGGCGGCGGCGGCGTCCGCGATCGCAGACGGGGGGTGCTCCGCGCCCGCGGCGGGAGGGCCCGACGCGGGAGGGGGGAAGTGACGCGAGACGCGAGTAGAGAAGAGGGCACGCATAGCAGCTGGCGACGATATTACGACGTCGCGTAGCTAGTCTTTCCATCTGGTAATTGCCGGTCAGTCGTTGATCCACGCGGTCATCGCCCACCGCGTGTGATGCGCGGGCAATACCTCGTGCGGGACGCGCCGGCAGTCGAACAAGACGAGTCGGCCTTCGCTCGGGGCGACGTCTACCGCGCCGCTTGCGCCGCCGCCGTTTTCGCTCCGCCGCACGATCCGAAGGCACCCGCCGCGCGACTCCTCCCACCCGTCGTTCATGTACACGATCGCGGTGACCGCGCGGTCGCACGCGCGCGAGCCAATCTCGCCCTCGAGGTGCCCCGGGTCGTTCGGGTCGTTGTCGAGATGCGAGACGTACCGCGCGCCGGAGCCCGGGTAGTTGGCGAGCATCAGACGCGGCGGCGGCGTCGCCGTCTTCAGTCTCGCGCGCGTCTCCTCCGCGGCGGTCGTCTTCTTCTTCGTAACGCCCTTAAATCGACCGTTTTCTTTATCGTCTTCTCCCCCGCTCCCGCCAGCCCTCGCCCTGAGCGCGTCCGGGATCGCGAGCAGGAGCTCCGCCAGCGGAGTGACCCCCCCGTACGCGCTCCCCCCCCGCGGCAACGCCGCGGCGTCGAGCACGCCGACGAGGTCGTCGCGTCCGTCCTGCCCCAGCGCCTCCATCTTCCCGTCCGCCTTGAGCGCCTCGCACGCCTTTCGCGCCGCGGCGAAGAACTCGAGCGGGAGGACGTCGTCGAGGACGACGAACCCGTCCTCGCACAGCGCTTTCGTCGCGTCCGCGGAGATCACGACGCGCGCGACGTCCGCCATCGTCGCCTTCCTTCCGCGTCGCGTCGGCCGCTCTCTTGCGCCCTCTTCTACTCCTCCTCCTCCTCCCGCGCCGCCGGCTTCGGCTTCGTCCTCCGCGGCGTTCCCGGACGGGACGCGCCCGAGCTCCGCGATCCACGCCGCCGCGGCGGCTCGGAGCGCGGGCTTCCTCGACGCTTTCGGCAGCGACGCGCGCGCGACGCGGAGCTCCGACGACGAGCACGCGAGCGATCTCGCCGCGGCGGCGATCGCTTCCCTCGCGCGCTTCGACGCCCCGACGTACGCGACGTCGTCGTCGCCGTCGCCGCTGTCGCCGCGCAGTAGCAGCGCGAAGACGGCGGGGCCGTCCGGGACGGCGTCCGGGCCGTCGCCGAGGGCATCAGCCAGCGGCGCGGACGTCGCGCGCGCGTCGCGCAGGGTGGCGCAGGGACGACGACTCGCGCTCGCGTCTTCATCGGTCGTCGCGACGCGCGCGCGCGCGGGGACCGCGCGCCGCGGGGCGCGCGCGCGCCGGCGGCGAGAGAGGGCGCGCGGCGAAGGCGGCGCGGCGGCGGCGCGCGGCGTCGACGCGCGCGCGGTCGCCGTCGCCATCGCGCGCGGACGCCGCTCGTCGCGCGCGCGGCGGAGTCGTCGAGACGGAGATGGAAGAAGCTGACGCGGCGAAACCCTCCGAGAGTACGGTCTGTACTCGTACTCGTACGTCGTCCTTTCGGACTAGAACTCCATAGGGCGAGAAACGGCCGCAGGACCACCGCAGCGCAGCAGCGCACGGCGAACGCGGCGACCGCGACCGGCGACCGGCGAACGCGAACGCTCGGCGGCGATGGCGTCGAAGCTTCTCGTCACACTCGTCACGCGCGCGCGCGTCGAGATCCTCAACACCGACGCGAGGTGAGACCATCACCCCGCGCCGTCCATCGCGTCGCCTCGTCCGCGTGCCCGGCGCTTCCTCGTCGCCCCGCGTCGTCGTCGTCGTCGTCGTCGTCGTCGTCGTCGTCGTCGTCGTCTGTCATCCGCGCGCGGGCCGATCGATCGGTCGGCGGTCGCGATCGATCGCTCGATCTGTCCGCCGGCGCGTCGTCCCGCGGCCGCATCGCGCTCCGGGACGCCGCGCCGGCGCCGGCGTCGCCCGCGGCGGCGGCGAAGACGACGACGTCGCCCGCGACGCGCCCGCTCGCCTCCCGTCGCGCGTCGTCTCGGCGCGTCCGAGGATTTTAGCGAAGAAGGGCGTCCGCCCGTCGAACTCGCCTCGCCTCGCCTCGCCTTGGACCGACTGACGCCTCCCCGCGCCTCTCCCACCGCCCATCCTCAGACCACCGCGACGACCGCACAACCGTCGCCGCGAGAGCGACCGAGCCGCGATCCACCACACGCACCGGCGCCATCTCACGCGGCACCACCGCTACGGCAGGCACTACCTCCGCGAGCGACGACGCGAATCCCCCGAAGAAGACGTCGTCATGTCGCCGTCCGTCGCCCTCCCCGCGACGAAAGAGCTCGGCCCGAAGCACTTCTGCCTCGACCAAGCCGACGACGGCGTGAAGACCATCGCGAAGTCGTTGCCGTGGTACGGCCCGAAATACTCCCCGCACGACGTCCCGTCCTTCTACGACGTCTCCGGGATCACGGAAGACCCGGCCGTGTTCCAGCTCGTGATCGATTTCTTCGTGGCGCGGTACCGCGCGCAGGGTCCCGAGAACGGCCCGACGCACATCGCCGGGTTCGACGCGCGCGGGTTCCTGTTCGGCCCGCCGATCGCGCTCGCGCTGAAGCTGCCGTTCGTGATGATACGCAAGGCGGGCAAGCTCCCGGGCGTGTTGGTCTCGAGCGGGAAGTACGTCACGGAATACTCCACGGATGAAACCGTGATGCGGGTCGGGGCGATATCGAGCGGCGACAGGGTGGTTCTCATCGACGACCTCATCGCGACCGGCGGGACCGCGCTCGCGGGGTTCGACCTCGTGGACCAGCTCGGCGCGTCCGTGCACGAGTTCGCCGCGATGGTGTCTCTGCCGTTTTTAGACGGCGTCGGGAAGATTCACGCGTACAGAGACGGGAAGTACGTGGACGTGCCGTGCTTCACGATGGTGGACGACAGCTCGATCGGGCCGGAGATGTGCTCGGACCCGCCGGAGGGGACGCCAAGGATGGTGAGCGCGGAGGACGCGGCGGCGACCGCGGCGAAGATCAAGGCGGCGAAGGCGAAGTGACGAGATGAGCGAGAGAGCGGCGCGCCAGCTTTCTTTTGGCGTTGACAGTTGATGAAAGCATTCATAATCCTCGGAACGTCCATCCACATCGCGATGGCGCGCGAGGGCGACGGCGGCGGCGTCGCGCCCGCCGCGCTGCCGCCTCTGTGCCGCCCGCTCGCGACGCGCGGCGACAAAACGACGTGGTCGCCGTCGAGCGCGAAGTGCGTCCTGAACGTCGCCCTCGACGCGCGCTTCGTCGAGGCGAGGCGTTCAGACGTTGATGTCGCGTCGTCTCGCCGGACGCCGTCGTCGTCCTCCTCCTCGGTCGTCGTCGCCCCCGCGGGGTGCCGCGTCTCGACGTCGCACGTCGTCGCGCTCGACGGCGTCATCGACGACGCCATGCGCGACGCGTTCCTGCGGCGGATCACGTCCGACGCGGACGCGGACGGCGACGGCGAGGGCGGCCCCGCGGGTCCGCGTTGGGAGCGACGCACCGCGGATCGGAACGGCGCCTCGCCGACTTGGGGTCTGACGCGCGACGCGCTGCGCGATATCGAGCTCGAGCACTCGAGAAACGACGACGCGTTCGTGGAGTTCCACTCGAGGCTGCAGGCGATGTACCCGGAGTGGATCGTGGCGCACATGCCCGCGGACGCGCTCGAGCGCGCGCCGACGGCGGAGGAGGACGACGGCGTCGACGACGACGACGACGACGACGGGGGCGCGCGCGAGCGCCGCTACCGCTGCGACGCGTTCGTCGCGAACGCGGCCACGCGCGGGGACGACTTCGCGTGGCATCTCGACGCGGACCCGTCGTCGTTCGACCCGGAGAGCGCGTGGGTCGAGGCGTACGGCGACTACGTCAACGGCGAGCCCGGCAAGCCCCTCTTCGTCTCCGCGTTGGTGTACCTCAACGCCGAGTGGAAGCCTGAGGTGCGTTCTATACACTGGTTCCCATACGACCGCGTTGGCGTGGTGAACGCCGTTCCTTAAAGACTTTTCCCGGCTTGTCTCTCCGCCCACCCCTCGCTTTCAATCCCGACACACCTCGACGCCTTTCAACTCCGTCTGACGCCTTTCAACTCCGCCCCGACGTTTGCTCGTACGGAACTACCCCGAGTGGGACGCGGAGACGATGTTCGCGGACAGCGACGGCGACGGCGGCGGCGTCGGGGCGTTCGTGCGGCCAGCGCCGGGTCGGCTCGTGCTGATGGATCAGGACGTGCGGCACAGGGTGTCGCCGCCGTCGGTCGCCGCGGGAGGCCGGGCGCGGTTTAGCCTCGTGTGGAAGTTGGTGTTTTTTCCGCGGGGGGGCGCGCGCGCGGTCGCGGGTCGCGCTCGCGCGGCGGGCATCGCGAGGGAGGCGTTCGGGAGACCTTCGCCGCTCGGGAGCGCGGCGAAGCTCGCGGCGATCGAGGACGCGATGCGACGAGGCGCAAAGCGTTCCGCCGCGGAGGAGGCGAAGGGCGACGGCGACGCGGGCGGGAGCGGAGGATTAAAAAAATAGACGCGTTCTGTTCGATCGACGTCGACGAATGAATGAATGAAGAATAGCCTAGCTACGCGACGCCGCGCGCGTCGCGTCGCGTCACTTCGCGACGAACGAGGACCCGCACCCGCACCCGCTCTCTGCGTTCGGGTTATCCGATATCGCGAACGAGCTCTTGATCATCTCCTCGACGTAGTCCACCGTCGCGCCCTTCAAGAACGTCAACGAGACGTCGTCGACGACGACCCTGGCGCCGTCGCGTTCGAACACCCGGTCGTTCGGCTTCACCCCCGGCGCGGAGTCCAGGGAGAAGCTGTACTGGAACCCGGAGCACCCGCCGCCGTCGACGGCGACGCGAAGCAGCGGCGCGCCGTCGTCGTTCGGTTGTTTGCTCTCGGCGCCCCCCTCGGTGATTCCCGAGGAGGACGCGGCTAATTCTCTGAGTCGACGCACGCACGCTTCCGTCAGCGCGAGGTCGTCGCGCGCGGTCGCCGCGGGCGTCGCGCCGCTCGGCGACGGCGCCGACTCCGACGCGAACGGCGCGATCGAGGACGACCACGCGCGGTGGGAGGAGGAGGAGGAGGACGAGAACGCGTCGCCGCCGACCGCGCGTCGCGACGGCGCGGAGACGAGCCGTCGCGACGTCGACGCGAGCGCGCCGCGAAGAACCCTCCCGAGCGCCCCCATCGGACGCCCTCCCTTCCTCGCGGGCGCCCGCCGCCTCCGCCTCGACGCCCGCCGCCGTCCGCGCCGCGCGAAGACGCCCGCGGACTCGAGCTCTTTCCGCGCGCGCGCGTTCGCTGTCGCGACCTCGAGCGAGACGCGCGAGCGGTGCCGTCCGTGCCTCGCGGAGTCCGCGCGTCGAGATCTGAGACGTGGCGCGCGGCAGCGGCGCGCGCAGTGGCAGACGACTGGCAAACGAGCGATGAGAGGCACAACAACTTTTTACTGCCGGACTCGTGCGAGCGGCGTCACTTCGTATTCCCGTCGTCCCTCGTCTATCCTGCGCTTCTATTCTTCTTCTTCTCCCCATTCGTCGCGCGCGCGCACTACTCCTCTCCCTCGTCGTCGAGCCTCGCGCGCCGTCCTCGGCTCGGCGCGCGTCGTCGCCGTCGCCGCGCCCGCCCCCGCGCCCGCGCGCAGCCGCGCGCGCAGCCGCGCGCCGCCCGCCTTCGTCTTCCTTCCGCTCCTAAATACCAGTCGCCTCCGATCACCGTCCGCCCGATGTGATCCTTCTTCAGGAACAATTTCGCGGAAGCGGGCGCCAGGTACTTCCGGTTCGGGTCGTCGCCCAGGAACGGCTGAGGGTCGTTCCAGCGACGGCGGGGTGGAGTTGAAAGGCGTCAGATGGAGTCGAAAGGCGTCGCGGGCGGGGATTGAAAGCGAGGGGTGGGAGGAGAGAGACGCCGGGAAAAGTCCTTAAGGATCGGCGTTCACCACGCGAACGGGGTCGTATGGGGACCAGTGCGCGAGGAGGACGCACCCGGCGCCCCGGCTGCGTCTCCGCCTCCAACGCGAGCCGTTTCTTCGACTTTGGCTTTCCGAGCGCCACCCGACACTTCTCCACGAACCTCGCCATGGGCGCGTAGACGTCCTGGTTGGCGCCGCCGAACTCGCCGCCGGTGTTTAAGAACTTGCCGACGAGCTGGTAGCGGCTCTGCGTGAACGCGTCGCCCAGCACCGCGCGCGCGAGGTCGGCGTTGGTGAACGCGCGCGCGCGTTTTAAAGCGCTCACCTCGGCTCGGACTTCCGCGGGGGTGAGCCACACCGGGGAGTCGTCCGTCACGTCGACGACGCCGGAGACGTCGGGAAGGCCCTTCTCCTTCGCGCCCGCGGCGGCGCCCGCGGAGGCGGCGCCCGCGGCGGCGGCGCCCGCGCCTCCCGCGTTCGTCGCGTTCGCGCGCGTAGCTTTCAGCTGGTGGATGATGCCGTCCTTCCCGAGCAGCTTGTCGACGTGGAAGAAGTACGCCGCCGCGCGGTACGTCCCGTTCTGCGTCGCGGCCCACGGGTCTTTGTACTTCCCCGTCATGAACTGCGTGAACGACCCCGCGTTGACGCTGAGGACGCGCTGGAGCGAGGACGCCGTGACGTCGTACTCCTCGAGGAATTTACGGATCTTACCCCGAAGCGACCCGGGGCTCGGAGCCTTCCACGAGTACGAGTACGTGTCCTCTAACCACTCGTCGTAAAAGTCGTTGTATCGCGCCGGGGTCTCGATGTTCACCTTTCCTTTGGGCATGGCGTCGTCCGTCCCGTGCACGTCCGCGGCGGATGGTCCTGACGAGGCGGTCGAATGTGATTCGTATTAAATTTTTTAATTTTTAAACGCGCGCGGCTGTTTTTATTCCGCTTCTACTGTGCGTGTACTCGTCCACGCCGCTACCGCCGCCGCAACGCTCTCGCGGCGTCCGCGGACGTATCGCTCGCGGCTAACCTCCCCAGCGCCTTCCTCTCCCCCGCGCGCTCGCTCCTCAACCCCACCCCCAACTCCCACACCCGCACGCCGTCGCCGTCCGCGCTCGCGAGATACTCCGGCAACGCCGGGTTAAACGCGAGCGCCTGCGTCGCGCCGACGCCGCCGCCCCCTCGCGCCGCGCCGCCGTCCGAGGGTTCCGTCGCTCGAAACGACGTCAACGGCTGCGACGCGTCCCCCGCGCCGCAACGAGACAGGTCGTACAACACGACGTCGCCGTCGGAGGTGCCGACCGCGAGCAACAGCGGCCGGTGCGGCGACCAGTCGAGCCCGAAGAGCGCGCCCTTCGACGGCCTTAGGGTCGAGGGTCCACACGAGCGAACGTCGGGGTGGAGTTCAAAGGCGTCAGACGGAGTTGAAAGGCGTCGAAGTGTGTCGGGATTGAAAGCGGGGGATGGGAGGAGAGAGACGACGGGAGATAAAGTCCTTAAGGATCGGCGTTCACCACGCCGACGCGGTCGTGTGGGGACCGGCGTGAGATAGAACGCGCCTCAACGTCAACAGCGGCGAAGACGCGCGCCTGGCGTACACCCGCAACGCGCCGTCCGCGCCCGCGGTGGCGAACAGCTTGCCGTCGCGCGGGCACCGCCGCACGCCGTGCACCGCCCCCGCGTGCGCGTCGTGCTCGTGCTTGATCGGCGACCGCAGGTTCGGGAGCGCGCCGCCGGCGACGGACGCGTGGAACTCCGCGCGCGACGCGGGGGTGTCGTGCGTCGCGCATCTGAACACGCCGCCGCCGTCGCCGCCGGCGAGAAACGCCCCGGGGTCGTGCGTTTCACCTCCACCGAAATCGACGCACGAGACCCCCCACGTGACGACCCGCCCCTGGCTCCGCGCGTTCGCCGCGCGCAACTCGTACCCGTACGCGGGCGTCTCCATGCGCCCGACGTTCCACGCGAACACCCGCCCGTCCGTCCCCGCGGTGACGACGTCGTACGCGCGGTCCTTCTCGCTCGTCTTCGACGCCTCCGCGAGGTTAAACCGCCACGACACAGCCGTTACCGGCTCCCTGTGCATCGCGTCCGAGTTTCCGCCGCTGCGCGCGATGCATCTCGGGCCGTCCTCGGCGCTGAGGTCGTGCACGGAGACGTCGCCGTCGAAGGACCCGCACGCGAGCGTCGCGGGACGCGTCGGGTGAAACGCGACGCACTGGATCGGGGTGGAGTTGAAAGGCGTCAGTTGGAGTTGAAAGGCGCCGAGCGCGGGTATTGAAAGCGAGGGATGAACGGTGAGATGCGCCGGGCAAAGTCCTTAAGGATCGGCGTTCACCACGCGAACAGGGTCGTATGGGAACCAGTGTACAGAACGCGCGCACCTGGATCGCGACGTCGTGCTCGATCGTGAAATCTGGTCTGTCCGCGCGCACGTCCGCGCGGCGGAGGTTCCAGACGCACACCGCGCCGGGGGTGTCGCACCAGCCGGTGACGTCGAAGCGGCCGTACGAAACGGCGAGGGAGTAGCCGTTACAGTTCCACGAGACGCCCGTCGGCTTCAGCCGCCGCCAAAATTTCGCGTCGGCGTCGTCGGCGTCTTCGGCGCCGTCCGTCGGCGTCGGCCGCGGCCGGAGCGTGTGCACGCACTCCGCGCCCGCGGCGTCGAACGGGTCGTCGTCGTCGCCGCCGAGCGCGCTCTCGTAGAAATCCTCCGCGAACGTCTCGCTCGCGGCGTTCTCTCGGAGCGCTTCCTCCATCGACGGCGTCACCGCGCGAACGAATCGCGCGAGGTTTTCGTCCTCGGACGCGCGCGCGTCCGAGGCTCGCGCGCTCGCGGGGTCCGTCGTCTGCGTCCCCGCCGCGCGCGTCTCGTACGACTGCAACCTGCGACGACGCGGACGACGGAGTTGGGGAGGATGAGCGATGGGCGATGAGCGATGGGCGGCGAGACGCGGAGAAGACGCGGGGAAGGGTGCGAGCGATTTGAAACGCGGTCGATCGACTCGAGTGTGGTGTGCCGACTCCGTCCGTCCGCGCGCGCACCTCGCGTTCCGCGCCTCGACCGGGGCGGTCCCGCACGCGGCGTCGGAGACGAGGAGATCGTCCCTCCACGTGGAGACGATCTCGCACGCGTCCCCGAGCGCGTCGGAGAGCGCCGCGGCGCTGACGGGGACCTTCGGTCCCCGCGCGCGAGGCATCGGATCTCGCGCGGGCGGAAGTGAACAGAAGCAGTCGCGTCTCTTCGTTCGTCGTGTCCGACGGATGACGTGCCGCATCGAGACCAGACTCGCTGGCGCGCCGACGGCGCGCGCGCGGCGGGAAGAAGAAGCGCGCGTCTCGAGCGAGGACCGCGGTCGTCGCGCGCGCGCGCGCTCGCCCGAGATGGGATGCGGCGCGTCCACGGCGAACGCCGGCGCGTCCGCGCCGTCGACCGCGCCGAGAGGCCGGTCGTCGTCCTCGTCGTCGACGGACGATCGCGTCTTCGTCGCGGCGTCCGCGTCGACGTCGAAGAAGAGGGCCCCGTCGCCGCCGGCGGCGAAGCGCGCGGACGACGAGCCGTTCTCCGTCGCGTACGCTGAACTCCTCGCGCCGGGGACGCCGCCACGAGACGGCGAGAAGGGCGGGAAAGACCGCGGCGGCGGCGGCGTCCGGTCGTCGACGCCGTCGAATGACGCCGGGACGACGGATCGTCCATCGGATCGTCGCGTCGTCGCGACGATCGCTCCGGGCGGCCCGCTCACGCAGGACGAGTTCGACGCGCGGCTGACGACGACGCGCGGCGTTACGCGGCGCGCCATGCCGAAGACCTCCTCCTCCTCCTCCTCCTCGCACTACGTCCTCTCGTTCGCGGCGGCGTCGCTGCGCGGGACGACGCCGGGGCGCCCGACGCGGCCGAACCGAGACGCGTTCGTCGCGATCGACGCCTTCGCGAGCGAAGACGACGAGTGCCTCTTCGCCGTCTTCGACGGGCACGGCGACGACGGCGACGCGTGCGCGCGGTTCGCGAGCGAGACGCTCCCGGCGCTGCTCCAGAGCGCGGCCGCGAGGCGAGGGCTCGAGCGCGGCGCGTCGCCGGACGCGATGTACGAGTGGGCGTTCGGCGAGTGCGACGCGAGGCTGCGAAAGCGCGGCGGTCACGACCTCGACGCCGACGCGAGCGGCGCGGCGGCGCTGGTGACGCGCGTGAAGGGCGCGAGGCTCGAGGTGGCGCACGTCGGGAACTGCAGGGTCGTCGTGGGAGAGGCGCGGGCGCGCGGCGGGGGTTGGGACCGGGGGGACGACGCGGACGTGGACGACGCCTTGGACGACGTCGCGCGCGAGGCGGCGGCGGACGGCGCGGCGGAGGTGAGACTGCTTCCCATACGACCCCGTTCGCGTGGTGCACGCCGTTCCTTAAGGACTTTTCCCGTCGTCACTCTTCACCCGCGCTTCCCTTTCAACGTTTGACCGGTAAGACGTTCGACTGACCGATCGCTTCACCCACGCAGGCGCCGCCGCCGCCGCCGCCGCTCGTCGCCGCGCTCACGAGGGCGCACGACGCGACGCGAGACGACGAGCGCGCGCGCGTGAGAGCCGCGGGCGCGCGCGTGTTGACGATGGATCAGCTCGACGGCGTGAGCCCGACGAAAGCCGCGGAGGAGACGGAGACGGACGACGACGACGACGACGACGACGACGCTTCCGTCGGGAGCGACGACGGCTCCGTCGACCCCGACGACCCTCCGCGCCTCTGGGCGAGCACCGGCGAGGACGCGTACCCCGGGTGCGCGTTCACTCGCGGCATCGGGTACGCGATCGCGCGAGACATCGGCGTCGTGTCCGAGCCGGAGACGACGGTCGTCGAGGACGTGACGACGCTGTTCCGACGCGGGCGGAGAGGGTGCGTCGTCGTCGGCACCGATGGCGTCTTCGACGCGTTGAAAAACGAAGACGCGATGGAGGCGGTGTTCAGGGCGACGAGCGACGGCGGGGACGCCCAGGACGCGGCGTGCGCGGTGGTCGCGAGCGCGCTGCGGGCGTGGGGCGACGGCGACGAGCCGGGCGTGGACGACATCACGTGCGTCGTCCTCCTGGTGGACGACGGCGCGGCGGTGGACGGCGCGGAATAATTAGAGCGTTCGGTTGTAATACGAGTAACGTCGACGACTAGTTGAACTACGTACGGTAATAATAGATCGACCTCGACCGCGAGTGGCCCTACGCCGCCTCTTCCTCTCTCTCCGCCTCCGCCGCCTCCCGCCGCAGCAGCTCTCGCTTTTTCTCTCTCATCTTACCCTCTAACTCCTCCGCGCTCAAGCCCAAGATGCTCGCCGCCATCGTCTTGTTGATGTCGCCGCCGTGGACGCAAAATTTCATCACGTTGTCCGACGCCTTCAGTTGCCGCCCCAACACGAACTCGCACGCGCTCCTACGGTTCGCGTACGCGACGCACCTTTCGACCACGTTGCGTCGGTTCGCGCTCGCGAGGAAGTTCACCGTGAGGCTCACCGTGTGCGTCAGCGCCACGGCGTAGTGCGGAAACTTCCGCGGGATGTAGACCGTCTCGCCCTCCTCTGAGGAGCGAACGTCGGGGTAGAGTTGAAAGGCGTCAGGGGTAGAGTTGAAAGGCGTCGAGGTGTGTGCGTCGGGATTGAAACCGTGGGACCCTTGACGGAGAGAAACGAACGAGGGCACAAAAAAGTCAAGTCCTTAAGGATCAGCGTTCACCACGCCGACGCGGTCGTATGGGGACAGGTGTAAAGATAAAACGCGCCTAAGATGAACTCGACGGGCACGGCGCGGGCAAAGTCGGGGAACTTCTCCAGGTCCGGCGCGTGCAGGTCCACGTACGTCTGCGTCCGCTCGTCGAACACGTGCTTCAGGTGCGCGGGGTGGTACATGATGAACTTCTTCCGTCCCTCGATCATCGTCAGCCACGCGTCCGTGTGCCACACGTCCACGTGGAGCCGCGTCCTGGCGCCGCGCGGTCCCAGGAACAGCCACGTGAACGGCGGCTGCCACTCCTCCTTGAGCGTCTTGAAATAGTCGCGAAAGTACGGCGAGTCCGCGGGGAAGCCGTCGAGCATCCCGGGGACGTCGTCGTAGAAGTTCCACGTCCGGAGGTACGGCGGCGTCGCGTCCGAGGCGTCCCCGGAGCCCGCCGCCTGCGTGGGTGAAGCGATCGGTCAGTCGAACGTCTTACCGGTCAAACGTTGAAAGGGAAGCGCGGGTGAAGAGTGACGACGGGAAAAGTCCTTAAGGAACGGCGTGCACATCGCGAACGGGGTCGTATGGGAAGCAGTCTCACCTCCGCCGCCGCCGCCTCCGCGCGATCCGCCATCGCGTCGAACGCGTCGACGTACTCCGCCATCGACGTTCGGAGCTTCTCGCGCGTGCCGTCGTCCACGACGACGTCCAGGTTTCCGTGCGCGCGCTTGAAGTGCTCTAGCGTCCACCGCGCGTCGCCGCCGACGCACGGCCACGACGACGCGACGTCGGTCAGGACGCACGGCATCGCGCGCGTCACGTAGAGGCGCGCGAAATCCTCGGGGCTGATGAGGTGCGTTCCAGCGTGCGAGCGAACGTCGGGGTGGAGTTGAAAGGCGTCAGATGGAGTTGAAAGGCGTCGAGGCGTGTCGGGATTGTGAGCGAGGTGTGGGCGGAGAGAAATGGTGGCAAAAGTCCTTGAGGATCGGCGTGCACCACGCCGACGCGGTCGTATGGGGACCGGTGTGATCGATGAGGACGCGCCTGATCTCGTCGCACGACAGCTTCTCGCACGCGACCGCGTTGGGGAAGGTCGGGACCGCGCGTCGCGCCGCGGTGGTCCCCGACGTCGAGGACGGCGTCTCCGCGTCGCCGCCGGCTCCCATGACGCGCGAGCGACGACTCGACGTTCGCGACGGGGGACCCGCGCTCGCGTCGCGCGGAGGGGAAGTGCGACGACGCGAGCGATATTTTCTCTGTTCGCGCGTCAGAAGTTCGCGCGCGAACGATGAACGACGCGACGGTGGGCTTTTTTTGAACTCGACGCGGCGACGCCGCCGCCATTGCGCGCGCGCCATGGCGTCGCCGCGCGTCCGCTCCGGCGCGGAGACGACGCCGCGCGAGACCTCTCCGGTCTCCGTCCTCCCCGCGCGCCCGGCGGCGCCGACGGCGACGCGCGAGGGGTACTACACGGTGCGCCCTCGTCATCATTCATCCATCTCTTCTTCCCCGCATCTCGTCTCAACCCTTCCCTTTTCGTCGCGTCCGACGCGGTCGCGTCCGCGCGGTCGTCCGCCGTCCCCCCCACCGTCGCGCCATCGCGTCCCACCCCACACCCTCTCCGCGCGACGCGGCGTCCTCCAGCGCGTCCTCCACCGCGGTCGCTCACCTCCCCGCTCCTCCTCCGATCGCGCGCGCGTCGTCTCGTCTCGATCCCGTCTCTCCCCCTCGCCGCAGGTCCCGTCGAAGGAGAAGCTCCTCGCGCTCGCGAGATCGCGATCCCCCGTCGTCCGCGCCTTCGCCGTCGGCCGCGTCGGCGTCGGCTGCGTGACGTGGGCGAACCCCGTCGATCTGCGCGACGTCCCGCTCGACGCCCTGGACGACGTCGTGGAGATCACGCGCGGGCAGGTGTCCGTGTACGACGGCGCGTCGAGGGCGACGAAGCCGTCGCGCGGGGTGGGGCTCAACGCGCCGGCGATCGTCGCGCTGGACGGAATCTTTCCGCCCGGCGTCGGCGTCGGCGCCGAAGATGACATCGAGGGGTCCGGATCCGACGTCGTCACCGAGGACGACCGCGTCGACGCGCTCGTCAGGCGGCTGAAACGCGCGCGCGGGACGCGTTTCATCGCGTACGACGCGAAGAGCGGGACGTGGCGGTTCCGCGTGGAGCACTTCACGCGGTACGGTCTGGACGTGGACGCGTCGGACGACGACGACGACGACGACGACTTCTCCGAGGAGGAGGAGGGAGGAGGGCTTGAGGGGGAAGATGGAACGTCGATCGACGCGTACGACGAACGGTACGGCGACGAGAAGGAGAACGAGATGGCGTTCGAGGAGGAGCCGCGGAGGCTGCGGGGGAAAGTCACGTTCGAGGAGGACGTCGCGCGCGCGGAGGAGGAGGAGGAGGAGGAGGACGCGACGGCGTTCCCGGGGTTCGCCGGCGCGGCGCCGCCGCCGCCGCGGACGGCGCGCGGCGGCGGCGACGACGACGACGACGCCGCGCGCGACGAAACCCGCGTTCGCCGCGCCCGCCGCCGACGACCTTTTCGCGTCTCACTCGCGGCGGCGACCGAACGTCGTCGAGGACGTGACGTCGGCGCACGCGGCGCGAGAGCGAGCGTTTTACGCGCAGAGCTTCGCGACCGGCGGGGACCGGCGGTACGACCCGGCGACGCAGCCGCCGCCGTTCGCGGCGCGCGAGACGCGCCACCGGCTGCCGCCGCCGCCCGAGCCGCGCACCCCGGGCGGAGGCGCGTGGGGGGATAAAAATACTGGTCTTAACGGCGCCGGCGCGGCGGTTAAGAAGCGCAGCAGAGCGGAGCCGCCGATGGCGACGGCGTACGCCATCGCCGCGTCCGTCGTCGGCGGCGCGAGCACCTCCGCCGCGCGCGCCAAACTCGCGCCGCCGCCGCGCCCTCGAGCGCCCGAACTCGCGACGGACGCGCAGTCCTTTTTGGGCGCGAGTCACCGCCCGAGCTGGGGTCCCGGCGGCGTTCTCGCGCACGCCGCGCGCGTCTCGGCGCGCGTCGCGAGCAGAGAACACGGCGGATACGGCGCGGTGAAGGCTGCGCAGCTGGCGCGCGGGTCGCCCCACGCGCCGTGGGGCGTCGTGACGACCGAGCGGTTCGCGCTCAGCGCGGGCGGGGGCGATTTTCGCGCGAAACGCGCGGCGTTGGACGTCGCGCTCGCGCGCACGGCGGTCGCGGTCGACGCGAACGACGCCGAATACGACGCCGACGCGTCTTACGGCCCGCGTCTGGTGTTCGAATGCGCGCGGACGGAGCTCCCGTCGCTGTGCCTCGAGCACCTCGCCGCGATCGAGGCAGCCGCGCTCGCGAGCGCCGCGACGGGCGCCGCGGACGGCGCGCTCGACGGCGAAGGGACGTTTCGCGCGCCGCCGGATGAGCTCGCGGCGGAGGTTCGCGCGTGGGACCTCGTGAGCGCGCTGTGGGGCGACGACGAGGACGGCGGCGGCGCGCCCGTCGGGTGCGCCGCGGATCGGCACCGGAGACGCGCGGCGGTCGGCGCGTGGCTGCGGAAGCAGACCGCGCGCGGCGGCGGAGGGGTCATCGTTCCGGACGACAGAAACGCGGCGGCGGCGCACGCGGCGGCGGGGCGGAGCTCGCGGTCGGTCGCCTCCGCGGCGGCGAACAGGGATCCGCGGCTGGCGACGCTCCTCGCGCAGGCCAACGCGGGCGGCGACCTCAGAGCGCTGACCGCGGCGCAGCTCGACCTGTGGCGCGGGTCGCCGGTGGAAAAGTACCTGACGCGCGAGACCTCGAGCGCGTTCGCGCTGCTCGCCGGGGAGGTGTCGCCGCCGGAGGACGTCGTCCGAGGCGTCGGCGCGTGGCCGCAGAATTTCGGGCTGACGCAGTGGTTCGCGTCGCCGCCGACGACGACGCTGTCCGCGGTCGTGGAGGGCTACCTCGAGGCTGTCGCGAGGGGCGAGGCGGCGTATCCGGACGCGCCGGGGTTAATCGCCGTCGACGCGGACGCGCGTCGGTTGAAGGACGCGTCGTTTAACCTGTTGATCCTGGGATCGAAAGGGCCGACGGCGCCGTCGGACGCGGACGTCCGCGACGCGTTTCACCCGCTGACGTACTGTGCGAGAGACCTGGGGAACGTGTCGCTCGCGTGGCACTTGTTCGCGACCCTCCGCGCGATCGGGGCGTTACCCGAGACGGTGGAAAACCGAGCGTTGGGAGACGCGTTGCACGCCAACTTCGCGCGGCAGCTGCTCTCGTCGTCCTCCTCCTCCTCCTCCGAAACGAAGACGCGGCGGCAGCAGCGGCACTCCATGATCGAGTGGGCGGTGTTCGTCGCCATGCACGTCGAGGATGGCGCGCGCAGGCGCGACCTCGTGAAGGAGATTCTCAACGCCGGGTGCGCGGAGTGGTGCGACGACGACGCGAAGACGACGTTCATGCGAGAGACGCTGCGCGTGCCGGAGGCGTGGACGAGGGAGGCGAAGGAGACGTGGGCGAGGTACAACTGGTGGGAGCCGGAGTCGGCGTTCGCGCCCGCGTAGTGTACGTAGTGTTCTCGCGGGAAGATGTCGACGGAACGTTCGTTCGTTTACAGCTGTGTCATTCGCTCGTTCGTTAACTCTCTCTCATCGTCATCACGCGGCGTCCGTCTCCGCGGCGGCGGCGAGCGCCTTGGCATCTCTCTTGCGCGCTTCCGCCTGCCGCCGCCGCTCTTTGTCCTCCGCGATCGCCGCCTTCGCCTTCTCTTTCGCGTCTATCATCTCGTTCTTCTCGCGGTTCTTCTCGCGCTCGTACCGCTCCGTCTTTTCGCGCGCCGACGCGAGCGCCTTTTGAAGGACGTCGCGCGCGATATCCAGTCGCTCTCTCAGTGCCGGCGGCGTCGTCGGCGACACGCTCCACCTCCCGCCGCCCTCCTCGCGGACGCCGCAGACGTAGTACGCCTCGAGGGTGTCCACCTTTCGCGCGAACCCGGACGCGAGCAGGAACTCCTCGCCGCTCAGGCAGTTCGCGACCGCGGCGGCTACGGTTTTGTTGGCGCACCGAATCTTGCGATACTTGGTGTCGTCCGGACGCGTCAGCGCGTTCGAGACGATCGAGTGGAGCGTCGCGATGCACCGCTCTTGCGCGGGCGGCGCGTTTCGATGCGGGTCGCGAATCGCGCGCGAGATGTCCAGCAGCTTCTCCCTCGCGTCTCGCGTCGCGGCGGACGGTCCCTGCGCTCGTTCGGACGGGGAGGCGAGGGGGTCGATCGAGCTCGTAAAAGAAACATGACGACACCGCACGGCGAAGGGACGTTTCGTCCCTCTCCGTCCGCGCGCCTCTCCGGGACGATCGCTCGACTCGACGACGGGACGGGAACGACGCGCACCGCCGGCGCGGGCGGCGCGGGTCTCGAGGCCGCCTCCGCGGCCGCGGCGGACGCGCGCTCGAACCGCTTCGCGGCGGCTTCCGCGGCGCCCGCGCGCGCGGCGACCGCGGCCGCCTCCGCCTCCGCGGCGCTCTGACGCGCTTTTTGCCGCGGCGTCTCCATGGCCGTCGACGCCGCCTCCGCGGGGTCGACGACGCGCGGGGGCTCGTCGTCGTCGTCGTCGTCGGACGCGCGCTCCTCGGACGATGCGCTCATGTTCGCCGGCGCGCGCGGGACGCGACTCGACGCGCGACGCGACCGGACGCGGACAGATCTGACGAGACGCGCGGAAAAGCGACATCCGCATCCGAGGGTGTCGTCCGGTTCTACCGGTAGTGTACAACGTACACGCACACGAGCCGCGAAAACGTTTGCAGTTCCAACGATAGCTACACGACGTCCCCGCGCTCGCGGCGACGCCCTCAATACCCCCCACCCCTCCGTCCCGCCGATCGCTCACGCCCTGAAGTCGAGCACGGACACGGTGTTGTCGCTGTAACACGCCGCCAGCTTGCTCCCGTCCTTGTTCCAACAAACCTCAAAGATCCCGCCGCCGCCGTCGTGCGTCCGAACGAGCGTCCCGCGCTTCGCGTCCCACACATGCAGCCGCTTATCGAAGCTCCCGGACGCGACGTACTTCCCATCCGGCGAGAACGCGACCGAGTACACCGGGTCGGAGTGCGCGCGCAGCGTGTGCATACACTTGCCCTCCTCCACGTCCCACAGTTTGATCGTCGCGTCGTACGACGCCGTCGCGAGCGTCAACGGCAAATCCGGATTGTTCGTCCCGGGACCGGTGGGGGACCACTTTATCGTGTAAATCTCCTTCGCGTGCTCCGTGAAGTCGTGCACGCACCGGTCTTGCTTCAGGCTCCACACCTTGGCGCTGTAGTCGTCCGAACACGACGCGAGCAGCGTCCCGGTCGGGTCCCACTTGATGGCGTTCACCTCGTCCTTGTGCCCTTTGAACGCCTTGATCGGCTTCGTCTCGCCGAGCTTGCAGACGTAGATCATGTTATCCATGCTCGACGTCGCGAACGAGACGTTGTTGCGCCAGTCCACGTCCAGCGTCGGCGCGGTGTGGAACGCGAACTGCTGCTTCGCCTCGCCCGTCTTCGCGTCCCACACGATGGCGGTCTTATCCACGCTCCCGGAGAGGAGGTAGTCGCCCTTCTTGTTCCACTTCAGCGAGAAGATGGGCCCCCTGTGCGCGCACAGCGAGTTGACTAAGTTTCCGTTTGCGTCCCACACCCTCGCGAGCCCGTCGTACGACCCCGTCGCGAGCAGAGACCCGTCGCCGTTCCAGTCCAGCGTCGTCACGTCCTTGCTCTTATTGTTCCAGTCGTTAGCGTCGCCCTTAGATTTCTTCTCCGCCCCCGCGCCGCCCGCGCCGTCCATCTCTTCCTTGGCCTCCTTCTCCTCCTCCTTCGCCGAGTCCTTCGCGGAGTCATCCGCGCCCGACTCGTGCGTCAACACGAGCGGCTCGCGCGCCGGTTTCGCCGCGTCGCGACCCGACGGCCCCGCCGGCACCGTCCACATCCTCGCCGTCGCGTCGCCGCTGCCGGACGCGAGGACGTCCCCGGCGGGGCTCCACGCGCAGATGAACACCTCCGACGTGTGGCCCCTGAGCGTCGTCACCTCCTCGGGTTTGATCGCGATCGCCGCGCGCGCGGCGGCGTCGTCGTCGCCGCCGTCGTCGTCCATCGGCGTCGCGTCGTCGCCGCCGCGGCCGCCTCCGGCGTCGGATCCTCCGCCGCCGCCGCCGGATCCTCCGCCGCCGCCGCCTCCCGCGGCGTCTCCGCCCGCGTCCGTCGTCGCGCCCGGCGCGCCCTTGAGTCTCTTCTCCGCCTTGACGCGTTCTTTTCGCTCCTTCTCGCGGTCCGCCTCGGACATCGTTCGCTTCTCTTTCACGATGTTCTTGAGCTCCTCGACCGGCTTCGAGAGCAGGTCGCGCGACGTCAGCATGCTGAAGTTGCTGTCCACGTCCGTGCCATCCTGAATGAATGAAGACGCGAGGAGAGAGGATCGAAGATGAATTCAGAATCGATCGGTCGACCGATCGATCGACCGCGGGGGAAGAGCGACGGGGCGGTCGGCGACCGACGCGACGCGCGGGATGGACGCGACGCGAAGACGCGTTCAATTCGTCGAGGGCGACTCGGGAACGACCTCCGCGTCGCGGCGCGGGCGGGAAACCCGAGAGCGCGCGCGTCGATCGCGGGATCGACGCGCGCGCGCGCGTCGCTTCGCGCGAACTAAATGGAAATGGAAATGGCGCGCGAAATCCGTCCCGCCGGAGAACGCCGGCGACGACGCCTCGCGACGGACTCGCGAGCGCGTCGCCGGCGCCATCGCGCGGAGGACGCCGCGGACGCATCGACGGAGAGGAGAGAAGAGATCGAAGACGGCGCCGGGGCGTACCTCGTTCAGGTTCGCCTCGAGCTCGAGGTACTGCAATCCTTTCTGTATGAACGACACGAGCGCGCCGGGCGGGAGCTCCGTCCCGCTCGCGATGGTCGTCTTCGCGACGTAGGACTCGTACCCGAACGTGTACGCCGCGTGCGTGAACCCGGACTCTTGCAGGTACCGGTACACGAGGAAGTTCACTTCGTCGCTGGAGATGCTCATGTTCGCACCGTCGGCTGGGCGCGACGCGCGACCGACGCGCGCGGCGGCGAATGCGATCCTTTAGGGCTAATTGCCGGGGGAAATGCGATCCTGACGCGCGCTTCGCGCTGATGATAGCGCGTAGCGCGCATCCGTAGCGCGTGTCAGTACTGTAGTTCCTCACAGCGCGGACAGGACCTCGATGAAAGCCGTTACCGCTGCCGAGCACCTTCGTACCACCGACCCTTCCGACGAGGCGCACACCTCGGGACGCGCGGTCGACGCGCGGCGCGCGCGTCGCCCCGCCGCCGACCGGAACCCGCGAGCCCGCGCCCGCGCGCGCGCGCGCCGCCGCCGCCGCCGCCGCCATGCCGCTCGTGCAGGTCACGGACGTGTTCAACGAGCCCCTCGACCTGTGGCTCTCGCCCAATCATCAGGGCACGCGTCGGTTCGTTCGGAAAGACGATCTCGACGCGCTGAACGCCGCGTCGAAGCGCGCGGCCGAGCGCGCGTCCAAGTCCGTGGAAGCGCGCGAGCGCGAGGAGGAAGCGGAGAGGGACGCGCGCGCGAAGCGGGACGCGCTCGGCGACGACGAAGGCGGCGGCGGCGACGACGACGACGACGACGACGATGATGTCGTCCTGTGCGGCGTCGTCCCGCGCGACGACGGCGACGGCGACGGCGCCGTAGTAAACACGGACGCGTCGCTCGTCCCGCGCGTCGCGCTCCCCGCGCCCGTCGGCGTCCTCGGCCTCCTGTGCCCGATACCGACGGTCCAGCCTCTGCCGGACCGCGGCGCCGACGCGCTCGAGGCCGCCGCGGAGGCGTCGCGGCTGTTCGAATCCGAAGCGGGCGCGCCGACCGTGTTCGTCAACAGGCCGTCGCCGAACCTAATCTGCGGCGCGTGCAGGGACGTGTTTCGCGACCCGGTCATCGCGAACGACGGGTTCACGTACTGCCGCGACTGCGTGCCGTGCCTGGGGGAGCTGGACGAGGGGGAGAACTACGCGTACGACAAGGCGAACCTCGCGCGCGACCACGAGATTTACGAGAAGATCGCGTCGCTGCAGATCTTATGTCGGCACGGCTTGACCTTCTTGGACACCGTCGAGGGCGTGAACCGCTGGGTGTACAACCCGGAGGGATGCAAAGAAGCGCTGACGTACGAGAACAGGGTGAAGCACGAGGAGTCGTGCGCGTACGTGCGCGCGAGGTGCGCGCTCCCGAGCGGCGCGGGGGAGAACGACTCGTGTCCGATGATGGTGTACCGATTCGAACGCGCGTCGCATCAGGCGTCGTGCCCTTTCCGTCTCGTCCCCTGCGACGTCCCGGGGTGCTCGACGCGCGTGCGGTGGAACCGCAAGTCGCGGCACGCCGCGACGTGCGAGTACAAGACGACCGAGTGCGCGAACGGATGCCGGTGGCGCGGGCGGAGGGACGAGCTCTCGCGGCACCGCGACGCGTGCGTCCTCGAGGTGCGTTCTATACACTGGTTCCCATACGACCCCGTCGGCGTGGTGAACGCCGATCCTTAAGGACTTTGCCCGGCGTCTCTCTCCGCCCACCCGTCGCTTTCAATCCCCGCCCCCGACGCCTTTCAACTCCACCTGACGCCTTTCAACTCCACCCCGACGTTCGCTCGTATGGAACGACCCTGAGATGGTCACCTGCGGGCTCGCGGACGCCGAAGACGCGTCGATCGCGTGCCCGCACCAGTGCGAGCGCAGGCACCTCGCCGCGCACGAGGAGACGTGCGAGTTTCGCGCGATCGAGTGCGAGCGCTGCGACGCGCGGATCAGCGCGAGGCGCGCGAGGGATCACGCGCGGGTCTGCCCGAAGCGCGCGGAGCGGTGCGACGGCTGCGGCGTCGAGATCGCGGCGTCGAAGATGGAGACGCATCAGAAGTACCACTGCGGCGCGGACACGCTCGCGTGCGAGTACGCGCCGTACGGCTGCGCGGAGTGCGGATCGCGAGAGGAGCTCGCGGCGCACGTCCGCGAGGACGCGTCGAGACATTTGCGGCTCGTGATGTTGCGTTTGGACGCGACGGCGGCGGAGTTTAAGGCGTACGAGAACGAAGTCGTCGGAGTGAAGGCGGCGATGACGGAGCACGTGCGCGTCGGCGCCGCGGACGTCGAGGCCGTCGGCGCGGAGGTTCGGAGGATAGACGAGACCGCGACCGCGGAGATCGACGCGCTCAGGGAGGGTTTGGGGGAGTTGCGGGCGTTTTACGAGGAGGAGGTGGATCGGTTGGAGAAGCAAGCGGAGCGGGCGAAGGCGTTCAACGACGCGCGCGTGAAGGATTTGGAGAGCGAAAACGCCGCGCTTCGGGCAGTTTTAGAGAGCAAAATGCCGCGCGAGGAGTGCGACGCGTTCGTCCAGGAGATGACCGAGGCGAAAGAGAACGCGACGGCGGAGACGACGCGCGTGAACGAAGCGGTGGAGACGCACGTCGAGCGGTGGAAGCGCGACGCGAAAAAAGTGCGAGACGAGGCGTCGACGGCGACGCGCGAGTGCGCGGACGCCGTAGCCGATTTGAAACGACGCGTCGACGGCTTGGACGCGAGCGACCAGCACAGGTTCGAGCGCGCGTGGGAGAGCGTGCAGAAGACGCACGACGCGTTCGCGGCGGAGATTCTGGACGTCGGCCGCTCGCAGCGCGCGCTCGAGGAGAGATGGCGAGAGTCCAACGCGTCGCTCCGCGGCGACGTCAGAGCGCGGCGGTCGGTCCTCCGCCCGGACGCGAAGGCGCCGTTGGAGCCCGCGAACGCGCGCGAGGAGAAAGCGCGCGTCCGCCGCCCGACCGAGATCGGGACGGCGCGAGACGAGGGCGCGCTGTCCAAGTTCAGAGCGCAGGGCGCGGCGAAACTTCTCTTCGGCTCGGGCGCGAAGCTCGGCGGGAAGCCGGCGTCGCGCGGAGAGGAGAACGTCGGAGGACGCGGGACGGCGCCGGGCGGAAGCGCGAGGCGCGGCGGCGGCGGCGGCGGGCCGACCGCGTTTCGATGACGCGACGGACGCGATATCTTCTGTAGCGTATTAGTCTATCGCACGACCCTCCTCGCGGTAGTCCTCCGCGCCCTACCCTGTATCTCATCAGCTCGGTCCGAACGCCGCGAACCGAGCGAGCAAATCGGGCGGGCACCGCCTCGGTCGCCCGTTGTCTCTCCCGAGGCACACGCACGTCACCTCCGCGGTCGCCGTCGCGGTCTCCGTCGCGGTCTCCGTCGCGCGCTCTCCCTGCCCGCCGCCCTCGAAGAGCGTCTGCGCGAACACGATCTCGAGCCCGCGACGTCTCGTCTCCACCGTCGACCGCACGCGCGCGACGCGACGCGAGTCGTCGCCGCCGACGCCGACGCGCGGCGCGAACCGCGCGTTCGTCATCTGAGGTGAGCAGAAAGAAAGCGTGCACGTCGGTCAGTCGAAAGGCGGCGCGATCGATCGAACGTTAAAACGGTGCGACCGAGTGGAGCGGCGGGCGAAACGCGCGCGTCGAGCTGGGCCCCGCGGTAGTTGTACGAGGAGAACGCGCCTTGCTCACGACGACGACGACGCCGTGCTCGTCCTGCAGCGCCTTCAAGCTCGCGCTTCCGCCGATGGCGTCCGTGCGGTTGCGTTCGAACCATCGCAGCACGTCCCACTCCCGCGCGCCGTCTCTCCCGGCGCTCAGTTCGCTCTCGAACAGCTCGACGGTCGTGATCGCGCCGCCAGATTCCGATTCCGTAGCGTTCACGACGCTCGGTACGTCGCCGTTATTACTACGAGTACCCGGGGTTATATCGTCGCCGGGGGTCCACGTCTCGAACCATCGCGGCCGGTCGTCTCCGCCGCCGCCGCCGCCGTCGTCGTCGAACGCGCGTCCGCGGCTCTGAGCGAGACCGTAGAACGCGCGGATCGAGTCCGGGACCGGCGCGACGACGCCGTCGCGCGTCACCGGCGCGACGGAGCACGCGGCGGAGAGCAAAATCTCATCGTCGTCGTCGTCGTCGTCGTCGTCGTCGCGTCGTCGTCGTCGGACGACGTCCTGACGCAGCGTCAGCGTTCGCTCGCCGACGTCGACGACGCGCGTGCGCACGACGAGGTCGTCGCCCAGGACCGCGGGGGACGCGAACGCGACGTCGACCACGGCGACGACGCGCGCGCTCGCCCAGCCGAGACGCCTCGCGAGCGCGCGCGGGGACGACGACGTTGACGCGTCGTCGTCGTCGTCGTCGCCGAAGAGAAACGCCTCGCGCGCGCGCGCGAGGAACTTGAAGTAGTTGGCGTGGTACACGACCTGGTACGCGTCCGTGTGCTCGATGTACACGCGCGCGCGGAGCAGATGCGGCGGCGAGGGCGTCGACGCCGACGACGACGCCGAGCCGGCGGAGGCGTCTTCGTCGACGATCGACGACGCGACGACGACCCTCCTCTCCCCTCGCGCGCGCGTCCGCGTCCGGCTCCGCGTCGACGCTCGGCCGCCGGGACGGGACGCGACGCGCGCGAGCGCTGCGGCGGGCATCCGCGCGCGCGACGTCGCGGCGCGCGACGCGACGACGCGCGGGCGATACTGCGAGGCATCGATGCGATGCCTCGTCAGCGTCGTCCAGTCGTCGGACCGTTCGAGAGCGGTGCTGTTGTAGTCCTTCGCTTCGTCACAAACGCGCGGCACCGGCGCCGCGACCATGACGCGTCGCGAGTTCACGTAGTCGTAGAGCGCGGCATGCGCCGTCTCCGCGCGGACGACCCGCCGAGAGCGGACGCGCGCGCGTCCGCCCCGGGCGCGGTCCTCCCCCTCGCGACGACGACGACCGAGAATCTACTACTCGGCACCGTCGATTCGAGCGCGACGACGAAGCGCGACGTCGCGGCGCGACGGTCCGAGCCCGCGCCGTCCGCGGCGGCGGCGGCGGCGTCGTCGTCGCGTCGTCACGACGCGCTCGTCGCGCTCGCGCCGCGCGGCGACGAGAACAAGAACAAGATCTCGCGCGTGCCGCCGAACACGGTGGACGAGGCGCGCAGGAGGGACGCCGCCGAGCGCGCCGCGAGGGCGAAACACTCGCGCGACGTCGCCGCGCGCATTCTCGCGGAGACTGAGGCGAAGAAGCGCGCGAGAGAGGACCGCGCGAGGGCGCTGTGTTCGGCGGCCGCGGCGGACGTCGCGAACGCGCGCATCGCCGTCGCGGCGGAGGCGAGGGCGAGGGAGGACGCGGCCGTCGCGCGCGAGGCGACGGAGACGCTGTGGGCGCTGGAGGCGGACTACGCGGCGTCGGCGCGCACGACGCGAGAGCAGCTCGCGGAGGCGAGGCTCGCGCGCGCGTACGCCCGCGCGCAGATAGAGGCGTGCGAGGGACGACGGTGCGACCTGTGCGACCGCGGCGAGCTGCACGGCGCGCGCGAGTGTGGGATATTGAGGAAGCGCGGCGGCGGTACAGCTGGCGGCGGCGGCGCGGATTCGGCGGATGCGACCTCGACCTCGATCGCGACGTCGGCGACGTCGTCGATCGCCGTCGACGTCGCCCCGCCGGAGATTCTCGCGCGCGGGGCGCTCTTGAGGTGCCACGGCGACGTCGAGGTCGAGGACTGGGCGCGGTGGACGCCCCGCGAGGCGAAGATCGCGTTCGACGAGCTCCCGCTCTCGCGCAAAGGCCTCTCAGCGTTGCCGAACCTGTCGCTCTTTCGAGGAGGTGAGACTGCTTCCCATACGACCCCGTTCGCGTGGTGCACGCCGTTCCTTAAGGACTTTTCCCGTCGTCACTCTTCACCCGCGCTTCCCTTTCAACATTTGACCGGTAAGACGTTCGACTGACCGATCGATTCACCCACGCAGTGACGCGCCTCCTCGCCGCGCGCAACGCGCTCGTCTCGCTGCCGGACGACATCGCGGACCTGATGCCGTGTTTGACGCATCTCGACGCGAAGCGCAACGCCATCGCGTCCGTTCCCGCGGGCGTCGGCGCGCTGATGTACTTGGAGACATTGGACGTCTCAGGCGCGTTCTATCTTACACTGGTTCCCATACGACCCCGTCGCCGTGGTGAACGCCGTTTCTTAAGGACTTTCTCTCCCGGCGTCTCTCTCCGCCCAGCTCTCGCTTTCAATCCCCGCCCTCGACGCCTTTCAACTCCGCTTCTGACGCCTTTGAACTCCACCCCGACGTTCGCTCGTATGGACCCTCGACCCTCAGGGAACGCGCCGTTGACGACGTTGCCGTCGATGCGACGCGCGACGGCGCTCGCGCGGCTCGACGCGTCGTCGTGCGCGCTGATTTCCCTCCCGGACGACCTCGCGGAGTGCGCGGCGCTCGAGGATCTCGTCGTGCACCGCAACCCGGACCTCGTTTCGTTGCCTCCAAACCTCGGGGCGCTTCAACCGCGCCTGCGAGGGGTGTGGGTGCGCGAGTGCGGGTTAGCGACGCTGCCGAGCGGCCTGACCGCCGCCGTCGGTCTCGCCGACCTCGACGCCGGCGCGTGCCGCCTTCGCGGTCTCCCCGACGGGCTCGGCGGGCCGGGGAACCCGCGCCTGCGGACGCTGCGCGTCGGCGATAACGTCATCGCGTCGCTGCCGCGTTCGCTCGCGCGCGCCGACGCATTGGAAGTGTTGGACGTGTCAGGCAACGCGTTGACTGACGTCGACGTCGCGGCGTCGACGCGCGGCCTCGTCGAGCTGCGCGCGTCTCGCAACCCGGACCTCGCGGAGCTCCCGCGCGGGCTCGGCCGCGGCGGCGCGCTGCGGGTGCTGCACGCCGCGGCGTGCGGACTCGAGAAGCTATCGTGCGACCTGGGGAAGCACCTCGTCGGCGACGGCGGCGGCGGCGGCGGCGGCGGCGGGCGCGGCGGCGGCGGCGTCGGCGACGCGCTCGCGTGGTCCGTCGACGTCCGCGGCAACCCGTTCCCGCCGTGGCTGCGGCGCCGCGTCGACGGTGAAGTCGACGGCGTGTACGGCGCGCTGGCCTACCTCGCCTCCGCGCACGACGAGCTCGCGTTGCTTCCCCCCGACGACGCGGAGCGCAGAGAGGCGACGCGGCGGCGTTTGAAGCTCGGGTCGAGAGAAGCCCCGCCGAAGATGGTGACCCCCGCGGCGAAGTGGAAGCGCATCGTCGCCTCCGGGAACTTTTTCGCCAAGACGCGCGCGATCGCGGCGCTGAACGCGCGAAGGGACGCGGACCCTGGCGCGGAGGAGAGGGCGAGGGCGAGGCACGCGCGGTCGGCGTACGCGCGCGGGAGACGCGAGCGGCGGCATTCGATCTCGCACGACGCGACGCGCGCGCGGCCGCTGGCGTTGAAAGCCGACGCGACGCTCCGCGAGCGTCTCGAGGCGCTCGAGGAAGAGTACCGCCTGCGCGCGGCGGCGAACAAGGCGCGGCTGAAGGAGCGGGCGAAGCGCGGGTGGGGCGCGCTGAAGAAGAGCGTCGAGGCGGCGTCCGCGGCAAACAAACCCGAGCGCCGCGGACGCGGTTTGTTCGGCAGGGAGAACCTGATGGAGGCCATCGCGCGCGCGACCGAGGAGAAGGCGCGGAGAGACGAGGTCGAGTTTCAGTGGATCCACGACGTCGACGTGCTGCGCGCGCTGTCGTTCGAGCAGCGGTGCGCGCTGGCCAGGGCGTGTCGTAAGGTTGAGAAGAAACGCGGGGAGACGTTTTACTCGCGCGGCGACGACGGCGACGACGGCGCGGTGATCGTCTTCCGCGGCCGCGTGCAGCTGAAAGTGACGAGCGAGGACGGCGGCGTCGCCGTCGTCGGGGACATCACCGCGGGCGCGACGCTGTCAGAGATGCGTGAGAAGGAGAAGAGAGAAGAGACCGCGTCGCGAGGCGGCGCGGAGGACGACGCGTCGGCGGCGCTCGGCGGCGTCGTCGGCGGCCGCCTCGGCGCCAACGCGTGCGTCGGTCTGGAATGCCTCCTCACGGGCGCGCCGCGCGCGCACACGATGCTCGCGAAGAGCCCCAAGACGATCTGCGTGTACGTCCCTCGCGACGCGCTCGCGAAGATCCTGGACGACGACGACAGGCTGCGCGCGCGGACCGCGGCGGCGACGCTGCGGCAAGTCGCGGAGGACGCGCGGATCCTCGCGAAGAGCGAGAAGTTGACGATCAAAGAGCACGAGCTTCGACGCGCCGCGGACGCCGCGGTCGCGGCGCACAAGGACGCGCTCGCCGCGCGCCCGCCGCCGCCGTCGACGCGGGAGGCGCTACTGCGCGCGGAGTGCGCGCGGCAGCTGGCGGCGTCGTATAAGAGAGGTTGGCCCGCGTTGGAGGCGCACGAGCGCGAGGAGATGGAGAGCGCGTTTTTTCGCCGCGTGAAGGTGCGTTCTATACACTGGTTCCCATACGACCGCGTCGGCGTGGTGAACGCCGTCCCTTAAGGACTTTTGCCGGCGCATCTCTCCTCCCACCCCTCGCTTTCAATCCCAGCCCTCGACGCCTTTCAACTCCAACTGACGCCGTTGAACTCCACCCCGACGTTCGCTCGTATGGAATGGCCCTGAAGGCGTCCGCGCACGCGTTGAACCTGGGTCCGAAACCGGAGACGTTGCCGCTGAAAGACGAGGAAGCGCTCGCGGCGTTCGGTCTGACGTCGTACGCCGCGAACGGGATCGAGACGCTGACGTTGGAGGGCTTCGACGCCGTCGTCGTCGGCGACGGCGGCGACGGCGACGGCTACGACGACGACGTCAAACGACGGCACTTCATGACACTGTCCCAATGCGCGTTCTTCGCCGAGGTCTTCACGCGCGCGGAGCTCCGCCACATCGCGTCCAGAGGCGCGACGCTCGTGGACGCGGTCAAAGGCGGCGCGTCGCTCGTCGCGGAGAGGGACGATTCGCGCCCGGCGTCGCTCTTCGTCGTCGTCGCCGGTGAGACTGCTTCCCGTACGACCCCGTTCGCGTGGTGCACGCCGTTCCTTAAGGACTTTTCCCGTCGTCGCTCTTCACCCGCGCTTCCCTTTCAACGTTTGACCGGTAAGACGTTCGACTGACCGATCGCTTCACCCACGCAGGCGCCGGCGAAGCGTACGCGTCGCGCGACCCGACGCCGTCCGACCCGGACCCGCCGCCGAAGCTCGTCGCGAAACTCTCCCCGCCGGATCTCATCGACCTGCCGTGCCTGCTCGCGGGCGCGCGCCGCGGCGCGACCGTGGAGGCGTCCAGCGCGCATCGCGCGGCGAAGACGATGACGACGTTGGAGGTGACGAAGGACGCGGTCCGCGCGGTGATCGACCGGCGGCCGACGGCGATCGACGCGATCGCGCGGCGGGTCGCGAGGACGCGCGTCCGCGAGGCGTCGAGAGCCGGGAAACTGGACGACGCGGACGTCACGGCGAAAGCGCTGACGGAAACGCGGCTCGCGCATCGCGTCGCGGCGAGCGCGGAGACGCACTTCGCGAGAGGCGGCGCGTTGTGGACGCGCGCCGGGGACGTCGCGCGCGCGGGCGCGAGGCGACGCCAGGTGGCGCGGCTCCTCGGCGGGTTCGGCGTCGGCGCGAGCGCGACCGCGGAGACGGGCGAGGACGCGGACGCGACGACGCGCGCGCACGTGAAACTCGTGCTGCAGACGCGGATGCTTCGGACGCTGACCGTCGCGGAGGCGACGAGCCTGGTCGTCCACGGCTCGCGTCGCGTGCGCGCGTCCAAGGTGCGCACCGCGGCCGCGTACGTTTTCGTTTTCGTTTTCGTTTTTCACCCGCCCCTCGGTTTCAACATTCGATCGCGTCCCCTTTCAAAAACTGACCGGCGCGCGCACGTATTCTTTGCACGGAACGCGCCTCAGGGCGAGGTGTTCACGCAGCAGGGATACCCGGGGGGCAGCGCGTTCGTCGTGATCGCCGGGTCCTTGGACGCGCTCGTAAAGAAGGGCGCGACGGGCGCGGGCGAGGCGTCGCTGCAGACGGTGAACACGTTCGCGGCCGGGGATTGCTTCGGCGAGGCGGGCGCGATGCTCGGGACGCGGCGGTCGGCGACGGTGCGCGCGCGCGAGACTCG